TCACTGACTGACACTCGTGTTCACATTGTGTTTTAAACCTTTCTAATCAAATTGCAATGATTAGTAAGACTTATAAATATGGACAACCAAACTGCTTGTTCCCGTTGAGGAAGGAATGCATTATGATTAATGTTCAAAGTGGTACCATAAGAAGTGTACACGTCTAAGTCCTACGGCATACAAAAGATGCTCGAAGCCTAACTCGCATTGGCTTTTTACGTTTGGCTTTACAAATAAGAAGTTACTAATTCAGGAGGCTTTGAGCCTATTGGCTTTGGCCTGTAAGAAAAACGATGGCGGTTGCGCTGATAACACGAGTACTGATGGTGAAGAATGTGTCAGTGTAGTACGTGCTGCTACCGGACCCGCTAAACACCCGACTGTGATTGACGGGAAAGTGAAATTTCAGTTAACATTAACGAGGAGTGAAGTGCCGCTTGATATTGACATCGGTAATCATACACCTCTTGTGGAAATTGAAGACCCGGATAAAACGGTCACCGTTCCAAATAGTCCCGGTGTGGCTGTCCTGAGTGATGATAAATGGACTTCAGTATGGAGAAAAATGAGTATTAGATAATAAAATTCAGTTGACTGGTTTTTTAACCAGTAGGGCTGATAGATTAAACCGTAGGGGAGGCGGGGTTATTCTGTACACGAAAAGTACCCTAACTATAGGAGTAGCTGAGACAGTGGCACATGTTTCAGGAATATGTGAACTGGTGTGATGTAAGCTGAAATGTAGACGGCAAGATATTGAATTAGTTGTAGTATATCGCAGTCCAGAATGTGTAGCAGATGATTTTCTCCTAAGTAAACTTAAGTCCTGGTGTAACACGAGTAAAAGCCTTGTAGTAGGCGACTTTAATGCACCATATATAAACTGGGTTAACTTAGAAGTAGGGTCATCGATAACGTCGTTCGATTGCAAACTGTTAGAAACCTCGATTGGATTAGCTTTATTCCAACACATTAGAAACCCCACAAGATGTGGCTCAAGAAACTCTTCTTCTCTTTTAGATTTAGTCTTCACACACGGTGATGACGTTGGTCAAATGACTTTTCTCCCACCAATCCCAAGTGCCCCATCTGGAGACCAGTACTTAGTGGGGTACCTCAAGGTTCTGTCCTAGGTCCTTTACTTTTTATAATGTATGTTAATGGTCTTCCAAGTATAGTACAGTCTCCAATGTTATTATACACTGACGATGTAAAGATCTGGCGAGTAATAACTGGAGACACAGACGCATGTGCTCTTCATGCAGACTTAAATAATATTATTAACTGGTCTAAAGAGTGGCTGATGCCTATCAACGCGGCAAAGTGTGTCTACATGCACTTTGATAATTCAATGGTTTATAGGTACAACGTAGGGGAAGTGCCATTACCCGTGGTCCGGTCTCATAAGGATCTAGGGGTTGACAGTGAGCCATGATCTTAAGACGACGGCCCATTGCCGGGAGGTCGCAGCTAGTAGGTTTCGAACCCTCTGGGATTTAAAACGGACATTCACTAAGTTAGATACTACCATGATCACCACAATATACACATCTTTAGTGAGAACTAAGCTTGAGAACTGCGTTTATGCTGCAAGCCCCTGTTTAAAAGATGACTCGGATAACCTAGAGAAGTACAGAGGGTAGCTACCCGTGCAATTCCAGAACTCCGGGATTTACCATACAAAGAGAGGCTTGAAAAGCTGGACCTCTTTACTCTGTCCTCTCGCAGATTAAGGGGAGATCTAATTTTGATTTACAGAATACTGAGAAATGATTTTGGACCTTATTCTCTCTTTTTCTACCCACAAGATCGGGACATCTCAGAGGACATAGCAGCCGAGTAGGAAAGCCAAGAACGAACAAACTACCCGTGGCATACAGCTTTCACATCGAGTCATCAATATTTGGAACCTGCTGCCTGAAGCAGTGGTGTCCGCACCTTCAATTAACTCTTTCAAGAGAAGAATGGACACTCACAGAAGCATACTAGAAAAGGAATAACATAGGTTGTAGGCCTTCTGTCCTTACTACACAAATCTGATCTGAATCTGGAATATCTAATCATTTCCTAGATTTCTGTTATGGTAACTAGATGAAAATTTTGAAGGGTCATTGGGGAGGATGCAAAGCCAGCAGAAATATGGTGAATCCGAAATCGTAAACGAAGAGCAGGCACGAATCGTACGAGGCCCATTTAAAAGTCGGGTTTCTAAGACACGGGCGGATTTCTATGATGTGAGGGGTAATGCATGGCTAAACTAACAGCATAGAATAACGAAAACAAGAAGCCGAACTGGTGAGATTAATTTATGAACAACCTTTGAGCGACGCTAAAATGACATTGAGTCTCCACTTAATAACCAAGACTAAATGAGGGTTATACACCAGTGTGAGGAATTAGAATTATGATTTACAGTTGATGGTTAGGGTTAGGAATTTGATTTACTGTTTTCATCACGAACTGAAATCAGCTATAATGCCGAAAGTCTATTTAGCCAAATGAATGAGTTTCGCGCCAGAACTCGAGACCTGATATACTTGATTATAGTCTCGCCACCAAACTAACGATAGCCCTATTTTTCACAATATTTTGTCAAAAAAGTTGACAAGGATATTGATAAACAGTGAAGGATTTACTGAGCATACACAGGTAGAATGAGGAATAAGGACCATCAAAACAAAAAATATTAAATGCCAAAATCGAAACGTTTAAGGTTACCTTGGAAATTGTTCCTTTCCTAAACAAGCTTGCCATGATGACTACAAGCTACCGGTCGAATGACCGCTAATCATGACCTTCAAACTAGAAAATTCGGATTGGCCGAATACCTAGACGGATCGATAACTAAATAGACAAATTCTATTGGCCAAAATAAGTATTTCAGATTTAGTTTAAGCAATCAGAACAATATCGTACTTCACCCAATGGCTGTACTTAGTCTTAACATGATGTGACATGCCTGTGGTTTTGACTAGGGTATTAATTGTCTTGAAAGCGAAGCTAATTGTTTTGCTGATTTAGTGGGTTTTCCAGGTTTTTTAGTTGTTTGTTTGATCACGGTTATAGAAATCCAAGTTTGAAAGTGGAATTTCATCACGCCAATTTACGTGATTATGTATCTAATAACGGTAAATAAAAAAATGCTCAGGAAAATGTGATATTCATAAATTAGAGGGAATTATCTTCAATAAATGCATACTTGACAACAATAGTGTACTGAAAATTACTGCGACAAACTCTTTACATTTACATTTAGTGTTGATGTTTTAGCGTATCAGGCTGTTTTCGACCCATGAATCTTTGGACTTATTTAGTTTTCATAGTTATTTGTCGAACCAGTTTGTAGATTTATGCATCCTGAAGTGTGTTTGATGTATAACGCCTTAATCAATATTTACCTCCTTACCAAATGGTTAGTACAAATAGCAGTCACGGTAACCATAACCCTCTTTGAGTTTAATTACCACGTGATTAAATAAAAACCCGATAAGTGATGGTATTTCATGATTTTGGTCGGCTTACGGGTGGGTTGGAATGTCGTTATTCCTGGAAAATCGACTAGACTATCAACATATGAATGTTTTTAACATACTCGGACAGTGAATGCTTCGAACATATACAACAATACTGAAAACAAGATAGTGCGAAATTGTAAGTGTTGCTTGTAATCAAACACAAAATAAACTACAGTAGCTTTGGCAACTATGTAGCATTGACACATAGTAAACTAACCTAAAGGTTATTGTACAATTATTCGGAGCCTGACATAGTGGCCAACCATTTTCGTGGGTCTCTTTTTTTGAAGTCCGAATGAAATGAATCATAGGGTAGTTGATTGGCAGTACCACATTCCCCCTCAGCAAACCTATATTGACTAGGAGAGCACTAGTGTCAATCATCACACAAGTGAAGTTGAGATATGGATTATCATTTGATCTCTTAACTATGTTGGTAGAAAGCTAAGCTGATGATCTATAGGCAGTTTTGAGTATTATGACAACCAAGCACTTGAAAATAAAATGAGTGTCGAAGAATTTCTATAATTATATTAACATTCTAAAAGATATTCTACCTAGTATTAATAAGTTACTTTCTAAGAAATGTCTAAAGCCATTAACTCTCATTGACATAAAATATTATATTTCTTCTCATATAACCACTTGAGGCCACCTCAAAACCATACAACTTCACTTTATTTAAACGTGGTTAATATATATGAATCAATACCTATTTTGATAACTTGGTGATGAAAATAAAACAAAACATTCATCATTAGTTGTATTCCAAAGGAGGTATTTTGTGACAGCGAGTGGATAGCTAATGGAATTACTGAAAAGATTGCACTAGACAAACTTGTAAGACAACAAATTCGATTTTTTCCCAGTAACTCACGTTTTAATACATCATAGGAATAACAAAAGAAAATTTCTAATTTGTAACAACAAAATAGTATTGGTTAGAAGAAATACACATCCACATACACACTTTTCATCAAATCAAACTTCTAATAAAAAAAATGATTGCATGATTCAGGCTCATGGGTTAAACCACATAGCAAACTATCAAATTTAATGATTCAAATCAAAATCTACCTTATTGGCTAACAGCTTACAATGCCGATATCCAGTTGAGTCACCTCTTTTTATTATTATTCATAACACAAAAGTTATAATATATTGTTGTCATAGATATTATAGAATTAGAGAACTATTTGTGTTGATTGGGGACAAATCAAGACTAACTACCTATTGGACATTATCTGTTTCTGTATACTATATTCTAATATTTATGTATACGTTTGTAGATATTTGTACCATTGAAATAACCAATTATATTTACCTTTTCTAGAAACTCAGTGCATTCGTTGTCAATGGATTAAATTCGATTTAATCTATAAGCGTCTATATTCTGTGTCTCGCAATACGGTTACTGACCTTAGATTTAGTGTAAAAAATGAATCTAAACAAAATTATACTTAATTTTCATTAGATTACTAAAACATGTATCATAAGAATAATCCATCATGTTTCTTTTTTGATCAAGTTAAACCAATAAGGCAGGAAATTAATGAATATAAAAAATCTTTGGTGTATAACATTAATACTATTCATTTACATTCAGAGAATGCCGTGTTAATAAATAATAATACAAATGACCAGTTATCAAATGATACAAAGTATAATTGTAGTTCCACAAAGAATATTTGTCGTCCTATAACATTATCATCTACAGGAGAAAAAACGATAAATCCAAAAGAACAATTAATAAATAAAAAATCAATTTTAAAACAGTATGATTATTATTCGTGGGTTGAAATGAGTGAACAAATCATAAAAGATCTTTCAGTTTTTTTACATCAAGAAAATGTCAAAGAAATAAAACATCCTAGAATATTAGATTATCGTTTGGATGAAACATGGGATGAATTAATTTCTATGGTGGATTCCAATTCAAGAGATTGGCAATTACCTGCAATAAAAAATGCATATAAGATATGGATTCAAGTAAGCAATACAATAACATAGTATGAACTTATGATATACGTCTAAGAAGTTTTGTTTCAATAAGTTATTGTTTATATTAGTCTGAGGTTAGAACTCTAATAGTTTAAACTAAAGTATATGGAAAAGACTTTAACTAAATAACTAAGACGTATATGGTAAACAGGAATTTTTAATCAAAATATTGGTGATTATAACGTACTTGATAATACGGAATCCATGTCTGTGAATTCTTAGTAAATCCATTTATAAGTGTCTGATATATGTGAGGTGTCGAGCATTTCCAGGCATTTTTCTGTTTATTTAGTGAGTGGATGCTGTATGTAAGGGCATAATATTAATTCAAGATTTTATTTTAAACTCTAACTTTTAGTTTGTTTACTTTTTAATTAGGTAAGTTGGTATGCGCTACAATGGTGATACATGTAGATAGATTTGGATGACTGGAATGAAAACCCCAGTGAAAATCACGTTCCTATATGTCACATCTACCCACTGAATAACTGACTATAATCTATAGATGGTACAAGATATATCAACATAGTTACTGTGTTAAATGCAAGCTGACAGTTAGATTTATGTAAACCATCCTAAATCAATTAGTTCTCATAGTGACAAACACAACAGAAATATATGTAATGAATAGTTGGAGAAAACTTCTTAGTTTTTCTATTTCTCTTACCTACCCATTTCTAACAAAAACTCCGGCCTAAAGATCCTAGCAACACATGTGAAGTTTCTGTTTGAACACATACGTCATTATTAGTGAACATCTAAGAAATAGTAAGAAGCCTGTCACGTCCTTGATCTGTCTACCCACTTTTGGTGCTGAGATAACTTGTCTAATCTAGATTAATACCTTGACGCGATAGGCTGACCGGCTTAACCTTGAGGCTAGCACGCGTGAGTTCGAAGTGGGGTAGAGAGAAGAAAACTATTCCACCACCTGATTGGCCGACAAGCACGCGAGTGAGAGAAGACAAGTCGACTGGATCACTACTCGATTTATTCTCAATTCCGATCTGGTTCCCAATTTCAGATCAGTGTAAAAAGGTACATGAATAAATGACAACCCGACCACAACGTACAATAATTAAAAAAATACGATGTCCAAAACTGGGGATTAGAGTAGGAAATAAAGTACAAAATAATACGTTTCAATTACAATAGCTTTGGAACAAAAGTGGCTATGGCAGTGAAACATACATCAAACGAAAGCTTATGATCTGTAGAATAGACTATGGACAAAAATAAATGTTAGTGTTTTTCAAGCTTTGAATTAAATGAAATGACGTCCCTAAAATAGCTTCCGCAGTTTGTCAAGGCTTCTTGTTTCTCTGTTCACATCAAAGCCTATCAGGTTTTGTAGTCACAAGATAATTTCAAAAAAGTTCTAGTTTCTATAGGATGTTTCATTCTTCTTGTAGTGGTACAACCTTAAAATCTAGATTACTGTCATCATCATTCGTCGTTGACTGAGTGGAAGCATTGCATTTTTTTGCAAAGGGTCTTATGTAAGCTATATGTAAGTTAAAAATGAATAACCGGATATAACTACATACAAAAACCAATATCCCTGAAATAACAAAAATAAGGTGTTCAGATAAGTATTACGATAGAATCATCTGAAAAAAAAACAGCCATATAAATCATAGGAGATGCGTTCACAATGCTAGTTAATGTGTGTGTAGCGAGTAATGCAAGTTTTCATGATTAATTGTCGAATAGTCAAGGTGCATGAGCAAGAATGTGTGTAGATAAGGGAGCTCTTTTAAACTAACTCTACCTGAGAGGTTTGAGAATCTATGTGTAACTATAATGCTCGTCAATATTACTGTGCCACCATTCACATATATGTAGTGTTGTTACCCGAAATTCAAAACGATTAAGATATTTTACTGAAACAAGATGTATGATACCCTTTAATTATTTGAAGATGATAGGGAGGGGGAATAATCTAAGATTGAGTTCCACCTTTGTCATTATTGAAAATTTCTGGCTAATTTTGACACTATTCACCAAGCTTCCACGTCAGGATTCAATGACGTATTTAGAAACTAATTACAGTAATCAGTTTCTTTACTATAAGCTAGTGGATTATTATAATCTTATAGAAATAAATTTCATGTTGCATGTTTGTTGTTAACTGGAGTGAAAACGCTACTTGGCAGGAAAAAACGTTTTTTTCTGTCTTGGCTACCTAGAATGATATGGCATTTTAATCCAACACTTGTATTCAGGATATATTTCGGTTGTAATTGATGCTGATGATTTGTTCAAGTTGTGGCATAATGGTCCATATCAGTTTTCGATGGCTGGTTGTTGACAGTTAATTTAGCCATGTAATTGTATTACTGAGGCCTTGACCATACTATTAGATTACACATGTACATGAAACATACAAAGTGACTTACCTTATATCGATTGTATTCTTGTTGTCTACCTGCTGAATCAGAAGCAAATTGATCTGATTAGTTTATAATGCAGACATAATCTCAGCTTTTTCATAAACATTAAAAAATATGCTAGTCTTTTCTAGCAAAGCCGGTTAATATTTACTGTGACTGAAATTATGAGGATTTATTGGACGTCTGTTATTTTATTTATGAGAGTAATCTAGTGTATAAATATGGTACTACGATCATTGAAATCTTTTCATGTGAATGTCACATCTCTAACAAAGTTCCTTTAGTTAACATTGTATTATTCAACCATTTAAAATAAAAAATTCCTTATTTCATAAGACAGAATATTGTTTGAGACATTTCAATTACATTATGTTCTGAATTGAGGAAAACCCTCCTGAAGTTGATGCATATGGAATGAAATATGAATCAGTGAAAAAAACAAACTCCTCATATGGTCTTGAAATTGCTGGTGCTTATACACCTACACCACGAAGCTCAGTATTTCGAAAGCAATCAAGTAAGCCAAGCCTTACAAATAATGAGAGCATCGGTATTCATGTGAAAACACCAGCTGAAAGAAATTCAAATGGTAAGTTTCATTATGATACCTTTTTATTCTTTTCGATAAGAAATATTTTGGCACACAATAATTAATTATTTTGGTTGTTTCCAATTCGTGTAAATATTGAAAAAAATTGTTTTAGAAGAAATTTGTTGTATGAGATATTAGGATCTGGTTCATTAAACAGCTTAATGATAGTCTTACTTAAGACTCAATAGGTAAATGTACATGATACCTAGTGTTGATAATCACACTGAGACTTATACTCAATATTATTTGTAGAAATTTGCATTTTTTATTATTAAGAATCAGAATTGAACTCGAAAGTGCTCTGACTTTTGACGCACGTTCTAATGTTATTGTGAACATCAACTCTACGATTAAAAAACATCCAAATGCAACATGTAAACTGAGTCCCATATCTACCCGCTACTCAAGTAGAACTAGGAGGTGTAGATAGTTTTAAGCATCTTTTCGAAAATTCCATTTGTAAACACGGATTGGTGTTATACAATTAGCCATAATTACTATGTATATTAATAACACTTTCATGTTCGAAATTTGAACTAAAAGTAAAGTGCTCGTCGGTAAATCTAAAGATCATGGAATCGATCACTACCTGGAGTTACAGTGGGAGAGTCCCATTCCAAGACGAAATAACTACTTAATCTCTCTGGTTTTCAGTGGATTCCACTTGGTTGTTAAACTTAACTCAATAAACCTCTCTAATGAATTATCAAATAATTCAGCGAAAAGATCAAGCCTCAAACAAATCGATAACAAAGCTTCAGTCAGAATAATTAAATCTTAAATGGGAGTTATAATCATAGGAAATCGTGTGATGAAATATGTTTTCGTTAAATATACACTTATTCAAAACATAAAAGGTTAACTAATTCATTTCATACATGTTAGTGGTAATGACAGGCAAACAAAATTACTGAAGGTATTTCGCACTGTTTCATTCAGATATGCAACATACTTCAGAGCGAGCTCCTAATGTAAGAAAGATCAATAGAGATAATTCCCCACCAAAAATTTTAGTGAATAATACGCCTTCAGAATCTTCAAGATCAACACAAAAATTAGATAGTCTGAAAGATTCTTTGAAACATTCCTTACCTTTTTCTCCCGATAAAGAGAATGAATCAAGTTCAGCAACGGAGAAAGAATCGAAAATTTCTATTCTTCCCGCGAATCGTTTACATATTCCCAGTAAACATATTCTGTCTACAGGTAAGTGATATTTTTATATAATTCTTCTCCACAAATATATTAACGGTGTCATCGAATAAAATAAAGCAGTTACGATCCTTTAAATATTCGACATTTAGAAGAGAAATGTTCTAGAACTAAATTTATGGCCACTAAAAATTATCCAACCACATGTAGTGTAGAGGGTAGTCACTTTTGCTGGACAGTTATGCATCTAGTAATGCTAGCTATCTTCTTTATCAATGCAACAAAATCTTTATAATGATAGTTTTGGTCAGACTTTGTATGTGATATCCAAACAAACAACAGTTCGAATTAGGATTTCTAGACACCATAGCCATAAGAAATCGAATGACTATACACTGCTCTGTAAAATGCATTCAGTACTGTTTCCAAGTGTTGCTAACTAAGTAAAATCTACCCTAGCAAAATTCATTCTAATAAAATCCAAAGTAAACACATAACGAAATTAACTTATTGTGTGAATAAAGTGGTGAATTATGTCAGTGTTTGGTAATGAGTATCACTGATCACAAGATTAGAACTTCATTTTGTAAACGTTTACCACCTGGTGTTATTAAGACGTAAGCTGAAGATGTTCAACGCCTAAAATTCATAAGATTTTCCCAATACATTGTGAATTTCTATCATGACAACAAAAAATGTGTTCACTACTTGATAAAGTCATATGAAAAACTTTAAAATTGTCTCATTTTTCAAAATCAGTTCTTTATGCAGAAGCTGTTTAGCTTATATTTACGATTCTGTATATTTTGACAAATGCTTCCTAGCTGAATGGAAACTACGAGACAATCTCCAAGCAACTCTGGAAGCTTGAATGTTAAAAAGTAATCATATGAGAAAGCGGTTTTTGTAGTAAAACGTAATGGAAAGATGGTGTACAAATTAGTATATGTGATATGTACAGTTTGGTGTACACTCGATTTACGATCCGTTCATTTTATGAAGTAGCAACCTGAACTCAAATATGCATGAATTAGAGTGTAAATGGCTTCAGTTATTTCTGCTTCCTAATTCCAAAGATACTTTTGTTTTCGTCCTAATAATAACATTACTTACTTACACCTGCTACCCCTTGTAAAGGGGCATAGGCAGCCCACCAGCATTCTCCATCGAACTATGTCTGGACAATCCTTTCCAGTTGTTTCCAAATGCTATTCATTCTTCTCATATCTGCCTCCTATTTCCGATGCAACGTGTTCATTGATCTGCCCATTTTCCATTTCCTTTCAGGATTCCAAGTTAGGGCCTATTTCGTGATGCAGTTTGTTGATTTTCATAATGTATGCCCTATACACCTTTAACGTCTTTTCCTAATTTCCTCTTCAACTGGAAGCTGATTTGTCCTCTTCAACAGTAAACCGTTGCTTATGGTTTTCAGCCAACGGACATTGAGTATCATACGTAGACAATTGTTTATTAATACTCGTACCATTTTGATGATGGTTTTAGTAGTTCTCCAAGTTTCAGTTCTTTATATTCACTTAACTGACTAGTCTAGCTATTTAAATTCCAATATAAATCATTTTAACATCTCAAAAGCAAGACATTATTATCTTCTGCCAATCACCATACTGAATTATTTTATCGGTTTATGAACAGTCTGTATCCTAGGTTAAAATTATTGAATCTTCAAAACTCAATAGATTGTTTAACGAATAATATGATAAAGATTATCCTTCGTTCATCAACTAAAATAGAGAAATATCTAGTATGAAATATTATTACAAATCTACTCATCTCCTTAATCCTTTCTTAAAAACAACTACGTTTTTAAGTTATTGGACATTAACATTCAGTGTAATTTAATTCTATAACATGAATAAATAGGTGTAGACCGAAGAATTGAAAGTAGAAATAATGGATCATTTACTTTACAATTTATTATGAGTTCACCAGAAAGTTTACAAAAGGGTAGGTTTAACATTTCATTTATTCCTTGTTTTAGTTTGGTAATTTTATGTGATCATAACTTGCTAACATGAAACAGATAGATGTATGAAAATTGTTTAATGTAACTCAATCAAAAAACAGTATTAATAGACACCACCTTTTTATTTTCTAGTTAAGAAAACACGATAAACACAAAAAAATACCAAAAGAGATATAGTTTATAATTACCTTAGAAATAATCAATAATGAATACAAAACTAATTAAATCTCCTATTAACCAAATAGTTTAAATGAAAAAAGTACAAGGTCAACTACTTGTCTATAAAAACTAAGCTCATCTTGTACAATGCTACTAATTGGCATTGTGATATATGGTAGTTTAATCATGGATATCTGATCTTTTAAAAATAATTCAGCTTGAAAGAATACTGAAAAGTATCAGTTTACATGTGTAGGCTTCTTTAACAGCAAATATGAACGAGTGCTAATAAATAGTTTACATCCTTGTCCATACATGAAGAACATGGTATGGAATTTTTGAAGTGAGTTTAAAAGCTAGACAAATAGATACAAAATCTAAATAAAAATAAGAAATATACCTATCTATAGAAACACTAGATGTTAATAGCTGAAACATTTAAACGACTAGTAAATCGTACTTTGATGTGGGTTACTTATATCCACACAAGTAGTATATAACGGTGGTCAGGCATAGAATGTATTTCAGTAAAAGGTCGATGACGGAAGAACGGGAACGGAACTCAATAGATATGATAACGCATGAACAATGAAATCTGAGACAATGGATTGATGTTTGCAACAGGAACAGTCAAGTTTGATATGATGGATTGATATTTTGCAAATTAACTATTTACTATATGGTTCTCAGATTTTAGTGAGATGCTCTGTAATTTCGTGTCAAATACATTCGAATGTCCCCACTCGTGTTCTTGTTCACTGCAGTACTAGTGTTTATTTAAAGTTTCGTATACCTCTATTTTGATGAACCATATTTGAGTGATAAAGATACTTTAAGCACATAAAATTGTAGGAAAATATGTTCATGGAACCAAACTATGGATCAGGCAGGAAATATTTCAACACATTTCAATCTTAATACATCGACTGCTCAATATCTTCTTGTCTCTGTCATTTTATCGAAATTAGAACATTATTTAGTAAACGTTCGTAAAGAAAGAACAACAAATCTTTATTTCAAGAATAATAATTATCATATATCATCTTCATGTGCATCATTCTTACAAATAAGCTATAGCATTACACAGTCTGTGAAATATATGTAAATCACCAAGATATTGCTAGGTGAACCACAATCTGTTTTTGTGCCTATAATTTGAGGTTAAGTTGATAAATATCCAACCTACCAATATTCGTTTCATTGAGCACTCATAATGACGTATTTCTTTCTACAAAATAACCAGTCTGAATACTACTTTTAATTATTGCGCTGATAAGCAATCCAGGGTCAATAACTAGTTTCTTTCGTACCCTCTTCGTCCTTCCGACGCACATTAAACAGCAGACACAGATAGACAGCTAAACAAGACTGTACATAACTATAGAATCCTCTTAGCTATGCTTATTGATAAATCAAACTAGATTGTTTAAATGTGAAAAGACAGAAAATAAGAAAGTTCAATTCGTTGTTGATATTCTTATTTTGTTAAGAAAACATCAGGATAAAATTGCTCACTGGATAAGTTTAGTACGAAGACCATTATACCAAATCAGATTAAATTATTCAAACAATCATTCAGCTTATTCCATATAGTCAATCAACTGTAGTATAAGCTTGAACTATTAATAATATAAGTTATAGTAGTACTGTCTAATTTAAACTTTTTATTTCATAGGATGGATAAATGAAAATATACTAATTAGTTTTATGAACACAATAGAGTGGGTATGTTCACGATTAACAACTGTTTTGAAGAAAAAGTGAGTAACTTTTTATTTATAGGTGCTAGTAATGCAACAGAACGTTTACTATGATTACTGAAATTCAAAATTTTTTTTTAACTTTATTTATCCGGTAAATTTGTTTTAAATTGTTTTCAAGAACTCAGAAGTTGGTTTAAGAGTATAATTTGGATTTGTGAACTTTACAAGGTCAAGTTGAGGATAGTAGTAGTAATGATAATCATAAGGTTGCAGTGATTGACTACTGAGTAATAACCAATGTCATGTTTAAAGCGCTGGTCAAATATATTGATCAAGTTGCATTGTAACAAATTTAAATGAATTGATGAAAACTTCGTTGATATTAGGTATTTGGAAGTCATTGGTAAGAAGCCGTGAATCTAGGTTTCTCTTAGTTAGCACTTGTTAATAAATCTCACCACCAATCCGTGTGGAATCGATGCTCGCTGTGGGAGTCAAGCTCGCACAATCAGATATATTACCATGGAGTCATTCGGGTAGTGATCGACTTTATGTATGACTGAGACATTAGCACTGATTGATCAATAAGTAGTAACCAATATCATATTTACCTAGTCTTTAGTCCTAATTGCATTTCAGAGATCAAAAGGTATATATATATAATATTGTAATACAATCACTTGGTTTTACTTATTTTAATAAAATTACAAAGGGGATATTCGTATAAGAGAATCCACTGCTATATTGATCGCTAGTCACAGAAATAAAACATGAAGCTTACACAATACCACATCAAAATAACAGGCATTCCTAACACATGATTTCCAGAAGCAGTTTTCATGATAGACTGATAGTTTGAGGTTCAGAGGTGTTTAATCTCAACTATGCTCTGTGTTAAACCCTAGACTTAATGTCAGTTCTTTATAAATACTATCAGAATATATAAAATCTTTACACTACTACATATATATAAATATCAGTTCAATATATTTTTCATTAACCGCTATCATGAAATTGTGACAAAACTGATTTCATTGTCTAGTATCTGGTTTTCGATCTCGAATTTCACATAGGAATGTGGAAGACATAGCACTTTTACAAAAAGTATCCACCCGTCGAAGTCATGCTGTCTATTTGAATTTTCATTTAGGGTTACTTACTATCTTTCAGTATTGGTAAAATGTAGTTTTTTCCACTTTCACATTGCACCTAATGAAAGTTTAATAGTGTTCCAAATGATTAAAAATCAATACAAAAATAACAAAATTTGATCGGTTTTAGTCAAAATTCTAATGATGTATACATTTTTTGCTTAATTCTAGTGAAGTATCTTATAATTATGAACAATTACAATTCCCTCATTATTGTGAACCACAATACATTCTTTATTCAAGTTTATTAAACTTCAAAGAATTTAATTTTCTAATAAAAAATTCTTTAATTCATCGTAAAATAAATTCCTATACACAAATCAATTCCCATAATAATGAAATCATTCGAGATACTACTAACAATCAAATATTAGTAGACAAAAAATTTACTGATAATAATAATAACAATAATAATATCATTCTTTTATTTAAAGTTGGTTTTAATAGATTAATGAAATCCGAATACCAATTATGAAATTATATCAAATAACATCAATGAATTCAATACCAAGTTCTTCTTTAATACAATTTTATAAAAATAATTTATTTAATATCATTGAATATGATTTAATGGATAATATTTTATTATCAACAATTACAAATGTATATATTATTAAACAAATACAATCAATCTTATCAAATATTGATTTATTACAAAATAATAATGAAAAAATCAATAAATCATCAAATATTTTATTAAAATTATATTTAAAAAATTTGGCAAATGTTTTACAATCAAAAAAGAAAAATAATCACTATGCTAAACATGTACAATCTTATCCATGGGTATCATATTCTACAGATGGTACATTAATAATTCGGTAAGTTATAATGATATTTATTTGAGTAAAATGAAGTTTGACAAATGTAATAAATTATACTTCGAAGAGATTAGATAAGGTGAATTGTAGTATATATATAGGATCTTTCAATTAAATTTTCCAATCCATACCTGGAAACATAAATTGCCTGGTGGATGTCCAGAGTGTTACTTACTTATTTACTTACGCCTGTTACTCCTAATGAAGCATAGGCCGCCAAACAGCATTCTCCAACCCACTTTGTCCTGGGCCTTCTTTTATAGTTCCATCCTATTCTTGTTCATTTTTTTCATGTCTATCTTCATTTCCTGGAGTAATGTGTTCTTTGGTCTTCCTCTTCTCCTTTGGCCTTGAGGATTCCATGTGAGGGCTTGTCTTGTGATGCAGTTCGGTGCTTTCCTCAATGTGTGTCCTATCCACTTCCAGCGCTTATTCCTGATTTCCTCCTCCGCTGGGATCTGAATTGTTCTTTCCCACAGTTGGTTGTTGCTAATAGTGTCCGGCCAACGGATCCGAAGTATTTTGCGTAGACAACTGTAAATAAACACCTGTATTTTCTGGATGATGGATTTTGTAGTTCTCCAGGTTTCTGCCCCATACAGTAGAACTGTCTTGAACTTTTGTATTGAAAATTCTGACCTTGGTGTTGGTTGACAGTTGTTTTGAGTTCCAGATGTTCTTCAGTTGTAAATATACTGCTCTTGCTTTACCGATCCGCGCTTTCACATCTGCATCAGACCCACCATGTTCATCAATGATGCTGCTCAAATATGTGAAGGTTTTTAAATCTTCCAAATCTTCTCCGTCAATTGTGATTGGATTGGTGCATGCTGTGTTGTATCGGAGAATCTTGCTGCTGTAACACTGATCGTCTTCTCCTGCATTTGTTGTTGAGTTTGGGATAGGAGGTCCAGATCATCTGTGAAGTCTAGATCGTCCATCTGCATCCTAGACGTCCACTGTATCCCATGCTTCCCCTCAGATGTTGACATCTTCATGATCCAATCGATCACCAGGAGAACGAGGGAGGGTGAGAGTAGGCAACCTTACCTGACACCGGTCTTTACTTCGAACGAGTCTGTGACCTGTCCTCCATTCATGATTTTGCAGTTTAATCCATCATAGGAAAAGCTTCCATTGTGTTGTTCTGTCCACGCTATCAAATGCCTTTTCGTAGTCAATGAAGTTGATGTAGAGTGATGAATTCCATTCAATTGATTGTTCCACAATGATCCGTAGAGTTGCGATTTTGTCTGTACACGATCTATCCTTACAGAATCCTGCCTGTTGGTCTCGAAGTTGGGCGTCTACGGATTCCTTCATCCATGTCCAAAATGTTAGTGACTATTATTCATCCGTAACAAATTAGGATCCTAGTTTTCAATTGGTTGTTTAAATATTAACAAGGTCAAGTATGTAGAAATGATCGAAAAAGTTTCAGATCAAGTTCTTCTCAGACAAATACCTAAGATTTAACAACCACTTGATCAGTTATGTATTCAAATTTATGTTGCTATGTTTAATTTTCGTTAACGTGAATAATGCAATTTCATATAACTTATTTTAAAAATGTTTGAATTAGTCTATGTTTTGTAACCAACATCAATCTGTTTTGCGACAACGATAAAAGACGGCAGATAAAGGACAAAAACACTGTTTTCAATAATTTGGAGAGAGGAGCAGTTAAAATAGTTTTGAAGTTAAACTTAACATTCGTTGACAGTTTACAGCAATGATTGTTTATAATCTTTGGGAAATACACGACAGCTCGAAAGTGAATAACTTGTTCGTCCCTCTTTACATCAGCAGATTTCATTCATGAGCCCCTTGGTCTGGTAATGATGTTCTGTGGGGCTTAAAGCCAAACAAAGTGATTATCCGAAGGTTACCAATTTGCTCTCCATCAAAATTTAAATTAACAACCAACTATTACTTGTTTCCACAACCCTTACACCATTCGCCATTTACGAGTTCGCATTCTTGATGTATAAACTCTTTAATACACTTTTGGCTTATGTATTCTAAAAGGTGGCAAGAGAAAGGTAGTAGAATTTATAGTATTTTCTGGTTAACAAATAACATACCACTAATGCTTTCACACTATTTAGATGTAATCTAAGTATCTGCCTACGTAGTTTCCAGCAATAACAACCTTTATTAAATCATTGATATTGTTTGATTCGTAAAGTTAAGGTTTTTAAAATTTAAGAGAAATGACGATTCAAGGAATAGAAAATCAAGATAATTTGATTTTCGCTGAAAATTACTTGGTATGAACACATGATTAGAGATTTAAATAGAACACGGCAACATAGTTCCATTTTCGAGGTTCATTACACATATACTGAACCATTGCAATCATTTTACCTAAGTGTTAGTACTTCCGTACTTAAAATAGATAAACTAATGTTCATTTAAAATTAAAACACGAATTTCAGCGAAGGGATCTCTTTTCAACGAATTTATTATCAAGCTGTACAATCGTATATATATGAAAATTTTGTTTTTGTAAAAGTACTAATTCCGTGAGGAAATGTGAATATAGTTAATATAAAGGTTATAATACTAGATTACGTAATATGAATAATAACAATAACAATGGATTTGGTGAATATAATAAGATGATTAAAGTGTTTTTGATATAATAATTAAAGGTCATAGAGGTGTACAAAAATAAACTGATATGATGAGCGTTCATGCATAAAACAATGAGAATATAAGACATAAGTAAAGGGGAATGCAGTAATAATAATAATAATAATAATAATAATAATACATTAATGGTAGGATAATCAAACTAATTAAGGCCAAGGTAACGATAACGATAAGACGTACTTCTTTTGTACGCATAGTTCTGGTTTAAGCTCCTGGATGGCAAGAGCTTCGGCTATTTTTAAAAGTTGTATACGAAGAAATCTGGGTAGATTTGAACGAATCATATAAACAACCTTAAAATCAATTTGTGGATCTGTTGAATGGTTATAGTCAATTAGGTGTTCAAGAATAGAACTCCTAACTGCTTTCCTTTCACCCTTATAGAACCAGGCTGGAATATGTTCTCGTATCCGAGTTGAAAGCGAGCGCTGGCTACGGCCAATGTACCTTGCTCCACAAGAGCAGGTGAACTGGTAGATGCACATGGAGGCGACCAGACGCGGAAGCTTATCTTTTATGGATACAGAAAATAAGTTTCTACTAGTGAAGGATATTCGCAGTTTTGCCGCGTTAAATGTTCTCCTAATAGTTGTTGTTAGACGGTTTTTGATTACGTCCGATGTTCGGTCACCTTTAAATTCCAGACTTATATAAAGGTTTTTCTTTGGAACGGAACAACTAGAATTCTTCTCGCGACTACTTTTATTCATATTCTTTTCTATGAACCGTTCTGGGTAACCATTTTCCGTCAAAGTCTTCTTCAGGAATGCGAGTTCTTCGTTAATGCATTCCGTACTGCATATGTGATGTATGCGATGGCATAAAGAATGGATAAGGTTTCTCTTCCTACTTAACGGAACCCAGCTATAGAAGTTGGTTAGCTGGCCATTCCATGTTTGCTTTCTAAAGATGGATCTTTTTAAAGAACCATTACTCGTTCTCATCAGACGTACATCGAGAAAAGGAATTGATTGGTCTTGTTCCCTTTCTAACGTGAAGTTTATGGAAGGGTGGCACGAGTTAAAGGTATGTAGAATATCATCTAAATCAATATTATTGTCACAAACAACAAACGTGTCGTCCATGTATCTCACGTACAGGTGGAATCGATTGATCATTGAACGGAGTTGGTCGTTTTCTACTTTTGCCATGAAACAGTCTGCTAAAATTGGACCCAATGGAGACCCCATTGCGATCCCATCCCTTTGTCTATATATTTCATTATTGAAACTGAACTGGACATTAAAAGTACAGCGTAACAATAATTCTTTCAAATGTTCAGTTGGCAAACCTAGATCTATATTGTTAGAATCAATATACTCACATAAATAACATATTGTTTCGGTTAAAGGTACGCTAGTGAACAAAGAATTAACGTCAAGCGAGAACATGTGTTTTTCGGAAGCATTAACGTCCTTAATACGATCAATAAATTGAAAAGTATCATGAATAGAATGTTTACATACTTGCCTTCTAACCGGTTCCAATTTTTCCGCTAACCATTTGGCGATTCTGTGGTATGGAGAACTTGACATGTCCAAAATAGGTCGTAACGGTAAACCCAGCTTATGTATTTTCGGTAGTCCATATAAGCGCGGGATGACTGAACCCATGGGACGCATGTGATTATATAAATCTTGGGTTATTATCCCCTTATTCTTAAGATTTTTAACAACATCTGTTAGCTGTTTTTCGATTTGTAATGTTTTATCAACTTCTTTAGGTTTGGAGAATTTAGTACCATCCTCTAGAATTAACTTCATTTTATCCAAATATTCTTTGCGGTCAAGTAGTACTACACCAGCTCCTTTGTCAGGTTTACTTAGGATTAAATCCTTATTTCTTTTCAACAGTATTAGCTGATCCAAGTGGTTCTTAGTTAATAGGTTATTCTTACTACAATGTGCATTAACGAATCCATGACTGCAGTCCAGTAATGTGGACTTAAAGTGCTGGAGATTTTGTGGAGATGTCGGCATAAGATCATGAGTTTGATTTGATAGATTTTCGAATTGTATTTGCGTATGAAGTCTACTGGTTTTGGAGGTGCTGTTACAGAACTTGGGACCCAATGATAAGGCCTGCATTTGGACTGGCGAAAGTTTAATAGAAGAATGATTAAATACATACTTTTCTGGATGTTCTGGAAACTTTTTAGTCACGTCTACGTGTTGCAATGTTTCCAAGTGTTTACGTTTAGCTTTTTGTGACTGTTTTTCTGTAACATTAGTAACATAGTCCTCAAATTGTTTACGTTCATCTAACGACAATTCAAACAATGCGTGACTTCTTAGAGATATGTTGCGATCTAGTTCGACTTTTCGAGATTTGATAGCATTTGATAGAAATATGTTTATCCTAGTGGTATAATATTGTCCTTTATTTGAAATCCTGTAACTCTCTGCTTAGTTACACATGTTTTATTTTCGTTGTTGTTTATTACAACATTTAATCGGCTTGATATTCTTCTTTCTTTGTACTTTTGCACTATTTAACAATTCATGCCTCTGAATATTTGTATATAAGTTTCTATGGTTTCGTATGCTCGACTTTTTGAAGCGTCAGTTAGCTGCTTATCAAATCTAAGGCTTTACTGCTCCACTACTGAGTAGTTATCATTGAGAGAAACTTTATTTAACAAGGAACACATTTTGAATATTAACCGTTATACACAAATAAACTAGACCATCATATCTATTCGCTTGATCATGTTCATGAATATCTAGTAAATGCCTTTCTACTTATTATTTGTACGATCATACAGGTATCCTTGTGGTTCACCAGCTATTATATGGTCATCAAGTCCCTTAATGTATCACAAAGCATGTGAAAATCTCGATAATTCCGATTCATCTTCAGTAAATAAAGGGAAAGTAAATAAAGCAAGTAAACCTAAGCAATTTCTTCATAGTTCATCTACATCTTTACAAAAATCAATCACAAACATTACTATTACTACTGATTCCACCACAACCAATAATAGTAGTGGTATACCAATGTCAGGAATGCGGAATGTTCAACATCGAACAGGATTTTATTTATCGATTTTTGATATTCCTCGGGTGTTATCGCATAAGTCAGAAGTGGATACGGTCATTGATAAAGTTGATAACAAATATAACTCACACATTTCTAAATCATCAACAACAACAGATAATGAAATATCGACAAACAATGGGAAAGATAATTGTTTCAGTACCGAATTAATTCAGAAGTCTAGAAATACTGCTAGAAAACTAGATTCTGTTAGAGAAAATATATCTAGTAGTTGTAGTATGAACAGTAGCAGTAATTTTTCGGAATTTTATCCTGAACAAACTAAATTTAATGACAGTCTACAAAATGACGTTGATGATAAAAAGTTTAACATAGGTCCATTGATTGCACATTTTACACCGTCTGGAGATGGTGTTATATATTATCCTCATAATATTAATAATAATAAAACAACAATATCTGATAGCACTGACCACATAAATAACCTTCAGCCAGCCAATATCCACGCTATCTTTACAAGAGAATATTGTTATGTGTTTAAGAATTCTAACGGTGAATTAGAATATGAATTTCCATCTTTCACAGAAAAAAGTCGACATGATCCAACAATAAGATATCCAGTTTCAGTGGATATAAATTTTAACCATTACATTAGATTAGTTCGTACGAACTCTCATGATTTGACAATAATATTTAAGACAGACGAGGATGTGCTACTTACTATTGATTGTTTTCAAAACTTCTACTCAAATGATTATCGTGAATGTGATACGTATGATCACCCAACGAATTTTGAGGATGAGTCAAAACAACACAAACAGGTAAATGATCTTATTATGAGTTTGTATGTATGGAACAAAACTTCGAAACTAGTATTGTTCAATTTAAAGTAAAACGAAGTTGTAGTTTTTGTCACTGTCGATATCATTGTTAGTTGAAACGGGTGAATGCTACCTCTTAGCTCTTTGGTTATTGAGTTTATATGAGGTTGAACAAATTTAAAATGTTTGACATCAATCAAAGGAATTAGAAGCTATTGCAATTTAATTTAGGAGTCCCTAGTTGCGCAAACCAATTATCCTATACTAGATCCAACTAAAAGGTTTCACGTTATTTAATGACTGTGTTATCACTCCGTTATTGGACAAGATGCAATTGTAATTGAATGATACACCGTATAAACTGAAAACTTTATAACCGGCTGGAATTTCACCTTTAAAACTCGAATGAAATTCATCGATGTGTGTTCTTTATTAAGTCATAAATTGAATCATAGGATCATAAATCTAATTTTCAGTGATCAGTGATAACGAAAAATAATTTACTAGATGAAAGGTAAAAATTAGTTCTTCTGTTCTTCTAATGAGGATGTTTCAACTGATATTATGGGTTAGATATGCATTTAATGTCTTCTGAATATATTGAATTGGGGACAGAAATAACGCTGTGAACTGGATTTTCATTTCAGATAACACTAAAATCTCCATGTATTGTATCACTGCTTAAATTTCGTTTTCCACTGAAATTAAGTTAATACTAAAGACTATGGTAAGTGTAAACTTTCCGAAGGTTGTAAAAATTACTAAGATGAAATGTATTTAGACAATTATTCAAGGTGGACAATTTTTCTAAAATCAAAATAAGTTTATTCTTAACCACATCGGTGTTACTGGAACAATTGATGATAGGATTAGTTCTCCATACTACTTGCTAGTTGTAGATAGTAAGTTCGAATTATACAAATAAACAATATTGTGTAAAAGAGTAATCAATAAATAACGAAAACAATTTTGTGGAAGAATGACGACTTCGATGAAAGAAAGCATAGATGAAAACAGAACTAAAGCTAGCACACTCCAGGTAATTGGCTTACCGTCTTACCAATTCACCAGCAAAATCTAGTCCCCTATAAGATATCGGAGTCACTTTAGTCAAAAAGAGTTTCTAAATATGGTACATACAAACCATTAACATCAGTGTGGGTTCATTCACCCTTTTTCTTACCTCAGATCCTGAGTCGTGAATTCTGTTTATACGTTTTATTCTTTCTATGTTTAAGCTTTTCTTCTACTATGACTACTGACATGGTCACTACAGTACAACTTTTGGATTAGTCTCCAGAATTTTACTGCTCTCCTCTAATGTATTATGCCAGGTTCCATGTTGTGATGAAATTTATACCTTACTATATATTTATATTTTGCTGTTTTTTAAGTGAACACAAGTTTATCTTGTTTTTTTTCTCCCTTTTTATCTATTTTTAACTCATCACTATTTTATAATAGCAGTTCGTTTTATCTAAATTACCATTTTTGAGTTCAGTTGTCGATAACACAAATCAAAACAAACAATTATTAATAAGCAGAAAACGGAAAGAAGTAAGTAACTATTCAATAACAAATTTTTAAAAGAAATGCTAACTAAATTAATCTCCTTTTTAACTATGTTTATGAACATGAATTATTTTCATATCACTAAATTAACACACATTATTGATCATGGTAGGCTCAGGATAGAGTGGGTTGGAGAATTCTGGTCGGCGGCCTATGCTCCATTGGGAGTAACAGGTGTAAGTAAGTAAAATTGATCATGGTAGTTAAAATGATTTTAGACCACTGAAACTAAAGTTGTAGATCAGTGGATTCTAATACACTTTAGTTCTTGAAGTTTATCCAGCCGATATTAGTTGATGTTGTAAATCAATCTCAAACTGAACAATGTTTACAAATTTCTTATTAACCATTATGCAAAATTGATTTGATCAATAAAAAATAATGTACACTTGAACACTGAGTGTTATCCTGTGATTGGTTAATTTACTTTATCTATTTATACTAGTTAACCAAAGCACAAACCAATCAGTAGGTAGCATTTCTGATTAGCCTATTGAATTAAGTGGGAGTAAATCTCTATGCCTGTGGTCCTACTTGGGTTAATGCCGGTCTGAAGCCCGGATAAACGAGGAAGGTTGGGCAGAGGGAATAAAAAGACACAACTTTCCAGTGCTCGGAATAAGTGAAACGCATTGGATTCAGACTGAACAGAAGACGTTAGCTCCGGTAGAGGTGAAGTTGTACTTTGGTCATGAAAAAGAACATGCCTCCCACACACAAGGAGTTCCACTGAAGCTGTTAAAAAAACAACACTAAAAACACTAAAAGGATGGGAATCTCATGGGTCTAGGATCATCAAAGCATTATTCGAAACAGAGAAAGAGGGAATTACAATGAATGTTATCCAGTGTTATGCATCCACCAATGATAGAAATGAAGACGGTAAGGACCACTTTTAGAGAGGCTGCAATCGATCGTAGAGAGGTTCCTGGAAAAATACCCGACTATCATCATCATAGGGGACCTAAACGCCAAAGTCGGAAATGGACGACACTGGATGGCATGGACTGACTAAGAGAAAGGAACGAGAAGTTTTCAAATCTATGTGCATTCAAAAATTGGTTATAGGTGGCACAATATTTTCACACAAACGCATACACAAAGCTACATGAGTCTCACCGGATCACACCATAAAGAACTAGATAGATCATATTTGCGTCGGTAGAAAATCCGCAAGGTCAATGGAAGGCCTGAAAACCTGAAGATGAGCTGACATAGCTTCAAATCACCGCTTGAATGTTGCCAAGATGAAACTGAAGCTAAAAAACACTAGACATCTGGGTAAACAGGAATACAACGGTTCAATACAGCCTTCCTTCGAGACACTGACAAACCTAGCGAATTGAAAATAATTCTCAACAACAGGTTCCAAATCCTACAGGACCTACTGAAAGAAGAAACTACTATCTAGGACAATACGAAAGGAATGAAAGAAGCATTGACTTCATCATTCCAGGAAGCACTGGGTTGCAAGAAGCCTCATCATAAGGAATGGATCTCTGTCGAAACCCTGGACAAGATTCAAGAAAAGAAAAACGGGAAGACATCAATTAACAAGACTCAAACAAGAGCAGAGAAAGTCAGGGTACAGGATACACAGAAGGAAACAAGAAAGTGAAGAAGAGCATTAGAGCCGATAGGCAGGACTATGCGGAAGACCTAGCAGTGACAACGGAAAAGCCTCATGAGAAGGAAATATCAGACAACTATATGATTCAACGAAGGAACTAGCAAGGAAATGTAGTAAACCAGAGAGACTGATCAAGGACAAAGAAGGTAAGCCAATCATTGAAATTCAAGAACAGAGGAACAGATGGGCAGGACATTTTGAGGAACTCTTGAACAGACCAGCTCCATTGAATCTCCTGAACACCGAAGCAGCACCTACAGACCTTCCTGTAGATGTCACTCCACTAATGATCGATGAAATCAGGATGGCCATGTGACAAATCAGGAGTGGGGAAGCATAAGTAACTGACAATATACCAGCCGAAGCACTATAGTCAGACACAGAAGCAACTGCAAACATGCTCCACGTAATATTCAAAAAGATTTGGGAGGAGGAACTTTGTAGACGACCTAGCTCTCCTATTTTATGCACCGCAACACATCCAGTTGAAGATAGCCTGTTCAGAAGTAGGCCTCAACCTACAAAACGGAAAAAGCGAGATCCTCAAATACAACACAGAGAAAACTAACCCAATCACACTTGATGGAGAAGATCTGGAAGGTGTAGAACCTTTCACGTATCTGGGCAACATCGTTAATGATTAAGGAGGATGTGTTGTAGATGTGAAAGCAAGGATTGGCAAAACAGTGTCAGCATTTTTGCAATTGAAGAACATATGGGACTCAAAACAACTATCAGCCACCACCAAAGTCAGCATCTTCGATGCGAACGTCAATGTATGGAGCTGAAACATGGAGAAGTGGCTGATCACCTCTAACTAAATTAAGATAAATATAACAAACTGAATAAAATGTATATAAGTTCACATGAATAAGTCACTTGTTGTCTTCTTATAATTAGCCGATTGTTAGTTGACATAAATAATAACGTAGCTTTCCTATTTGTTTTCAAGTTATATCATGATCATCGGTTAAGTATTAAGGAGTCTAAAAAACACTATCTGTACTACATATTTTGAAACTTCATCTTTATTTATGAAAAGCCACCTAAAATATACTTATCTGAGTCTATATTGATTTTGAGTTCAATCTAACCATTAACGTTTTTATTAATTTATCACTACAAATTAACCGTAAATAGTTCGGACCATAATAGATTTCGATTAGGCGCTAACCAATAATAATCATCGCAATAATAATAATAACCGATAATCAGCATAAGTTGTGTTAAATCACTTTCCTCTGGTGGATAAAATATATGCACGAAGTAAATGACCTATTTTCAGATTTCGTTTTCAGCATAATAATCTTGAAGTATCATCTTTTGGTTAATAAATTCGAGATTCTTGATGAGATTTCTCAACAGATTACAATGTTGGATAGGTATAATAAAAATGGATACCTTCGGGAAATGTCAATAGTGTTCGTTATTTCAAATGATAACTCATTATAGGTATCCAAATGACCATATGAGTTCGAGTGAAGACACCTTATCAACATGGTATACTTTTCCTGTTTTCTTGTAATCTGGAAACGTTAATTAATGTAGTTTAAAATTTCTTGAATCAAGCTTTCAAGACCTATTGCTTGAGGTTGCGTAAAATTTACACCAGCTTTGGTTAGCATTTTGAGGATCTCTTAACAATGTTTGTGACGAGCGAATGATGTTTAAGAGAAACCCGGTTGAACTGCTCAATGGATTATTCAGTTCCTCATCTTAACTATGACTTCAGAGTTAATCGGTTATCACATGATTTCTGAGAGGTAATATTAATAGTATTGTAAATCCCACCGAAAAATGTTCGTAAGTCCTTACCGAACATGAAATATCACTTTTAAACTATAAAACAAGCATAAATGTTCATGTTAAAGCGAATAAACAACATTTAGTTTAATATAGTATAGATGTTTCCGCAGTGTGGCTTAAACTGCCGATGAGAATCGCTTTTTGTAGAATTAGGAAATTTATACCGATTCTGTGTATTTAACAATTTCTGCATAAATAAAAGCTTTTTAACATGGATTATAATTTAGTGAAAACCGTTCGGTTATATCAGGACCTTGATTTAGTTTTTAGTCCAGCTGGTAGCCAAAATGTAATTAATCATAATTATTGAATTTTGAAATAATACGTAGCCGAAATGTATCTATCAACCACAATTATTTGTCTGATTTTTATTGCACACATATAACTATCAACATAAGCACCAATATTGATCAACTTTTATGTGAGTGATTATCATATGATGTGTATGATCATAGCATGCATTCAAGGAAATATGCATAAGGCTCTATTTTTAGTAAATAAAATGGAAACCAATCTTTGAAGTTATTAGTTCAAAGATCAATTCAAAATATGAAGATAGTTTTGATTTTTGATTGGAATTAATTAGCTTGAAATTAGTTGACGAACAAGGTGCAGTTGGGGGATATTTTTCACTTGTTTGAAGTGTCACATCAATGCTTGCTTATAAACTATAAAGAAACATTCAGGTTTCTCAAATAGACTGACGTTAATCGACCATTTATTTTTAAATTCAATGTTTTTTTATTTCAATTAACTCACGATATATTGGTGATATTGTGGTGGATCCCAGCAAAAGAGCTTACTCAAGATATATCAATACACAAGGTTATTAATAATATACCAAAAGAGTTAACAGTAAAATCCTAGGTGTCTGTCTATGAGTAAAACCAAAAGTTAATAAATTACAGTTAGAATACAAATGGTATATTAAACAACAAGGTAATAACAGTTGTTATGAAAGGAATGTTACTTGTAAGCCGCTCTCTGAGATAACAACCAAAATGAGTTCACTTGTGTTGGGATATTCAGGAAAATATCCCAAAAATTATCCTGTTAAGCCTAATGCTATCCTTGGACATGAAATGGTATCATCTTATTGGTCAATATTTATTTAACGTGTCATTCTCCTGTTGGCCAATATTGTACAATGTTATTTTCTATTTTATGGTACGCTGTGGTCTGCTTGACTGGTATATAAACAAAGTATGTTTGGAATATAATGATTCATAACTCAGAGGCTGTAACTTGTGTTTTGGACTCAACTGACTGGGCTAGACAGGAAAGCGGGGCCAATCAGAACCCTAGGTCGTTCTACGTGTTTGTGCGTCTTTGGTCCGATCAATAATTCGCTACCCCTTAATCAGTATTTCCTCGTTAGAACAACTTGATTAATGAAGATTCCTCTGCGCAAATTAGCACCAACGGCGTAATGAGAAAGACTGGATCCAATAGTATTATTTAATAATAATCCGGGCCAAAAATCCAACGTAGTGTAGGAAAACCTAAAAGGACGTTATAATACTATTATAGTCTTCAAGCAAATGCCGTGGCCAATAAAGCAGAAGAACAGACGGCGGAGATAGTATTTTACATTTCAACCAACGCAGTAGAATATTCGTATATAAGTATCCAAACAATTATAATCGTTTTTAACAAGTGATACAGAAAAACAATGTGTTACATCGTTACATAAAAAAGTGTGAAAAAATGCGGTTTTTATTTTGTCGTTACAAAAATCACTTAATATGCGTCACCATGCTATCAACTAATTTAGTCGGTAGTTTTCAAAAGATTCTAAGACTGGGCTCTGCGGGTTAAAGAGAGGTTAAGTGGGGTCGTTTTGTGCCAAATATGGACACTAAAAGGTCAGGGTATATACACAAGTTATGGGATTTCATCAGGCTATCTAGGTATAGGACATTTGTGTCCGCGAAACATCTTGGTAGAATGCTTTCCTATCCAGGTAGGTAGATATCAGGTTAGAACAATTTTAGCTGCTGTATTGTGGCCATAAATTAATTATATGAAATCTATGCCTGAGTTACACTTTGGTTTCTATAAAATGATCAGATGTACGCTTATTAATATTCGTCTTGACTGGAGGGCCTAATTTTTGTCACTTACTGGTTCTCCTTACAACTCTAGGTGAATGGATTTTCAAAATCGTTTGATTAGTGTTTAATGATACATTTCCTGAAGTTACTTCAAAACAATATTTAGTAAATCGAAGTCACAGAGTTAGTGTGGTACTATGTAGTGACCAAGGTTAGACGAAGTTTATATAAATATTTTATTCATACTATATAACGCTATAGCAATGTAGTAAATGGTTAGATACTGATCAAAAAGTCATTAATGTAGAAGTAGAATACTTGTCATTATTATTATTAATCAAGATAAATGTTTTGCCACATACAATGAAGCGCTCACGATAATCTCATTATGATGATATCTATGAGATTAGTTTGTAAGTCTAAAGACCTGATATCTTATTCAACTAAATAGAATAAAATGAAAGTTTCCCTTATCTATTAATTTCTATTCGATACAGGTTATATGTTATCTGTAGATAGTCGGTGGTTGGATTAATAAAAGAATCATTCTTATTCTATTTAAACATTTTTGTTGATCATAACAAGATCATGAGGACTGGATAAGTCTATTTATGCATAAGATATTGATGTTAGATGATTGTTTTTTTTGAAAATGAAACGAATGAAATAATGGTTTTGATTTATTCAAATGCATGAAGAAAGACAGGAAAGAATGAAAATATGGGTACAAACTTCATTAGAATGAATCATTTTTAATAATTGGATATTGTGAAGTAACAATTAACGATTTGAATGCTTAATGTATATAAATTATATAATAAGTTTGTGGTTTACCAAAGTATAATTAGAAAAACAATTAATATTTGCTCGTTTAATTGGTATCTTAGTGAAATTGTAAAATTATTCCGGTTGTGTTTTAAATGAAATCAGTTCCAAACATCTACGAGCCTAACTGGAAGAACAATTGGTTACTTCAAAGTCTTGCCTACTCAGTGTTTTTGAAATTATACCTATTTTTAATAAGATCAACCCTCCCCCGCGCTTAGACTTCTTATACTGAAAGTTAAATGTAATGTTAAAAAATTATTTTATGTTAACGTGAAATTTACAAATCAGGGTTTACAACAACAATGTTAAGCATCAGTTCAAGAGTATGTAAACATAATTTCATGTTAAATTCTAATCGAATAACTAATGCGTTCAGCGAATAAATCTAATTCTCGTATTATTATTAGTGGCTTTATTCAATGTTATACTTTTTGGTACAATATAGAATTCTCAGCACAAAGTATTTCAACAAGTTTTCTTTTTCTTATTTCTTGATCGACCCTTTCGATAAATATTGACTGATCTCCAGTTAGATGTTATCAGTTCAGGAATAGATATCTGATTAATGTATATTCTTTTCGATGCATATTGCCAGCAACCATGATGTTATTCAGCGAAATGTTGTAAACTTTTGACAAACGCACCTGAATAGGTTACGCTAATAATAGGCATAATGATATGTTAAAACAAACAAGAAAACGGATGACATGTTGAAATATTCAGATGGCAGGAACAGGTAGCCGCCTTGGTTATATATATGTATATATTTAAATTAAAAATGAGCATCAAATAATTTAACATTAGCCATTAACCTGGATTTTTAAGCCTTAATTAAAATTTTTTTAAAAGAAAGTAAGAGTTTTATGGAAGATTTTCTTTTCTAGTAAAGCATGATAAATTATGCTATAAATGCAAATGGATAACAGCTGTTAAAATGCAGAATTGGTACTCCGAGTTCTTTTTAAATAGTCAATTCTATTGCATTATTACCTAAGCGTAGTTTTTAAATTTTCTATTCATTACTACTATATATTTTAAGATCAATTATCTTAAAGTCTAATTCACTACACATTCTTTAAACTGAAGTAGATATCTGTAGCTAATATTTTGTTGTAGTGTAGTTGAAAATTATATACAATTTAACTCAAAGTACGTTGTTTATTGAAAACACCTAAATTGCAATTGACCTTTGATCATCATGTTTATTCCTTGTTCATATTTTTTCACGGAACTAATATTTTACATAAAGATCCCATAGCTGAACTTCGTGTTTTTGACTGATTTACATTTTAAAGAGACGAACATAGTACATTAACTCACTGATCTAATTAAAGTGAACATAGTTCACAAAATGAAATGTGTGTAACCCAAGTCCAGAATGCGCTTTCCTTCCTGTTTGGAACTTATAATCTAGATGTACTTGCATCCTAAAGTTCATATTCACTCCGTGACTTGAACGCAGTACTATTCGCTTATCCACTTAGTTGATGAGTCCAGATATAAATATGAATGTTTGTTACTTTTTATATAGTAAACGTAAACCATCTGTATATAAATATTTTTACAAAAATCAAATATTTATAAAATTCTAATCCCAAAGAACATTTAAGCCACAGAAAAGATCTCGAAATAATCCTGTAGAACTGTAAAATCTATTAATCAAACCAGCAATGGATGTACGTGTTATTTTCAACAAACATCATATCGAATTTTTCGAATTTATCAAGTCAAATCTTGATGCTGATAATTGTAATAATAATAGTTTTTCTATAGAGATTTAAAACCTGTCTTGGGGTTCATTCAAACAGTGACACTACAGACTTATCTATCACCAGTTTTCTATAAGTCGATTATAGTCTGCTTTAATTCACAGAATAAGGTTTTTATGATAGTACCTAATTGAATAATTTCATGGTCTTATTTAAGGTGTGCGATAATATGTTATTTATTACTGTTAATCAGTATTGAATACTAACTCTACTTTCCTTCACTAATGTACGAAATTCAAAGAATTTAACATTTATTTAAATAATAAATACACAATCATGAGAATATGGATGATTTATTCTCATATTCTGAAGAACGTATTCAATTGGGATAAACTAAAGTGTAAAGCATATGTAAAAAGTACTTCAGAAATGACCTGATTTTGCTAATACTTTATGGATAGAATATGAAACCAATGAACTGTTCATCTAAAAATATTAGTAGTTTTTATAGCTATAATAGTGATACAAACATTTGTTGATTATTAATAATGGTTTTCTTGCAGGTGTAAGCGGTTTATTGGAAATAAGTGCATATTAAGTAAGTGTTTGATAGCTCCACGAATTATAATACTCAAGAAATGAATGGTCAAATCGAAAACTTAATCAGTAACCACTTAAAACTCGACAAAATAACTTATTCAGCTTCACAGTTTTCAAGTATGTTAGACGAATATTTGATTTAGACTTAGAATTAATAAACACAACATTTAGGCTTAATCCTATCACTAAGGACAAATTGTTTTCAATGAGTATCATGGATTTTTATGAAATTTAAACAAACCGTAAATACATAATTATATTAATCACTATACTTTATTTGTTAGGAAAGTTTACAAAAGTTATTTAAGAATATTCCACCAAATGATGATTTACAATCACTTTCAAGGCATCTCACTGAGTCAATGAAACAAATAAGGTTAGCCTATTTACTGTACTTATTTTTTTTTTAGAAATTCAGTATTAGAAGGGGTTTTGTGGAGATTGTAGTAATTTCAGTAGTCGAGATTATGAGTCGATTGGAGTTGGACCACAATGGAAAACCTGGAAGCAGTGGACGGCCGTTTCATCCTATTGTGGGACTCACTGATGACAATGGTGGATATGTCGCTAAATCTCGTGGATTAGTTGAAATTAGACATTAACACCGTTGGATGCCGGCCAGCACAGTGGTCTAGTGGTTAAGCGCTCGCGCGTGAAACTGATAGGTTCTGGGTTCGAATCCCGCGAGGTGCGGTCGTGAATGCGCACTGCCGAGGAGTCCCACAGTAGGAAAAAGCCGCCGTTCAGTGCTTCCAGGTTTTCCATGTTGGTCTAGCTTCAATTGACTCATGATCTCAACCACTGGAATTCAGTATCTCAAAGATTTAGAGGATGTAATCTATTTTTATTTTGTTTAATCACTTGGGTTAACTTTGCACATATATCCTTAAGAATGACAACAATATGTTCCAAATTATTTTTTCTGGTTAGTGTTTTTTAGTGAGTTAGTTTTCTACATGATAAAGTCGCTAACCCCATGCTCAACCCTCCTCTTTTATCTGGGCTTTGGACCGGCAGTAGCCCCAGAAGGGATCCAGGCAGAGTTGAGAACAAATAGTGTTATTACCAATTTGTTTAAAATCAAGAAGAGTGGTTATTATCACTGAAACATATGAGATGAAATTTTGGTGACTTAATTGGATTCAGTGGCAATCAGATACTGAGAAAGGTTATTCTTTATAATGAGGAGTTAATAAAGTTTAAAAAATCAGGTCTTGTCAGATGTTACGCTCCATTTCATTATAACTTTTCATAGGCTTTCTTCTGTAGTGTTATGTTCCCTGAAGTGAATGATTTAATAGCTAACCTCTTATAGTTATTCAGGACAACAATGCCATCTAATTCATTACCAATCACTCTCTCTCACGATTAAGTTAACACTGTGTTTTAACTGCAGCACTTTAATACTATGAGTAAAAATGGCTAGTACAATTTATATCATTTGTCTGACCAGAACCAAAGTGTAACTAAAAATCATTATAAGATTTGCCAGGATATCTAGATATTGATTAAGGGATCTATTATCAGAAAGGGGTTTTGTGGATATTATAGTAGTTTAATGGTTGAGTTCATGAGTCAATGGAAGCTAGACGACCGTCTCATCCTAGTGTGAGACCGATAGGTCTTGGGTTCGAATCCCGCGGGGAGAGATCGTAGATATGCACTACTGAGGGGTCCCACACAAGGACGAACCGACCGTCCAGTGCTTCCGGGTTTTCCATGGTGGTCTAGCTTCAATTGACTCGGGAAATCAACTATTAAATCAAGGTATCTATGTTTAGTCCCATTCTGAATCCATGAATAAATGTACGTATGCACATGTGTTTATGCATTTTTCTTGTAAACTTCAAATTTTGTGATTCCTTAAATCACTTGACAAGTATATCTATATATTGCTGTAGTGTGTTAATGCTTTTATATTCAGTATTTTGTTACGGGATACTTTCACTGATATACAAATATTACAAACAAAAATTAGACAACAATGTTAAATGAGAGCAAGAGTTTACAGAGAGTATACCTTGGATAGTTTAGTTCACAAATGTACTTGTTCAAACTAGCTCCAACTAACTACGTCATCAATGTATTTCTAAATTCTACAAGCTATGAATTTAGGAATGATAGTAATTGTATAGGAGTAATATATCCTTATATTTAATAACTATAAATTTACCAGTTTAATTCTTCTATCTCTTCACAGATTTCTTTGTAACCAATGGCTGGAAATAATGCGTCACTGCCTAGGTCTTCAGAGACAACGTATTTCATCACCACAAAGTGCACACCAGTTAATTCGATACAGAGTATGTTTATGATAAACACATCACTAATTTGACAACTCATTATATTTCTTGTATTGAAGCGAAGTGGACTTCATGGTAGTAGCTTGATTTATATTTGATAACTTAGTTACAAAAATTACACTAATTAATTCAGTAGTTTGATATTTCCAAGTTTAATCAGAATCTTTGTTTATAATGAAGTATTAAGACAGATGAATATACCAAGTACCTTTTAGTATTGAACGATATCCAGCAGAATTACATTTAAAAGAATTAAAATGTTTATTGTATATTATAATGTAATAAAAGGAGACCAGATAACATAACTAGAAGACACGTAAACTAAACTCATTTTACACAAACTTTCACCAGTTACATTCAATCACTAAATTCACTTCATAAAATGTATTGACTCATTTAAGTTATTGAGCAGATCGGAAAGTTGATTGACAAAATCTGTTCAGCTTTCAAGACTAGACAACACTGACTTTCACTGGATTATTCCAAAAGAACTACCGTATTTACCCCATAAAAACTCACTGGAAACTAAACGATCTTCAGGTATCTCTTACTTTGATGATAATTAAGTTCTGATTGGTGACTAGCTTCAAGGATTTTTAGTGTAAAACTGTGACTGAAATAGTTCATCTATGTTAGAAATGATCTCATTGTATCACGAAATCAATAAAGTTAGAAATGTTGACCATTGTTTGTCAATTCAGAGGTACATGGCTGCAATTTTCACCACGACGTCTAGCGTTCCTAGGTTTGATCAACAGAGCAAATAACCATTCCCACTATCACGAAGTCCTAATTTAAAAAGGAGCAACTTACCAATGTACTTTAGTCCTTATGCATCCTTCAACTAAAGTTATCTCGTAATGAAAACAAACTTCTATTGGTTTAAAGTTCCAAAAATTTGATAATCTCATTAAAATTGTTTATTGCTGTAAAATATGTTTTTCAGAGTCTGGACTATATGACAAAACGATATGGAACATTTACAAGTGTATCATCTACTAACCGAGCAAGTGATTATAACTCATTGGTTCACTCTGATAAACTTATTTGTAACTCATTCGGACAGAAATCGATAAGGTTATCGAAGCCCAATTCAGCAAGGAAAATCAACAAAATACCTTTTAAAAAAGAATATCCGGATACATTCCTTACAAATGACAAGAATAAAGAGTAAGTGTCACTGAAATAAATTTGGGCTTAAACGATATATTTGTAAGTAGAAAAAGAGATCAGTGGTAATTTGTTACATAATTAGAACAACACATATAAGCGAACAATTGTTTTCAATTAGATCGTCATCAGGCTTTACTCTAATATACATGAATATTTATACGAAATTTTTTTTAAACCAATCAAGGCAATATGGGTCAATAATCACAATGAAATAGAATAAGTCACTACACATAATAGGTAAAAGTACAAGTTGATAGTAGGAAGACAGGTGAACTGATAATAGTGAGAATAATAAAATACAATAACAAAACTCTTATCAATAGTTAATCGTTGGAAATAGAAGGTCAAACAAACATGGGTAAATAGACTAGGAATAGTAATCACAAAACATTAAAATCATTACGTAATAAGATGTGTGTAAATAATTAGATAGTGAAGAATGAATAATATTGTCCGACCGGCCATTTTTTTTAAAAAAAAACCCCACCCCCTAAAAAAAATTTTCCACCCCAAAATTACAATATTTTTCATCCCGTGTTTCGTCCAATAAAATGGCTAGTTTCAAAAATTAGATTTAATTGGTTAGTTATGTCTTGAAAATTGTTATAAATTATCAGTACTTGTCGACGAAGCACAATCTCAATCGTCATTATGGAGCAGAGTAACGTGCCGAGTACAAGCGCTGGTGTTTCTCACGTAACGGAAATGGAGGAAGTCTTTTTGACTACCTTGTTTCGGTTGCGTTTCCATCGGTTAAAGCGTTAAAGACCACTATCACAAATTTTGAAAGATCGACTTACAGTCATTATGTAGTGAGAGATTCGCATATTGGCAGAGATCAAAAATCCTACATTAAATTGAATACAAAGAGGCGGAAAATTACAAACAAATAGTGGATGTGGAAATAAGGTTAACGATAACACAAATAGAATAAAATAAATAATGATAATAATAAAATTAAAAAAAATTGTTAGTTAAGTTACAACTGGCCATGGAAGGGATAGGGGGGTCACGTATTTCTTCTGTACACATAAATTGGGGTTATATGTACGAATTCCAATGGCTTCAGCTTATATATAGGAGACGGGAACGGACTCCGTCGGGAAATGATGGAGGTATACGATAGATAACTCGAAATGATTTCGATTTATCTACTGCATGACCGCTATCAATAAAATGTGCCAATATAGAACTGCGAATAGATTTTCTCTGGCCCTTTATGTACCAAGTTGGAAGATGTTCACTTATTCGTTGGTTAAGTTGCCTGGTAATACGCCCTATATAGCTATCTCCACAGGAGCAGCTGAATTTGTAAATGCACATAGAAGAGGCCAACTCAGGTAACTTATCCTCCGTTTGAGTAGACATCGCTGGTCGACAAGAGAGGGTCAACGCAAGATTGGCTGTGTAGAATGTCCTGGTGATTGCTTTGGTTAACCTATATTTCAGAGTGTCACTAGCCACATCCCCGTTGAATTGCACTTTCATGTATAAAGGTTTCTTACGAACAACCGGATAACTATCATTTACACAAAATGAATTTGCTACTAGACTATCATAATTAGCCATTATCGAGCACTTTTCATAGAATTATGCCCTTAAAATTTTTAATACATGCATGAATCAACAAAGTGATAAGAAGTAACTTAACAGTTGATTCTTTTCCGTCGAATTTCTAGGGTTCTGATATAAAGTATTAAAATCGATTAAATAATTAAGTGCAGACTTTCTCGAGGACAGTAAGTCATATTTATTAGGTGAGTACTGGAGGTAATATCTGACAGTTAAGAACGGAGTAGATGAAATAAAGCTGTAAATTAATATTTTACACCAAAATCATGGTTAAGGCATTTTTGAGCAAATTACTTACTTACTTACGCCTGTTACTCCTCGTGAAGGAGCATAGGCCGCTCACCAGCATTCTCCATCCAACCCTGTCCTGGGCAATCCTTTCTAGCTCCTTCCAGTTGTTATTCATCCTTTTCATATCTGCTTCTATTTCCCGACGCAATGTGTTCTTTGGCCTTCCTCTTTTACGCTTCCCTTCAGGATTCCAAGTTAGGGCTTGCCTCGTGATGCAGTTTGACGATTTGCGTAATGTATGTCCTATCCATTTCCATCGTCTTTTCCTAATTTCTTCTTCAGCTGGAAGTTGGTTTGTTCTCTCCCACAGAAGGCTATTGCTGATGGTATCCGGCCAATGGATGTTGAGTATCTTGCGTAGACAGCTATTTATAAATACTTGTACTTTCTTGATGGTGGTTGTTGTAGTTCTCCAAGTTTCAGCTCCATACAGTAGAACTGCCTTGACGTTCGTATTGAAGATTCTCACTTTGATATTGGTTGAAAGTTGTTTTGAGTTCCATATGTTCTTCAATTGTAGGAATGCGACCCTTGCTTTGCCGATCCTCGCCTTTACGTCTGCATCTGAACCTCCTTGTTCATCGATGATGCTTCCCAGGTATGTGAAGGACTCTACATCTTCCAGAGTTTCGCCATCAAGAGTGATTGGATTGCTGTTCTCCGTTTTGTATGTTGAGGCCTACTGATGCAGAGACTGCTGCTACACTGGCTGTCTTCATCTGCATCTGTTCGTGTGTACGTGATAGGAGGGCTAGGTCATCTGCGAAGTCCAAATCGTCTAATTGATTCTGAGCTGTCCATTGTATTCCGTGTTTTCCTTCAGATGTCGAGGTCTTCATAATCCAGTCGACCACCAGAAGAAAGAGGAAGGGAGAGAGTAAACAGCCTTGTCTGACTCCAGTCCTTACTTGGAATGCATCTGTCAGCTGTCCTCCATGCACTACTTTGCACTGTAGTCCGTCGTATGAGTTCCGGATAATGTTGACAATCTTCTCAGGAACTCCGTAGTGTCGAAGAAGTTTCCATAATGTCCTCCTATCTACACTGTCGAATGCCTTTTCATAATCAATGAAGTTGATGTATAGTGATGAGTTCCACTCAACTGATTGTTCGACGATGATCCGTAGTGTTGCAATTTGGTCTGTGCACGACCGATCCTTACGGAATCCAGCTTGTTGATCTCGAAGTTGGGCGTCTACTGCATCCTTCATCCGGTTCAGCAACACTCTGTTGAAGACTTTCCCTGGTATTGACAGTAGTGTAATGCCTCTGTAGTTTTCACATTTGCTCAGATCTCCTTTCTTTGGAATCTTGACGAGGTGTCCTTCTTTCCAGTCCATCGGCACTTGTTCCTCCTCCCAAATCTTTTTGAATAGAAGGTAAGCATGCTTGTGGTTGCTTCGATGTCTGATTTCAGTGCTTCAGCTGGTATGTTGTCGGGTCCTGCTGCTTTCCCGTTCTTGATTTGTCTGACGGCCATTCTAATTTCTTCCGTCGTTGGTGGGTTGACATCTATAGGAAGATCTATGTGTGCTGCTTCGATGTCCGGTGGATTCATTGGAGCCGGCCTATTCAGGAGTTCCTCGAAGTATTCTACCCATCTGTTACGCTGTTGTTGAATTTCGGTGATTGGCTTGCCTTCTTTGTCTTTGACCGGCCTCTCTGGTTTACTGTATTTCCCTGCTAGTTTCTTCGTTGTATCGTAAAGCTGTTTCATATTTCCTTCTCTAGCAGCTTTTTCTGCCGTCGTTGCTAGTTCTTCCACGTATTTCTTCTTGTCGGCTCTAATGCTCCTCTTCACTTGTTTGTTTGCTTCTATGTATTCAGCTTGTGCTTGGACTTTCTCTGCTCGTGTTCGGCTGTTGTTAATTGCTGCCTTCTTGTTCTTCCTTTCTTTGATCTTGTCCAGTGTTTCTATAGAGATCCATTCCTTATGATGGTGTTTCTTTAGGCCCAGAACCTCTTGACACGTTGAAGTTAATGCTTCCTTGATGCCTTTCCAGTTGTCCTCCATACTAGTTTCTTCTTCTTTCAGTAGATCTTGTAAGGCTTGGAACCTGTTGTTGAGAGCTATCTTGAATTCATTGAGTTTGTCAGTATCTCGAAGGAAGGCTGTATTGAACCTTTGTAGTGCTGTTTGTCCACTTGTCCAGTTCTTTTTTAGCTTCAGTTTTAAATTGGCTACAACTAGGTGGTGATCTGAAGCTACGTCAGCACCTCTCCTGGTTCTCACATCTTCCATTGTCCTTCGGAATTTTTTGTTGATGCAAATATGATCTATTTGGTTCTCTGTAGTGTGGTCCGGTGAGATCCATGTAGCCTTGTGTATACGCTTGTGTGGAAATATTGTGCCTCCTATGACCAATTTGTTGAATGCACATAGATTTGCAAATCTTTCTCCATTTTCGTTTCTTTCTCCCAGTCCATGTCGTCCCATGATATCTTCATATCCGGTGTTGTCTATTCCGACTTTGGCATTTAGATCTCCCATCAGAATAGTTAGGTCCTTTCTTGGCATTTCTCAATGATTGACTGCAGCCGCTCGTAGAACTGATCTTTAATGTCGTCGTTGCTATCATTGGTGGGTGCATAACATTGGATAATATTCATTAAGATCCCCTCCTTCTTTGTTTTGAATGATGCTTTGATGATTCTGGATCCGTGAGACTCCCATCCTACAAGTGCATTTCGTGCTACTTTGGACAGCATAAGAGCGACTCCCTGAGTGTGTGGAGCATTTTCCTCTTCGTGACCGGAGTATAGCAGCATCTCTCCCGTAGCTAGCCTTTTTTGTCCAGCTTGGGTCCAGTGGGTTTCGCTGATTCCCAGTACTGCTAAGTTGTATCTCCTCATTTCCATTGCTATTTGACTGGTCTTCCCGGTTCGGACGTTCCATGTACCTATAAAAATTTTTGCTCTGGTTGTTAGAAGGGGCATCGGCCTCGTGGCTTCCGAAGGAACTCGGCTTTCACCATGAAGCGTCATAATTCTTCTAAATGAAGACCTTCTAACTCCCAGGGCAGAGTTTAAATGGTTTGAATATTTTTTCTGGTAAGCGTTTTTTTAGCGAGTTAGTTTTCTACGGGATGGGGACGCTAACCCCATGCCCAACCCTCCTCTTTTACCCGGACTTGGGACCGGCAGTAACTCTAGAAGAGCTACAGGCGGAGTTTTTTGAGCAATTACATGGTTATTATTTGTAATTTTTCGCACTTGACGAAAATAATGATGATGCATACAATTTATTTATAGACCACTGATCGTAAGAAATGACAAATCTTCTGAAGCAATACTTATGAATGAAAAATTTACAAGATCATTAGGTATTGAAAACAATCAAAAAATGATGATGAAAAACATTACTCAATTGTTAATGCAACAGATATTTTTCCAGTTGCATGTCCATTGTTACTTCGATCATGGTTGAATGAAATAAAACACTACAAATATTTTAAACATCTAAACAAACTTAGACAACTAGATGAGACTACATTCGAACACAGTGTTGAACTAAACTCTGATGAAAATAAATCACTAGAAACAGCTTTTATGAATGTTTTGATTAATCCATCGAAATTCGACAATCAGTTTTTGTCAACTTTAAGTATGATATCAAATAAAGGCTGTCGATGCAGTCGTCATATACCACCGGCTATCACTGACTTGGAATTTGATATATTCTTGAATAAATTGATACAATCATATCAAGCTGCAGTGATAATCGTTTACGATTCCAGGTAAGACATATTTTCATAAAAAAGTATTTCAACGAAACTCTGATTCAATTTGTACCCGGTATTTACGTTATATATTTATAAAAACCAATGAAAATTTATCAGATTGAATTAGCCTTTAATTGTATTATTATTATTAAAGCCTAACTTGTAAGCCGGTTCTCTAACTCTATAATGAACGAATGAGCCATGAACATAAATTACTCGTTTATTTTCGTATACTCTACTTAGACTAATGCCATTTGAACGACAGCGGTAATGAAAAGCCAAACACGAATTTATTTCATGTATTCGTTTACTCAGACACACATTAAGATGAGAGTTGGAGAGGACTGATGCGTCAATTCAATTTAACTAAAACGTGATCTAACATTTACAATTACGAAAGATATCAGCAAGCACATAGACACATCATACTATCAAACGTACATGCTCAAGATCATATACAAGAATGGTAAAATGACTGAGAAGGTTAATATAACTCATCAGCCTAAAGGTAGGGGTAAATGATGTAGTCAACAATCTGATGAAATAAAATATTGAGAATACTAAGGTAACCAAACTGATTAAATCAACACCTAGAAGCCAAATCAGATAGAATTACTATTCAATTAATTGAAGATGAATATTTTACGAGAAATTTATAGTATTGTTTATGTGTAAAATACTCAACCTGACTAGTAGCTGCAGGATATGTTCTTGTCAATGAAGTTTTTAGCCTCATATTGACTGACCCAGTGATATCATCACCTTTCAATTTAAGCTGAATAAAAAAAGGTTTTTTATTTGTTGTAGTTTCTTTGGGGTTTTTTATCTTCACATTTCTCATATTTCTCAATAAACTCTTGTGAGTATCCGTTATTCTTTAATTATTCATTACTTCCTCTTCTAGTGTATTGATAGTACATATTCTTTCTGTTCTGTGAAATATTTAATTTGTTACAATAATAGATAAGATGAAAATAATTGATTTAGTATTTTAATATAAAACAGATTACTGGCTTTATTTACGTCTAAAGATGAATTTATTGACAGACGATTTGTTATTTGAGTAAATATTAATAAATTTGCATTTATAAAAATGAAATTTAACACATACAAGAATCCGTTTATTTATTTATTTTAACACATAGATATTGGTACAGAGGCACCAAATACATATGCGCCACACAGATTTCATTTGATATGTGTGAGGGCTGCGATACTGCCCGGGTGCCCGAACCGAAGCAGGTGGTTTTCTTAGGGGGCCACACCCGGAGCCTTCGACCTGAAGGTCTGATCCAAAAGGCAGTGGGGCAACGTAAGGAGATGCAGTCCCATGGTAGCCGGTGACCAACAGTTGGTTCATACGCCATTTTCTCCTTCAGGATACTGGAGCCCATGTGCACTATTGGTTTGGGATCAGGGTTTTCCGAATCCCCTATGTGGACTCTCCATGTCCACCAACCCGGTTAAAGCGCCGGACGATAATCCGTGAAATAATAAAATAAATTTTGCTTTAATAAACCACAACAAAATAAATGAAAAGAGTTAGTATATTTAAAGTTATATTTTTCTTTGAATTGTTATGATACTATAAATATTACTATTTGTAATTATAGTGATTTATTTACATTTAGGTTGCCAGATGGGATTCATATTGGTATATGTGATCTTCTTTGCCAGTTATATATAAAACAACAAAATACATTACCAACAAGTAGTCGTACTGTGAATGATGAGATTCATATTGTGACTGCAAGTGATCATTTCTCAGAAAGATTATACGATAAATACAAAATTGCAGGAACTGGAGCATGTGCATCAATATCTACGAGAATGGCAGACTATCGATTCTTGATTTATGATCTAGCGCAAAATATAAATAATAATGAAAATAATTCCAGGAATGCCCATTATTACTAAAAAGATATAATGGACGACCGAAACCGGGTGACTGTTTAATTTTTATTCAGGGGAAACTATGTTTTATCGGGTCATCTTTCACAGGCTATGAAGAGTTACCATGGTCAAAAGAACAGTTGGATAAAAAGGTGGCCCAGTGCAGAAATCAATTGACTAAACAAGGGTTTTCAATACCTACTGATTTTCAATTTGTTTAATAAGGAATTTTCTTGATAGTTTTGATTTCAATTAAATGATAATAAGACTTCTAAAAAATAGGTTTAATTGTAGTTTCATTCAATTTATAGACCATTAGAATTGTGAGACAGACATATCATCATGGAATAAGAGCACTACTATTAAAACAAATAGTACTGAATTTATATGAAGATAATCAGTGAAAAAAGTCAATAATATGTACCTTCACTATTTTGGTGGATTTTTGCTCTCTGAACAAAATCATCCACCTGAGCTACAAATCTTCTCCACCATCTCAACTTTCACTATACTGTAGTATTTCGATATCACGAGAAAAAGCTTGATAGGTAAGGTCTAACATGTTGTGTCAGTCAGCTACAACGTAGGACCAGGCACATATGTGCATCGGTCCAGGTTGCCATACCTCATTAGCACAACAAGATGAACACCGGATTCATAGGAGTGGTTAGGTCAAAGGTTGCAATAAGGATATAGTATAGGAAGGAAGAATTAGTTCGTAGAAAGAAAGGTATGAAGTGATTTTAATCTCTTAGTTTAAGGGAAGACAGGGAGTGTATACACCGACGCCATTGTGATCGATTCTGAGCCATGTCACCAAGAATCTCCAACCATTGGTTACGAAAGTCACGCAGACCCCAACCAAGTAGTCTGCATCTACCAACATGGCTAAGACTAGAAGTTAGTGACTTCAAGCACTGATGCCACGTTTTGGTTTGGCCGCCCCTAACTTTTTTCCAACCATCCCTACACCGGTTAGCATTGCACGTCGTGGTAATCGGTGTTCAGGCATACGTAATACGTGGCCCAACCATCTCAGTCGATGAAGATTCATAACCTCATCAACTGATTTACCATCATTGCCTAATACCTGCGTCTAACCTCACTATTACTTACCCGGTGATCCAGCAGATGCCAGCAATATTTCTAAGGCATCTGTGGTCAAATACTTGTAGCTTACGAGTGTCTTCTACTCTTAAAGACCATGTTTCGCTGCCGTAGAGTAAGACAGAACGGTACGCCTTTCAATGACAGACACTGCCACAGAGTCTCGCGGTCTACAGAGTCAAATGCTGCTTTTAAGTCAAGAAAGACCACCATCGTCGGACGCCGATAGGTATGCCTGTGTTCTAGAACCTGACGAATGGTGAATATGTGGTCGATGCAACCACGACCAGGTCTAAAGCCAGCTTGGTTCTCTCGAGTTGTAGTTCACGAGTCTTAGTTAGACGTCTGATAATTATCGAGGCCAGTATTTTAGATACTATGTTTGTTAAACTAATCCCCTGTGGTTGTCACAGGATGTTGTGTACACAACATATTATTGGGAATCAGGTGTATTAATAATTTATTATGTAGGCTATATTCAATCAACTTGGAATATCATGTCAAGCAAACAATTTGTACTTTCCAATTTAATAATAACGCGGTATGCTTAAACAAACTATAAAAGCTACATGTTACACTGTTAAATTAAACTAGCATACCAATTCTTTGCAAATCTTCTGAAAAAGGAATAGATAATCTAAACATGACAACTTTTACAGTTTTGATGCAACCAGACAGGTTGATATTACGGTGGACAAAGCGGACGCCCCCTTCACCTGCGCCTACATGAACATCAATTAGCAGTCAAACGGCATGATATCTCCTCACTTATATCAATACACGTGGACAACTGCGGACACTCATTCGATTGGAAAAATGTGGAAATCTTAGACAGAGGAAACTCCAAAAACACCAGAGAAGTTTTAGAATCCTGGCACTCAGGTCAATCAGCAATCAACAAGCATATTGAAATCAATCCAATTTATCAACCAATCAGAAAAAGCATGCACAAACATAAGAACAAAAATCAAAACAATGGGAGACAAAGAAGTAAACAATGACGAATTTAAGGTCAATAAGAACCAATCAACATCGAGGTGCACAGAGGAAGCTTTGAAACACATATGGAGAAATTCAAACACTTCTCTTCTATTTGAAGTTTGTGCTGATGATGTCGTTCAGAAGAACGAAGAAAGATCCACGACCAAACCATCCAGCTCAGAGAACAAAACTCCACCAAAATCATCCACCTGAGCTACAAATCTTCCCCACCATCTCAGGTTGATATTACCCCCTAATAGCATAATTATAAGTTGAATAATAACTGAAATAGGATAGTTAATAGTTTTGTATATACGGTGTTCAGTATTTAAAGAAGAAAAAATATGAATATTTCCAAATCACTGATGCTTTTTTCCGATAATATGTAATATATAACAGATACCAACAAACGGTTCAAATACAGTATTTGTGGCACGTTAGTGTTTGACCACTAGACACTGTACTACCCAAGATTTCAATCATCATCCTCATCATTACAATTATGTCAAATTGTCTTTTGCTACCAGCCCACTTTTGAGGATGATGTAAATTGTTATTGATTAATGTAGTAATCTTGAAGTGTTATCTGAAATTTGACAAATTCAAAGCATGTATTAAATATTTTTAGTTGTCCTAATAAATATGTTCATAAAACAAACACTTAGTATCATTTCGGTCTAAATGAGATACATCACATTTGTATACTTGAAATAAATTGGTTGATTCAAGCAAAAACAAGACGGGAAACGAATAGCATCGTCCAGTACTCATATGATGAAGTTGAATAGGAATACTGAAGGTAAGCATTTCCAAAAAACACCATAATTTGTACGTTAACTAAGAAAACAACTCTTCTTTAGCTTTTCTATTCTTTTTTTTTAAATATTACAAAAAAGGAAGTAACCATATGCATTAAATGAAAAGAATTATCAAAATTTCAAATCGTAGAATTTATAAAAAAATAACGGTTAACTCGGGAAGTATGAAAGCGGGAATAAATAAAATTGAAAATCAAAAAATAATAAAACACTGGTGATAAAAAAACCTTAAGTAGATGTTTTATCGTTTGGCCATGTTTTATAGTTTATTGATACAACATCACGTATATATGTTGGGTAAGTAGTTGCAAAAAAGTCAATAAGTGTGATGTTAATACCATCTGGTCCAGCTAACTGATTTGGTTTATTTAACCATTGTTGATAATACTTTCCAGCTATTTTAGCTAAACGATGAACTGAACTAAATGGATGCAGTAAAATGAATGATAAAGTTGGAGTAAGAATACCTTGGTGTACAGAGAAAATATTATCAGGTCTATGAAGATGTGGTCTGAAATGAAACAATCAGAAACGATAAAGGTAGCAGTTAGACATTTCCGTCGAAATTAAGTAAGGTATTTTAGAGCCGAAAAAACTAGCGAACAATATCTCTAACGTATAGCTGATAAACAGATTCATAGCTCTCATTGAATTTTATTTCTACTTTTTTATAGTCAATCTGAAGATTCGCTTAACAGCTGTTTATGAATTTCGTGCACTGTACGCTCGGATACTAAATACAACATCAAGTCTGTTTGACAAGTGAAGTGAAACATTCAGTTTAGTATATTAAGATTCGCTTGAAAATGTCTGAAAAGATCCACAGAACCATTCAATATCAGTGGTAATTAGAGTATCCGTTAATTAGAGTATTCATTAGTAAAAGTTAAATAACCAATCGTAGTATATTTTGGTTCAAGTTGTAGAATCTCAGAAACTTTTGACTAAAAACCACATATCTTCTTAATCTGTAGTAAACGAGAACACAGGCTGTGACTACTAAATGTATTTTAATGCAACATTACAGAATATCTTGGTAAAATCTGAGAACCATACAGTAAATACTTCATTTGAAAAATGTCAATCAGTTGTCATAGATTTCATTGTTCCTTCGTTTCCGTACCAACCACTCTGTGTTCTCGTTCTCTCCTCTTCGATTTTCTTAATCTTCTGCCGCCAGGCATTTCACTTTCGATTAGTGATACTTACTATTTATGTATGTTGATATCAGTAGCAAACACCACAGATCTACTTTGATTTAAATGAACAGGTAGTGTAGTTCCTCCAATGCATATAACAGGCTTATTTTATAGACTGGTACTTGATGATCCTCTACGCTGATGTTTTTTTAACAAGCAACATTGCCAACTTTAACATTGATAGCTTAATATAGCATCTTAGTATTCCACATATGTGTTAATCCTAAGACATTTACGTTATCTTGTGTGACGGTATGTTCTCAAAATTTACCAACTTGCATAAAAACCAAAAACAAACTGCAAAAAATAAAGACAGTAATGTTTCTTATTGCCAGGTTGGGAAAACTACATAGTTTAGGATACATATAAAAAAGCCGATCTTAGTTCTAATTTTTTCGCGGTAGGAAACAAGAAAACAATGGATTGTCAATAGTTATTATTCATAGTAATCTCTCAAATAAGAGTAACAAAGAAAAATAAACCAATAAATCTGAACCTTATACAGACATCAGGACAAACAAGATATTTGTAAATAAAATAGAAAATTACAACAGCAGTAAAAGATGAATAAACCTTACTTAATATGGTTATTTAGGAATGAAATCATAGCTCGTGGACCAACAGTTTCCGGCCAAAATGATTTTATGCTACTAGAAGGCCAAAATTTTGGATGGATCTTCTCGGGGGATTCTCGATGGCAGGATATAAATATGATTTGTTGCTTAGCACTCCAAAGTTCTTCTAATGTTGGAATATTTTTTTGATAAGGGAACATAACATTATTTAAAATCTGGAATAAATGAGTGGAAGAAAACACATTAAGGCAATAAGAAAATGAATGGTGGTAATGCAGTTTACTAAAGGATTACATATTTACACAGTGAGGCTTCAACCAAACCGTGTGAAAACCGAAGATTTCCACATTCAAGTTAGTAAACCACTGAGGCAAATTTCCAATATAAGACCGTAATCCTTGGCAATACCTTTAGTATATAAAGCCTGAAATTGTTGATTGCCAGAAAATTGCCCGTCATAAAAGTGTTTGACCTCTCAACATATGCCTGTTGTAAGGGTAACTATGACTCCAAATTATAGACTGACAATAGCAGTTAATTAAAGCTGATTTACGTTTGAGCACGAGAGTACTCAACATTTACATATTGTGCCAAAAAGAGAAACATGTTTACACAAATTGAACTCGACTATCCCCAATTTTATTTATCTCTCGGAAACACTTATACAAGACTCACACAAACAATATGACAAAAGTTAAATCATCAAGAAATCAATGCCCAACACAGTCAAAATTATCCCTGTGAGTTACAAATCTGACACTATTTCCTATAGATTTTTTGAAAGAAAGCGATTCAAAGTAAAATAACAAACTATAGACAGATAAATTCAATAAATTTAGAATTAAGTCATTGTTTAAATGGGAAGTTAACTGCATGGAATAGAAACGGCAATGACTGAAACGAGAAGTCAATTAAGTCGGTGGTGCACTACTATAAGTTCTCAAGTTCTTTTTCAGATTTATTAACCACATTGGCTGAGGTAGTAGTTATGTAAGTTATATTTACGATTATCTTGGTCGATTATTGTTCTATTAAAAAAGCAGTGAACTACCCATTTTTACAACAAAGTAAGTTTATAATCGATATCACATACTTGGGATTCATAAACGCTGAAATCATAATCAGTAATTCATAAAGGGTTATGAGATTGGGTATGTGTTTGATAGATTATTGGACCGATATTCAACCTCCACTCAGACGCTGATGACGACACTTAACCTCACTCTGGAAGAGAGCTTATCTTTCTGTTGAGCACCAAATAAGTATATCATTTTGTTGAATACTCGATATATAAAATTTTATGAGGATGAGAGGTTTTGTGGAAAGGTGATTAGTTAGTGCAACATACGTTATGAATGTGCTATCGGAAAAGGCTTTTGTTTTTATTTTTAATGTACAAACTGTTTAGTCAACTTTATATGGAAATAAATATAGTCCTACGACAAAAAGACGCAGTAATTATGACATTGTAAACAATCACTATTAAATCTACAAAATATGATGACCGGCAAAAATCATCTGGGTAGCTTTTATCTTACAACCAGATTTAATCTGTTTCATAAACTTTAGTACATAGTAGTGTGATATAATACGTGTACAACTGAATCGTTTTGGAAAAACAAGCATGTATTGCACGACATTGTTATCCGATTCATGTTCAATATTTCGTAGTTTCATTGACAGTTGTATCGATGGGTGATCTGCTGGAAGTTTTGGCCAGTTGAAATTAATTTGCAGCATAAAATAGTTGTGCGTACACGGTTTGATCGTGTAAGTTTATTTACTGATTAGTTCAAATTTATTTAACAACTTAGTACAAGGGTTCGTGTTTGACCAATATGTTGTATATTACTCTGTTATACTACCAAACTACCTGTTCCTACCTTTAAAACAGTTGATTCAAAACAACATTCCTGTTCATCAGTTTCAAAATTATAAAAATGATTACAATCCACAATAAGAACTTCTCTCGGATTGGCTTTGAGGAAACCAAGAATGCTCTGAAGTTCTGTAGATAACAGGTTTGCGTACAGTCCGTGTGCTAAATAAAATTCAGATTCATCATTTTTACATTTGTTCAAACATTTTTGTCGTGCACAAATACGAAAGTCAAAATATCGAATCCCAGCTTCCAGTTGATCGAATAAACTTAGTGACTGTGTCACACTCCAAGGATACAATATTCGGCTTAAAAATGAACGAGGTAAACATGTATCCAAACGAAAAATAGGACCATCAGGAGAAGGAGGACTATGTCGAGTAATCGAATACGTAAATGAATTATGACTACCTAAGGACACAAGATAACCGAGGCAATTTAAATTAAATAAACAGGAATCAATATGGGTGCTGGTACCAAAGAATACCAAAAAACACAATAAACCTCCGTAAAGAAATCAAGTGTATTAAGTCAAACTATAAACAATATGTTACTTTTAAAAGCAATTTACTCTGAATTTTAATAGGATATTCTGTCTCTAGGCAGTTTTAATTAATTGTTTCAGCTAAACGGCAACTTCAAAATTATTCTACAGTGCATGGTCCGTTACTCAAGTGCTGCTATGTTGTTGCCAAATGTTTCAATAATCTCGTTTCCACTTAACAAAATTGAAAAATATCCAACATTCAGGAATAAGTTATGTAAAGAAATTCATGGTACAGATATTGATTAATATCCGGGCAAAATAACATATAAACACGGCTGATTTCATTTGATGCAAAAGCTCAGTCAAAACAGTTAAATTTTGATACATTGTGTAGACTAATTTATCTTTCACCTATTAATTCGGTCATTAACTTTTAACTGACCAGAAGAAATGGCATTTAAAGATAGTGTTTAGAAGGTAACTTTGTCACCAAGATCGAATGCTTTGTGAAGAAGTAGGTTATAATACTCTAGTCATACCCCTGTTTACACTAAACCTAACTTGCGTCTCAGTGGCCAACAAATTCATCATCCTAAACAGATCGATGTCACCAAATTGGTTGCAACTTCTGTTGCAACTGAGTATCAAACCGAGCTAGGTTCAAGGCTAGCTACCGTCCCACCGAAAAGTATAAATGAGCATCGGCCGCAATTGCATGACGCCATGAAAATGGCGAGCGAAGTCCCTTGCGGATTCGCGACACGTTCCACTTATTAGCACTGTGTTTCTTTAGGCTCTTTACAACTTATTGGAGCCCTACGGTCTACTCCGGTTGACGGAGTGTTTGACCACCAACGAAGACTGTTGCGTAATGAAATTGTGAAAAGCTTGTGTAAGGACCGATAAGCCGGGTGGTCTAAGCATGCTAACGAGTTGGAAGTGGCCGTTGCATCTGGTAACTGCCGGAAGCTCTTTAAGCTCATCCGACTCACTGGCAGAAAGAAGTGTGGTGTGCGTGAAACAATCTGTGAAGATGAAGGGATGCCAATTACTAACATCTACCGACGTTTTGGACGATGGACAGTTTTTCGAGGAACAGTTCAACTGGTCTGCTGCCCCAGTGACATCGATCAGACTGTCCTGTACTCCATGGCTCCTGACGACTGATCCACTTAACGAGGCGGGCCCGCAAGGAACTCCAACTCTTGAAGCGCAACAATTGCCAGGCCCAGATGACTTACCTCCGGAGTTTTTAAAGATGGTGACGACTTTCTGGCTATGGAACTGACTGAGTTGTTTAAAAATGTCTGGCAATTACAGTGTTTCAACATCGTGGAATTAGTCGACAGTTATCTCTATCTTTAAAAAGGGTTCATGTCATCTAGCAAAAACTATCGAGAGATATGTCTACTTCCTGTTGCATCCGAACTATAGGTTTTCATCATACTCCGTAGATTGTTTGAAACCCAAGAAAGATTGACTCGTCAGAAGTAGGCTGGTTTCCATTATGGTTGACGACACATCAATCATATCTTCACCCTCCGCCAAATGTATAAGCACTTCCAAACTTATCGCAGGCCAAAAATCGTAGTTTTTCTTGACATTAGGGCCGCTTCGATTCGTTGGACATAACTGTTCTCTGGGATTACCTGTTAAAGAATGGTGAGCTTGAGAGGTTTATTAACATCTTGAAGACTCTATATACAAGCATCTCAGGCAGAGTGAGGGCATACAATCACCTTTCTCCACTGTTACATTCAAACAGTGGCGTTAGAGACGGTTGCCCAATCCCACCATCCCTCCTCGACTTTGCCATCGATGACATTCTGGAAATAGCTCTGATGGATGTAAGTAATGGTGGTGTGGATCTGTTGCCTGGAGAAACACTTTTCGACCTTGAGTATGTGGATGGTTTTGTCTTACTGTGCAATAATACTTAAGCCATGCAATCCGCACTTAATCAGTTGGCAATTAGTTTCCGTAGGTATGATATGTGCTTTGCACCTTCTAAGTGTAAATTAGTTTTACAAGACTGGCAGGACCCTGATGCTATACTCACTCTGGGTAGTGAGCAGATAGAAGTAGTCGAGAAGTTCGTGTATCCAGGTAGCTGCATAAGTGCTGTTGGTGAGACCAATTCACGTATACTGAAATCCAGAGCGAATTATGCCGATCTGGGCTATCTTTGGCATCTTTCTGATGTTAGTCTGGTTGTTAAAGGTTGGATCTACAACGCGTCAGTGAGAGCAGTTTCGCTCTACGCTTTTGAAACCTGGCCTCTGAGTTGAGGATGTTAGGCGACTCTCTGTGTTTGATCATCGTTGTCTACGAAGGATTGCTAACATCTATTTGCAACACCATGTTAATAATGCAGAAGTTCGGCATCGTGTGTTCAGGCGCAGAGACGATAATTCAGTTGGTGTCACCATCTTGAGACATCGAATTCGGTGGCTTGCACATGTTCTACGAATGTCGTCCCACAGAATTCCTCGTCGTGCATTATTTGCCGACGCTGGGTCTGGTTGGAAAAAGCGGAGAGGTGGTCAGTGAATGACATGGTATCGTGGTATGAAAGAAAGCTACAAAGGGCTGTCTTCTGTTGGTCCTTCACGACTTTTTGGTTGAGGTCCCAGAGATGGTACAACACAGTGGCTAGAGACGGTATCAGATATGGTTCAGAATAGAAGCTAGCGGCGTTCCTGCTGTAACTTCCTTTTACTTTCTTCATAAAAGAAAGAATACTTTCTTTAACAGAAAGAAAGACATGAGCATTTAAGCCTCCAGCTAGTATCACAATATCTGTCGAACGCACATACTATAGAAGAACAGTTAACTGCTTGTAAAACCCATCCTCGATTGCATGTGGGCTGCAATCTGTCGAAGCATATGCAGAGATGATGAAAAGACATCGTCTATCACACCGATTTCTTCTTACTTTGATGGAACTTTCTAATCTAACAGCAAGTAACCCATTGTTATTGAGGATCCAATCGATCAGTACTGCCTCAGCTCTGGTGCCTAGTGGATCATCAACGCCAGTAAAGCCAGATGAGGATGCTATAGGGTCCCCGGACAAACGCACATGAAGCAAGCCTTTCAAAGCAACAGAGTGATTAAAATTGTAGTACTTCACTAGAATCTTGAATACGAGTCTCGGATAGACAACAGACATCGATATTAAGAAGTTCTGAAGATATAGCCAACCCTATCTTTTGTCGGATCTGAATTAGTGTGCTAACATTGAAGGGAACCAGTTTGAATGGTATACATGGTTCCAGAAAGACGTTTTTAGTGTTCGTAGTCGGTGGTAGCATTCAACTTTCGGCCAGTCAGTGACTTGAGATCGTTTAGATAAGACAGGGTTTCTATCATAGCCAAGCTGCTGTGTAAATTGAAAAATAAAATACGCGAAATGAGAATAAAGAGGAATAAATAGGTGACGCAGCATAAAAAAATAAAAGCGGATGTTGTCATATGATTGTGAATAAGATTTGTCTGAGTGAGCGTTGAAGCAAGAGAAATTTTTTCACTAATAGTTATCACTGGTCTGTGTGAGGGCCGTGATAATTTTCGGGCGCCCAAACGGAAATAGGCGATTTTCTTGGGGAGCCACACCCCGAGACTTTGACCTAGAGGTTCAGTCCACAAGGCAATGGAGCAATGTTAGAAGATTCAGCCCCATGGTATCCGGTGATCAACAATAGGTTCATACGCCATTTATCGCCTCAGGATCCTGAAGCCCATGTACACCATTGGTTTGGAATCAGTTTTTTCCAACTCCCGTATCCACCATCCCGGTCAAAGCGCTGGACATTTGCATTTTGTCCTCTCAATGTCGTGAACAACACCCCCATCGCTAGGAGGTAGTGAGTAGGACTTCCCGTGGCAGTGATTGTATACACGTGGCCATGTGAGAGCATTTCGAGGTGAGCGGACTCTCCTCACCCTCCTGCGTACCAGGGCTTTTGGGGGCAAAAATGGGATTGAAAGTGAACGTACATTAAATTCAAAGGATCTAAAACGAACTTCTGTTTAAAAACTGATGGTAATGAGGTTGAGAGCCAATATCAAATCAGTGGCTTCGGATTTACGTTGTCCTTTACGAATTAAATGTTAATATCGCTTCCAATAATTTTGTTTTTATATAAGATTTTCTTTTACCTTGTCAGTAAATTGGACAAGCTTTGGTCCGCAGTTATTTGTATTAAACAACTTAGTACAGTTTGTTTAATTCACATATTTAAGATGAGTTTTTTTCCTATGGCTGACCGTAATGTACGCCGTCAGCTTACAATGAAAGGTAACTAAAACAAACGACTGATTGAAAGTAGTTTATAACAATAATATTTTAGGGAACCTTCAGAATGTGTTAAAAATTCATTTTCAAAACACTGAACTACAGATAAATTAGCAAACTATTGAAATAAAAACCACATCCAAATCTACAAAATTGGGACCTAACTGAATGAAAATGAAATTTATGTACTCAATTGAGTGCAACTATAATTTGATAGGTTAGCGCATTTAATTTGAAGCACTAAACCATAGGTTTGATCCCCATTACAACTTCGCATAAAAACTCTCATACAAGAGCCTCTACTTGATAACTAAGACTATATTATGAGGAAAATGGAGGTTTATTTAGGTCACCTAACAGATCGCTATAATCCACTGATCAAGGTTGCTCTAAAGCATACTAATAGTTCATATCGCTTAAATACATTTGGAAAATTTACTTGAAACACTGGATTATCGGTCAATTATTATTTTTCGATTTTCACTCTGTTTCCATAAGACTAGTGTTTTTGGTACCTTATAAGAGAACAACTGAAAAGCCCGATTTCGAACCCGAAAAACCCATAATATTAGAAGCACTTTAAATGCAAGCGACAATAATGCAGAACAATACAACAAAAGTGTAAAGCACTAATTGGCGTGGAAAGATACATCAACTTGTAGATAATCACTTAGACTTTTCTGTAAGTTATTAGAGTAGGATTCAATGACGTGAGAAATCAATGTAAAATATACAGAGTGACAAACCTGGAATGCTTATCAGATTAAGGGCCTTCTGTGATATATGAGAGGGAAGGTCAGACATCCACGAACGTGGGTTAATCATCATTCATCTACATCTGTGCAAATCACTATTAGTAACAAGTAATATCTTACCGTTTGTTAGTTGGCATTATATTAATATATATGTGCTCTGAAACGTGAAAATAATTACGTTAAGAAAAGAAAGTAAGTTTTAGTTGGATAATCCAGTAAAGACTTCCACGGTGTGGGCAGCCGGGAAGTGACATCAGCCCTCATACCCGTAACAGCACAAGAGACCAAGGTGGTCACATTCAAATCCTTCCTACACCTCCTAATACTTCTCTTATCCTCCCGACTAACCCTCCTCACGTCTTTTTATCACCTCGCACCGCTAGGGCAAACGATTCGAGTACGTGGAACGCCATTCCTGGTCTCCTGAAACCACACTCTAAACTACACGTAGGAGCTTTTAACGTACGAACACTTTGCCAAATAGGACAGCAGGCTTCCTTAGCTAAAACTTTAGAATCTCGCGCCATCGATGTGTGCTGCGTCTCCGAAACGCGCATACAGGATCCAAGTAGCGTCATTCATTTGACCTCACCATGCCAAAATAAAGAACCGACTCGATTTACGCTTCGTGTATCTGGAAGCCCTGATTCTGCTTCCCGTGGCCTCGCCGGCGTAGGTATAGCATTGAGTCCTAGGGCAGAACTAGCTCTCTTAGAGTGGATCCCAATAGACAGTCGTTTGTGCGCTGTCCGACTGAACGGAACAGTAAGAATCCGGAAAGATAGGGACACTCGTCGTTGCCTCTTCGTCGTCTCTGCCTATTCTCCCACTGACTGCAGCTCAGATGATGTAAAAGATGAGTTTTACAGAAAGCTTTCGGACCTTCTCCGAAAAGCTAGGCGCTCGGATGTAGTAATAGTGGCCGGTGACTTTAATGCTCAAGTAGGCAAACTAAGTGATAAGGAAAGACACCTAGGTGGATCTTATGGTGTCGTGGCTCAAAGAACAGATAATGGCGACCGTCTGTTGCAGCTATGCTCAGATAACCGCCTGTTCCTTGCAAATACTAACTTTAAGCATAAGGAAAAACATCTTTTAACATGGCGACCCCCTAATTCGTCCCAACGTTGGACCCAACTGGATCACATCGCTATCAGCCACCGATGGAGGGGCTCGATAGAAGACTGTCGCTCATTCTGGAGCACATGCCTAGATTCAGATCATGCTCTAGTGCGAGCGCGTATTTGCTTGCGTCTTACTGGACGTAGGAAAGATCCTGCAAGGAAACCTCTTAGGGCCCTACTTAATGATAGTCAAGCTAAGAGTATATTTCAGGAACAACTAGGAAAACAGTTAGGCAGCCATGTATGTGATGCCCACCCCGATGCAGCATGGAATGATATCCGAAAAGCTGTGGAAACAGCAGTGATATCTGCTAGTAAGGTAAACCAGAAGGTTAGGGAGCAACACTGGATCTCAGCAGCATCTATCTCACTGATAGATGCTCGGAAACACATTCCACCTGGCTCTGAACATAATGAAGAGCGGAGTCAGCTTAAGCGCAAGCTCGTGAAGAGCAGACTAGAGAAAACCAGGCTGGTTTTCGACCTGGACGTGGTTGTATAGATCAGATATTCACACTACGTCAGGTTCTAGAACACAGACACACATTCAGACGCCCCACAATGGTAGTATTTCTCGACCTTAAGGCGGCATTCGACTCGATTGATCGTGAGGTTCTATGGCAGTGTTTGTCACTGAAAGGAGTACCAAAGAAGTACATTAACCTTATAAAGGCTCTCTACTCGAACACAACTGGTCGAGTGAGAGCTTATGGCGAACTGTCATCAGAATTGATCACCTCAAGTGGTGTTCGTCAGGGCTGTCCACTCTCCCCATTCTTGTTCAACTTTGTGGTCGACGTACTTTTAGAGATAACACTCTCCTCATCTAAATTTACAGGGGTTGAACTTCTACCAGGAGGTTCACTTGTTGACTTAGAATATGCTGATGACATCGTTTTATTTGGTGAAGACACTGACAAAATGCAGAGTCTTCTGGCCACTCTAAGCAACAATGCAAGCATGTTCGGGATGCGATTCGCTCCCTCGAAATGCAAAATGTTGCTTCAGGATTGGGTTACATCGACACCCGAACTAGTGATAGGGAGTGAAGTAGTTGAGTGTGTCGACCGCTTCACTTATCTTGGAAGTCTCATCAGCCCTTGTGGTTTAGTGTGTGACGAAATCTCAGCACGGATACAGAAGGCTCGATTAGCTTTTGCCAACTTGCGTCATTTATGGCGTAGGCGAGATATCCGTCTATCAACCAAAGGACGTGTTTACTGCGCAGCAGTTCGTTCCGTCCTACTTTATGGGAGTGAAACATGGCCGGTAAGAGTAGAGGATATCCGTAGGTTACTAGTATTTGATCATAGGTGTCTTCGAAACATTGCTCATATATCATGGGACCATCGAGTAAGTAACACAGTTGTTAGGAAACGGGTACTAGGTAAGGATGGCAAATCAATTGATGACGTAGTGAAACTTCATCAGTTGAGATGGCTGGGACACGTGTTACGTATGCCCAACGACCGACTGCCTCGACGTGCTATGTTCAGTGGTATAGGAGTAGGTTGGAAGAAAGCTAGGGGCGGCCAAACCAAAACATGGCACAAGTCCATGAAGTCACTGACAAGTGAACTGAGTCATGTTGGTAGGTGTAGACTACCTGGTTGGGGACCGCGAGATGACAGCAACCGTTGGTTAGAGACCCTGAATGACATGGCTCAAAATCGTTTGCAATGGCGCAGGTGCATCCACTCTCTGTGTTCTCCCAAATTCTAATCTTCTGAATTCTTCATGTCCCTTTTTTTCCTCTTTCCAAATTTCTTTCACTGGATTATACTCTTTAAATAACATCTCCAAACCCTAATCTTCCCGATTACTGCTTATACTCTTATTACCTCTACCACGACGGGATTTGAATCGACAACTGCATCTCTGTGCTAATGTGGTGTGGCAACTCGAACTGATGTACGTACGTACGAAGTTCTACGTTGTTACTGACTGACTGACTGAATCCAGTAAAGATCCTGCGGCATGAAAACTCAATATGTTTGGAATCCTAGTGAATACTATCTTTAAGAGAAACATATTACACAAACAGGGATACAGTGCTTGCATAGTTCTAACTTCAAACGTTAGATATTGTGAGGAGCATTTCCCTCAAACTGCCCCAGAAAGTCATAGAAAAAATGTTAAGCTAATAAAAACTGCCAAAAAATAGTCACCGGCCTTACTGAGAACACTCACTAAAGAACATATCCCCACAAAACTTACACTGATCGAGCCAATATAAGCAGTGCAACAATAGTGGAAAGACTTAGATTTTGCATTTAAAAGCATCATAACATAAGACAAACAACAAAAATAATACAAAAAGGGCTAAAAACAGCCAGAGGAGTTATTTGTGGGAAAAGCAAGTCGACATTCAAATAGGGACAGTAGCAAAGTTTATTAAGCCACTGAAGACGGCATATGACACTTAGTATCTTTTGACCAGACACGAACTGCTACAATTTATTCAAGTCAATTAGCTCGTTTCAATTGCCAGATCATCTTATACTCATAAATTCTTCACATTTTACCTTTCCAGTTGCTAACTCTCTTAAGTGTAAGTATATCTTGTGAGCTAAGTGAATCGTTGGTTGTTTTGCTTTTACTCTTTTCTACTTATCATTCATAATACTCTGCACTACATCCCTGTATACAATGTATCTTCGCGCTAGATTGAAGCTTACATAAATATATCACAGCCTCAATGTATAGCTTTATTTGAATGCTTCAGAACAAATGTGTGACGTCCGATTAAGATAAATTATGATTGGTCGGTTGTCTACTTGTCATATATTTCGTCCAAGGACAAAAATAAATAAACACCCGTCTACAGCTTTGTTCAATTAGTTTTTGAAGAAAAAGGATATTTTCTTGTCTTTTTTCTGCTTTTAAAAGTATGTAAGGACGAAATCTTTTTATGTACATATAACAGGACATTTATTAGTGTATATTGACGTAGTCATATCGCTGTTGACTTTGGAGTTGGTATTTTAGGATAAGCGATCTCCGAGTATTGAGGAAATTCTGAAAAATTTTTTTAAAGTAACATGATATTTGGTAGTCTTCTACAAAGTCTGGGGAAATATTGGGGAAAACCAAAATTTCCTCCAAACGTTGTGAGGATTTTCGCAAAAATAACTCGGAATTTCGTGGATAAACCCCAGACCAGTTAAAACTGTTGAATATTTGTTGCACTTCCTAATAATTTTATATTGCAGCTACCCCAAAATTTCGACTCTTAAACTTATATGTGATCGTATTATGCACAGTCCAATTTGATTTTTAAAGCATGAGTAGAGGTTTCTTTATTAATAACAGAAGCATTTTGGTATAAGTTGCTGTAAAAAAAAACTAATATCTCACCATACCTATTAAGCTTGTTCCAACGTCTCAAAAGAGCAACGGTTTGTCATGTGCTTATTGGCTAACACGTAAGGACTTAAGGTCATTCAAAGTTCAACTGAAATAGCGAACCGCTTGGTACGTAGGATCTACGTCTAGGTAGTTGGAGTGTAGTTCTAGTTACCTGGAAGTGTGGTTCTTGTTTTATTTCTCTCAGAAACTGAAGGACGGAATGAAAGTATCGATTGGAGAGTAGCTCTTGCCGAAATACTCCGGCAGGAGTTTGCATATCTTACAGTCAAGGCGCTCGTTAACACCCTTCGCTAGCGAATTACCTGGCTAAATAGTATGGAAACAGCATTGTCAGTTAGATTTTATCTTAATGATTCTCAAATGGGATCTTGCTTTTGTGTGGATATGTTTTTGCTTTCGATGTCCTGTTACACGTCGGGCTTGAAGTGTATAAATTGTAGTAACCAAATTAAACATCAGTTTGCGAAGTGAAACAGAACTTCGCCGTTGAATCGATACTCAGGATAGACATAGATGTCATCGACTCTTAGATGAAGATTACCGCATTTTTTCTATCTGTTGTAGCGGTAAATAAACCACCCACAAACTAACAGATTTTTAGAACGCTTTCGCCGACAGCTCAAAGCTTTCCTATCAGCTGCAAACGTTTCACCCTTCCACTCGCTTTACCTGGCATTCGCAATGCAGCGAAAGCTGACATAGCCCAACTCATTCATAGAGCAACACTTAGAATGCCGGCAAAATTCGTAGATCTTTCATCTTCGTCAACGAATATGGATCCAGACCTCCAAACGAGCAGGCTTACGAACACAATGCGTTCGGTTAAACCTGTTCCCGCTCGAATGCACTTAACTGGTGTTTTCGTTCAACCTGACGTACAATATAGTACACACTTCCTTGTACGTCGAAACTCATATGCATTACCACTCGAATCGACATACGGAAGACCCTTCAAAGTTCTTCAGCGTGAATCTAAGCACTATAAAATCCATGAGAACAGAGGTAACAATGGTATCAGCATTGATTGCACCAACTCAGCCTATTTAGAAAGAATCATTAATCCGGTCAATTTTCCTCGGTACAGTTGAAAGACACGACTTCTACACTTATGATACCTCGTCCGATAGCCAACACTCAAGACTCTACTTTGGAAGTATCTAAAAATAGACTAAAAACAATGCGTTCTGGAAAAAGAGTAAGTTTTCTAGAATATTTAAACAATTATTGAACGTGAGACACTAATTAACATTTTGTTTCGTCTCGATTTTTCTTTGTATTATAGTAATCAGACCAATTTTAATATGCTTATATTTATGTACTATTGCATTTCTATGAGTATTTTCCTTTTTCACCCGTTCTGGGTTTTTACGTACGTGCGAGTGTGATTCGACATGCACTTACATACATTTTAACCAGGACGGCTGAGAAAGAAAAAAAAGAACGACGAAGTTCACGGTGAATCGAAATTTTCATTGTACCTGTTTCTCTACTATTATATTGTACCACATGTCGTCTTATAGTAAGAAAAGACGACCAGACGCTGCTGAACAGTACAAGCTATCAGAAGAGTGTTCACCAAAGACAAACTTGTTGGGTTTAAACTTCTGGCTGATCACGTCTTAGGATCATCATCACCTCATTAGGATGGGAGTGATCTGTAGCGGTGAATAAATCCCTAAAATCAACTGCTTATCAATTGTATCTTCGAACCTCCCCACTTCTGACTTCTGAAATCACCAGGTGGGCACTAATCATAGTATAAGGTGCAACGACCGAAGTACCAGTATTCGGTTTGAACGCAGGACTGACGAACCGAAATTTATTCGAATAGGCCAGACTGCGTTCTTCTGTATAGCTTACAAAGAGTTTCTGAAACACTCGTATTAAATTATATCAAATTACAAACTCTGTGCTCAATTTAAACTGTTCTAATTTAGAGAATAGAACAAATCATATCAAATACAAAATACCTCAAACGGTACGGCCTGTGCTATGCAGTCAGAATTTTCTATAGCGCGAAGTAGCGCGCAAAACAATAAAAGAAACAATTAATATCAAGGGGTTCGATACCTGAGAATCAATAAAAACGATCCCAATAACTTGGGATCACATATCTATCTGCAGGGATTCCAGCAATCTTCTCAAGCAGACAGTCAAAGGGTTAACATCCACACAGCGAGTCACGCCGTGACCTTGAGCATAGTGAAACACGACCTTACTGTCAATAGTCCGGTAACATGCAATAGAAGATTAAGTAACAAAAGATAAGTCTTTAATCAAAACCACATGATTAAGGCTCAGCCGAGAAAGAAGAACATAAAGTAAGGTCAAAAGAGATCTGAACAAATGCTAAAATACACCGCCTGGGGGACAAACGAGTAAATGACAGTACTGTCCAACGAAAATGCAGTGGAGGGATTTTAACGTTCTCTTTTCGTTACAGAAGGTATTACTGCTCAAAGGGTTAGAAAACTCAAAGTAACTGCGGCATCTTCAGTGAGATAAATTATCAGAATAAATATGGTAAACATGGGGTGTGAGAGAGTGTAGTGTTCTCACAGAACGTGATTAGACATGCAACATTGTAAACCGATATCCATCAATTAGTAGTGTGGCCTCTAATCTGTGGTTAGTGCAAATGAACGAATTTTCTGGAACTTAAATATCCCTTCAGATAATATTATGTATTTCCCCGTCCAACGAAGGCGTTAATGAACCGAGTTATCATTGGCTGCAACTACCCAATTGACAAACAGATGGGGTTTCGTAATACGGAGCTGATGTACTGCGCGCAAGCCCCCGCGGCAGTACGCTATCCAGATACTGCTAGCTTTGCTTATCAGTAATGTGACTGATTTCTCCGGGTAGCTTTAGTATACATTGTCAGGTTGTCACATCTGGCATCTCACAAACTTTTCGTAAGCATCTACGCCCTTCAGCACTATCAATCTACTTAACCGTACTGCTGAGATTTAGGGATTATTGAGTGATTTATTAAGACATTGTTAGTACGAAAATTATATTATATCGCACGTCATCCTGAAATGTGTACGTATAATTCAGCTTCCCATATATTTGTATGAGTATCTGTAAAAATAAGGGAGTCATACATTTTACTTGTAACAGCACTAACCCGTACAATTATGTTGTCTTACAGCCGTCAGCTGCACGACATTTTTACAGAAGTAGATAGCAAAAAATATGCCTAATTTGTACGTGGACGTCCTAAGTACATAACATCTACAATTATCCGAATTATTACTTACTTACACACTAGAGAACTTTTCTAATTCATCCAATTACAAGAACATCGTCTACCAAAAGGCGTCGAATAGGTCGTCGAAATACTTTTCGAAGCATGTAACCCAATCCAATAACAAAACGGATGAAGAAAATTTATTCTAATCAAATATACTAACCCACATACTACAAGCCATAAGTCAGTAATTCAGAAGTTCGACACCGAAAATTTCTTCAGCCGCAAGACGGACAAAAATGCATGATACTCGTAGTCATGTCATTCGTCATTTTCTGAAACATACAGATCTCCTAAAGGTACACATACTACGAAGTTGAGATACTTCAAGAAGCGGTAATTTCAAATCCCAGTTAGATTTTATACTGTACCAATCTGTATCGGTGATCGGAAGCCTACTTAACCTGTATAAAAGTGGTGTGATTTCTGAGTATCAAAGCTACTGAAATCCTCGGGAGCACAGAAGTGTCAATCTTAAAACAGTGCTCGGTGGCCTTCGGCATACCTGTACGTTACCTGTTCAGCCACCCAATAGAATCTCAGAAACGTCTAGAAGAATGGAAACTGTCCACTCTGTGGTGTTCGAGTGAACTAATGATAACTTTGTACTTGCTGACTTCTTGAATTCGAATTCTAAATACAGTACATTCGATTGTAGTTATCTAGTAGTTCTTGATCCGATTACGTTATATCTGGGAGTCCTAGTTCATACTATAATTCAAATACCCGTGATTATCATATTGGCGTCACGACGGAGCCTGTGATGAAGCGGTTGGATATACATTCAGATTTTGATGCTTTTGAGGATTATTTTGAAATGTTCAAAATCTGGGCTATGATGATGTTAATATTATAGCATATTTCCTCACAGTCATCGGAAAAGAAGCATACAGCTTATTAAAAACTCTGACTTCACCGGAAATGTCCATTTCGCTTCCTTATACAGCTCTCAAGGATTTACTGCTAGACTTTGTTGAGTATACAAATTTCGAATGCGGTAAAGGGAGATTTCGTAAAATGGTTCATAAGGATATAAAAAATTCCAGTGCATACTCAAGGTTATGCAGATAATTCATTGAGTTGCGATGCAGTTCACGAAAATGGGCACAAGTTTGGTCAATGTTTGTCCTCCGGCAATTCCCAACCTTTTAATTCATGTAAATTTCGTAATTCTAAGTGCTTTAAATGTGGTGATATTGGAAATATTCAGTCAGTTTGTATTACTGCTGTTCATCTTGCTGCAACGAATATTAAGTCTTGTAATTCTGATCCTATTAGGTTGAGTACTTATAATGATCATTCATCTTTATTAACGATTTCAAAAGACAGTGCAGAGTCATGTAGCAGTTCAAAAGTAAATGAAACTCAGAATCCTTGCGAGACAACAGTTTCTGATCAATCAATATGTCAGATTTCTCATGTTATTGCACCGGATATGACTTTTCCTGATGATTCACGTATTTCTGATGAAATTTCTTACAAATCTGAAGAAAATATGTTGAGTGAACCTAATCATGATCGAAAACCTGATGTAGTTTTGATGGATGCTGATTTTTCTGACGATCCTATGCTCTGCAGTTACATTCTTAATAAATGCGAGGAAACTATTTCAAAAGAGTCAAATCTTGATGTCATATCACAAATTATTTGTCCTCATAATGCATTTGTTGCTTGTGGGAAACTTGTACAATACGAAGCACGAGTATTAAATGAGCTCGAGTTTGATTACAATTCAGATGATTCCATATCAACTGCTGTTTATCCTTATCACAAAAACACTTCTAATGTTTACTCTAACCAACGTGAGAAATATGTTTGAAATGAAGCCACATCATCCATAACTTGTGGATATAAAGATCCAACATTATTTCAATGGGGAGATTGGCAGCGGTTTTAGTACACAACCGACATGCTGATTACACAATCCTAGGAAGCAGGTAAGTCTGTTCCGATTTCAGTTGTTAATTCTAATGCTAATAAGCACATTCTAGATAATACAGAGTCCTTATCCAATACACTGTCCGACAGACACAGGATGAACTTGAGAAGACGTACAATTAATTACAGACACCTAGACTTTAATTCAAGCTGTGGCGGATGTGGTGTTTGAATGAACTAATGATAACTTTGTACTTGCTGACTCTTGAATTCGAATTCTAAATACAGTACATTCGATTGTAGTTATCTAGTAGTTCTTGATCCGATTACGTTATATCTGGGAGTCCTAGTTCATACTATAATTCAAATACCCGTGATTATCATACATTCTCCGTTCAAGCTTATGATTATTTTATAAAAAAGAATAAATTTGCTTCACGTAAGTCCCACTACTCCCAATACTGTCGAAAGTAATGGAACGCCTGGCTAATGAGTAAATGAAAGAGATGATGAACAAATATATCCGATATTAAGATTAAAAATTACAGGCAATGAAAATCCGTCATTGTCGTAGCGACAAACAGCTGAACGGCCTTCTAAGACCAAGATATAGCGGCTAAAATTTAACTTGTCACAATGCCATGTTATGAGCACACAGCTTCACAGGAAATAAAGAACTTATGTTGTGGTGGACCAGACAATGTATAAACGTAAAAAGTATCAACAAAGTTATTAAAGATCAATAGTAGTATTAATATATACCAGTTAATTGTTACAAGTACAATAAAAATTGGGACTTCACTTAAGTTCACCAAATCGGTGCGTGTTCACCTTTCGTCTGGTACTGTAAATCCACAATTATAAGTGCTTGGTAATTCCAATCAGGTTGACGAACTCTTCAGTATGTAATCCAATATAAGGTGTGGTATATTCCCATTCACAGTCTATAAATGTAGGCAATATTTGATTTAAATATCAGTTAACTCAGTCACAAACGATTATATAACGAGGGGTATATATGTAGTAATGTATTTGTTAACAACCCACAGTATGTCACGCTATGTAGTTGCACAAAGGAAAAGTGTGTTCAAGGTAATTCACTAAAACAACAGGTACAATCATTTAATGATAAGTATGTAGTGGCATTGGACAATAACCTTATGATTGCAGAAGACCTATAGCTGAAACTGACCTTATGTTTTAGTAGTATTACTAAACTCTATCACGGTCAAGTAAAAATGACGTTGGGAAAATCTCCGCGTAACTAAATAAACCGTATCAAACTAACTGGAACACTAGTTGGAATTCTTCTCCACGGTAATACTTTTGTTCTTTCGGTTAGCCTACTAATAAAGATGCAATTGGAAATCACATATGGACAGGTTACCGGCATAACTGTAAATTGATTTCATAATTTAAACCAAAACTAATGCCAATATTAACATTTCTATGATATTCATTACTTTAATATTTCTAAACACAAAATACTTACTACCTTTACGTTAAGTTATTAACCAACGGCTATTAACACGCATCGTTTTATTATTATTGTTATTGTTATTATTATTATTATTGTAATCCCATTTTTTATAGCTCAAATAATCTTCACCCGAATTCACATTTCAAGCGTTTTAAGCATGAGGGCAGATATTTTAAAATTATTACATGTATTTCCCGACAAGATGCTGCCGCCTTCTTTTTGATTTATCTTTCAGCTTATCATTACCGGGGGATTCTTACTGGTCTTGGTAACCTTCGGCGCACGACGATCCCATCCAATTCCGGTATCGAACCAACATCACGTTGATTCTGGTGGGAGAGTAGTGTAGTGGTATTGGACAATAACCACACAATCCACAAAGCTGAACACGAGACTACTCAGAAAATAGATATTCAATATTTAACGCGGAAAAATACCTAACGATGGAGAAGGCGGGAAGAATGAATTGAATGACTGGAGTGGATCGAGTGGCATGGCTCGGCCATGCAGGCGTGGTCTCTGCTGAATGTCACCTTATGTCTTCTATTCATATTAAATATATTGTTCTTTCTCTAGCCTAACCTTGTTCTACATCATGTATTGGTAATTGATACGATACAGTGAGTTGTTGTAGTCGATGGTGTGACGTCCACGTAAGATCTTATAGATTAGGCAGTTATATCATGACAACTTTACAAGTTTTGGATTTGGTCTATTATTAGAGCAGTACTAATATCATAGTAGACCATAATTCTACAAGTATACATACAGTGAAAGGTTGACAAAATAAATACAAATAATATTAAAAACTATTTGCAAAATCAGCTTGTCAGTCATATCTCCACAATGTCGTTTACGAATATTTGCTCAGAAATACTAACCACAGAAGGAATAAACATCATCTCAAAACACTTAAGAGGTGAACCAAAGCGAATCGGCCCTTTGTATCGTACGGATGCAGCTTGATGCACTTATCGGAGTTATTTTTAATACTCGGCTGATAGATTCTTGGTCTACATAAATGATCTTCCTCAACAGGTAACGTCAGACTTATTACTTTTTGCCGACGACGTGAAACTTTGGAGAGAGATACGCAACCAAGACGATATACAGGCACTTCAAGAGGATCTGAATCGACTTCAAAGTTGGGTAGACGATAATGGACTTACCTTTAACACTTCAAAGTGTAAAGTAGTCCATGTCGCAGACTACAGTTATAACTTGAGTAACTCCTCTCTAGTAGCATCCCAAGTCGAAAAAGATTTAGGAGTCCTGGTGCCCTACGATTTAAAGTCTTACGCTAACTGTGACAAAATGGACTTCCGAGCAAACCGTCCACTGGTAACATTGAAACGCATTTTTGGCCAGTTTGACGGAAGAACTTTCCATATAATCTTCAATAGTTTTATCCGTCCCCATTTAGAGTACGGAGACATAGTATTTCCTCCCTCACTCCAAAAAGATAAGGACACCCTGGAGCGTATCCAACGGCGAGCCACGATATCAGTTCGAAGACTCAAATTTAAACCTTACGAAGAGCGCCTCCATTCACTTAGCATTTACCCACTAGAGTATAGACGTCTTAGAGGTGACTTTCTGATGGCTTATAGTGTCCTTAACGCTTCTGGACATCCTCTCAAACACCTACTTAGGCTTAGTTCCAACACTAACCTAAGGGTTAACACCCAGAAACTGGAGACACAACATAGCAGAACGGACTGTAGACACAACTTCTACTCCTTAGGAGTTGTCAAATGCTGGAATTTGCTGCCGAGCGAGCTAGTCCAAGCGACTTCCCAGGAGTCCTTTAAGAGGCAACTTGATCTATTCTTAAGGACTAAGAATAGTATCACACTATGATTTACTAATTTCTTTTCCTCTTTTATTGTTAACATACCTAGATTCCTGCCTGGAGGATTTGGTGATCCCCTGCTACTAGACACGGAAGCATGTTAAGCGAAAGCTTCTTCTATTCCGTCCACAACCATTTGAATCATTTTGAATTTGAATCATTAGAATGGACTTACAAGATCATCATGAACTGCACCACTGTGATTTAAAGTACAGCGAGACTTATCGGTAATATTGGCGCTGAAAACTTGGTTATGCATCTTCATTGAAACTATATTATTTAAAGTTTTATCACATAGAATATTTTTCTTGTTCTAGTACTTCAAAACTAGCAACACGACCTTGAATGTTTTTAAAAGTATATTTACCTACGCAACACGGCTGTGGTATATCTTATGGGTTTGGAATGTTACACAGTGTTGGAATGTATAGGAGAAGGCTCTTTCGGACGTGTTTTCCGTGGAAGAAGAAAGGAGACTGGACAGGTTGGATTAGAATTTTAACAGTGAATGTGTGTATTCTTAAAGATTGTAGCTATGAAGTTTATACCGAAAGTTGGTAAGAGCGAAAACGCTCTTAAAAATCTCAAACTTGAGATTGAGATTATGCGATCAATGCATCACACTAACATAATAGAAATGCAGGACTCATTTGAGACAGAAAGAGAGGTTACTTAGTCCCTAAATTTCTAATATCATTATCACTATTCTATACTTTAGGTTGTTGCAATTACTGATTATGCCGAAGGAGATCTTTTTCAAATAATTGAAGATGATGGCCGACTTTCCGAAGAAACGGTAGTTTTATTGACATTTTCGTATATACTTCTCAGGTTAGATCCGTGGCTTGTCAGTTGGTATCTGCACTTTATTACCTTCATGCCAACCGTATTTTGCACAGAGATATGAAGCCACAAAATATTTTACTGGTCAAGATGGTGTTGTTAAGCTTTGTGACTTCGGATTTGCACGGGTCATGGGCTGGAATACATTAGTTCTGACATCTATAAAGGTTCTTATTTTTTTCGTCTACTAATACTCATCGTTTGTAGGGAACTCCTCTATATATGGCACCGGAGATTATTGAAGAAAAACCTTATGATCATACAGCTGACCTATGGTAAGGAGTTGAGTTTCTTAATTACACATATTAAGGGCATTGGGTTGCATATTATACGAACTGTTCGTTGGTACTCCTCCGTTTTACACGAACAGTATCTTTCAACTCGTCAAGATGATTACAAAAACTTCTATTCAATGGCCTCCAGATATGTCTTCTGTTTTCAAGGATTTTTTGGCTAGGTTGTTGCAAAAAGATGTACGACAGCGTTTGCAGTGGCCAGACCTTTTGGATCATCCATTTGTCTGCGATAAGATTGAAAGTAACGTAATGCAGACTCATTTTTGTTGAACATGCATTTTTATTTTTATGAGAGCCTACCAATAAAACTCACCAGTTTAGGGTGTATAACTAATCATCTGTTCACGTACAGTTGCAAAGTTCACTTCTTAATCAGACAGTAGTTTTCATATCCTAAATGGTTTTCTTTCTGGAGTCACTCACTCATTGGAACACATCTCAACCTGATTATTTGTGTCCTGTTAGCAAATAATTTGCAACATGGAGTCGTGGGTTTTAGGTATCATACAATCGTTTTCAAAAAGATCTAGCAGCTATAAAGTTTATTGGGTTCCCTAAGCATATGATATTGGTGCCTGTAATGTTCAGTTTTGAGTAGACATTTCCTAGTCGCCTCAGTCAGTGATGATTTATAGTCTTATTGACAGATTTATCTTATTAACCAAGCATTTCTCACTGAGGGTCCCCAATGCACCCAATTTATATTTTGACTAAAACTATGATCGGTCGCTCACAAATTGCACCATGCTCTGGATTTTCAAAGTAATATTGGGTTTACTGCTACTCAATATACTCGTCATCTGATAGATAGGTGGACATAATATCTACTATGTTATTGGATAAACCTTATTCAAGTCGAATAAGAGTCTAATATTTGTACATTATATCGATGTTAGTTGATCACTTGATTCTTCTTCAGCAATAACTTACATGTTTAGTATTTATCCAATCATTGCGTAGTTTATTATCCTTCGAAGTAATCACCCAAATTTTTATGTCAGTTAGTCGTGAAAATGGTGTCTTGGTCGCGTTTCTGAAAATAACACTTGATTAATGAATAATATCAAACTGTCCTAGATAGCCCACTTAATAAATCTAATGATTGTATCAAGTATTAAGATATTTAATTTTAAAATTTCCATTTTAAAAATTTTTCTTGCAGTTTCTCCGGGTGTTCGTCTTCTTTCTAGTCCATTAACTCAGCCACTGACTCCAAGTCAGCTAGCAGAAAAAGAAAGACAAAGATTACTGATGCTGAGATCAAATGGTTCAAGAGTACTAAGACGAGCTGGTGGTGACCATTTTAGCAAACTCAAGCAGGTAAAAGAAGAAGATAAGACTGACGACTCCCTGGACCGACGCCGTGGAAAGTCTGTTGTCAGAGAAGTACCAGAATCAGATCAAAAAGGGAACGTGGTTGATAAAAGACATTCAAAACACATTTCAGATAAACCTCCGTCTTCGAAATATGGTGATAAAGAAAAGGTAAAAAGACCCCGAACACATACAAAGGCTGTTGAGGAGCAGGAGGAACTTGTTGAAAGACCTAATTCGGCAGACACTAACCTGGTAAGGGACATCAAAAAATTGACTGTCTGCATTGCTTAATTTAATACAAAACGCTGGGAAAATGTTTATGTAAACTCATGTTCCTTAATCTGAATGGCTTACCTATCAACATTTTGTCATTCTAGAGTATATAACATCGATCAAGATCCCACACTTTTGAATCACTGAGGCTTTAGACTTTATGGTTCGCTCAGACTGTGGAGGCCTAGAAAACCACGTGGTGTTGTTATCGGTTTAACAATATTTATAGCCCATTCGAAAGTACATAAACGTGCATGTGATAGTTCTGTTGCATTTGAGTTCCGTATTTTGTGAGGTGTAAAATATTAATTCTCATTGTTTCCGTACAAACGAAATACCTCTGTGTCTTATCAACGTGAAGTGAGATGATTTCCACTAAAACTTTGTATTTTGTATCTCTATCAGTTAGTTTCTTCATTTGGAAACTTAAGTGACCGCCAAAAATGCTAACCAGTCGTGAATTGTTTCAGGACCATTTGTACGGTAAGATCTTGATGAAGACAGTTATTATGATTACAACATATGCAAAATGATAAACTGGTTAGTTTTATGCTTAAAACAGTTTAATAACCGGATAATGTAAGTAAAGTTAACAAGAAACAACTGCGAACACGTTTTTACACTTGGTAAGGAATTTGTTGTTTTCCTGAGGAAAAATCCGACCAACTTTATGCAAAATGTGCATCGAGTTTCTAATACCATACTAAGTTTGGTGTGAGCAAGTCAATATTGAGGTAGAAAATATTTTATGCACATTATGAAAATAATCGAAGCTTAGCATAAAGATCTTCAGATTTCGAAGGTTTTGAGTAGACATGAATTTCGAGGACTAGGCATTCGGGTGTGCATTAAAACATTTGACAATCGGAATCAGAATCCAAAGAATAGTTGAGTGTAGCCATGTAGTGTAAAATTCTGATGAACATTACTTGCAGTAATCATGGTGAGTCCTTTGATATTATTTGTAAAGCGAAAAATTGTCATTAATCCCTCTCAATAAGTGTTGATGAAAGTAATAATCTACTAATGATTTTCTATAAGCTTGAAGTATTCCCCTTATATTTTTTGGTGAGTTCCAATTTTTATTAAAACCTAAGAATTTAGAAGCTGATAAAAAAAATTTACGTTTAAGCTAGCACATATATTTCTGGTCAGGTTAGACATTTTCAATAGATATTTAATTTTCGGTTTACAAGAATGCCTTTATTATTTATGGTCTATTGATAATCAAAATAATTCAGAAATACTACGTTGTTATTCAACAGATTTTAAAATGCTTCTCTATTAATTCCAGGAGTTTGCTCAACATATGCTAAAGAATTTTAAATCATTTTGTTAGCTATCTATCTATCCACTCGACGTCATAGAAACCAACAGATACATATCCATTTCAATCTTTTAAGTAATATTGAACCAAGATTGCCATAAGTTATTTGCTGGTCAAGCATGGTAGCTTGGTATAAATGGTCCTAACAGGCCATCAAACCATCTAGAATAACCATCTTAATTACTGATGGGCCGTTTTAATATGGAATAATTTGCTCATTACCTTCATTTTTCTGAATTCGGTTTTCACTTGGCTGTGTACCGGTGCACTGAGAAAATAATTAAGTCAATTATATACGTCACTAATTTTGTATTTTTATATATGATTATAATCCATCAAGACTTCACTTACCAATCTTATGTAGCTTACTGCTTTTTCCAAATTGCTTCGTATTCAAAGGGCGGGAACGAATCGTCTACCCAAAGTTGTCCTGCCAGACGACCTCAAAGTTGTGATGCCTTAGAATCCAAAAAGGTATATTATATCATTTTGATATTTAATTATTCTTAAACTAATGGATATATCTAACTTTTTAAAATTTTGTAACTGCAGAACATTAATATGAAGTAGCTCCAATATTGATTTGTCACTAAATTTCAGTAAAATAACCATTCTTTGTACGGAAATATCTCAGTATTTTAGGTGCTCAAATGGATTTGGTTTTTGAATTATTTGAGCGATAATTCTACCTGATAATTATAGTCATTATTTTTAGTTGATTGTTAACATCCGCGAATTACTTTAAATGCCGACTTTCTGACTATGAAGTAATGACACGAAAATTAAGATACCCTATTGACCAATCAGTTTTCAATTATTTTGACAAATTATTTAAATACCAGTCACACAGAACAGACTAAAAATGTTTCTACACAATCGGCATTTGGTATGCAGCTGATTGACCCTTCTCTCTGTTAACAGTGCATAAATTAATGTATATATTCTGAGTAACTGATAAAGAAACTAGATTGTTGGTACTACGTGGCTATAAACGAAAAGCAACGTCTGCTGAAGGTCATTCATACTCTATTGTTTGAAATATTAGGTTTTGTGGAATGTCAGCCATACTCTTAGAACCTAAAAATAAGGCAAATCAGTCACAATAATACCCTTAACTAATTTGTACCTGATTGAGAAAAATCGACTAAACTATTTCCGTCAGATAAAGAACAAATATGCGTCCATGATGTTTGAAGTGATGTTATAGTTCACTTTACAATTGGATCCCATCTTATCCACAAAAAGATTGTCAGAATGGTTCCTGAGTTAAATCATATAACAATGTAGACCTTTTTTCAACTTAATTCATCATCATCAACTTGTGTTCATCTAGGAAATTTACTGGTGATCTTCGTTTTAATTACCAAGTATTAGAAAAATATGAATTATTTTGATTTCTTATAGTTGTCAGTGATGTTGTACTTGCAGATATATGAAGCTATGAGTCACTATAACAATTTCAGCAATTTCACGGATTAGAATGTATTTCCAGTGATAATTGTTTTATTATTTGAGTATAACAACGCTAACCTTTCATCATATATCGTGAACAAATCTAGAAATGACTAGTGAACATCCCATATGGGGTTCTAAGCACCTTAACCTATTTGGGTGGACACTATGATAGACGTTTTAACGATCTTAATCCACCGATCAGTAGATTCTCGGTGTTTATTTGCGTGGAGTTTGCGATAACATATATAACACGTACTCACTATTCTTTTTGTATAAATATTTAGAAAACCTCAGAATGGTCTCATCTTGAAGATATTCCTATTGAGCCTCCAACTCCAAGGGAAAATCGAATATCTGCCGATTACGATCGCGAAAATGCAGTTCGAGAGTATCTGCAACTAAGTAGTCAGGCACATTGTAACACAAATCCCAAACAACATTCTGTAGAAAAAGACGATCCATTGGTAAGTAGAAAATAAAGATGAAAAACCCATTTAGGTTACTATGAATACAAAATATTCTGATATACAGTATCGAATGATATTCTGCCCTTATATATTTGTTCAGACATAACACCGTAAGCAAGTCAGTGTTAGTACAGATTCTTGACTAGTCAAACTGAGGTAGGTAGGGCACTATTCAACCCTGATTAACTGGTCAGACCATTAAAAATAGTTGGATTAATGCATATTTTTTGTTTTCAATCCATACTTTTTGTCATTTGACTTAATCTCCTGACGGTCGCCTTAGATTATATTTCTGTTAAAACTGATGATTGTTACGTTTCACCCAATAGATAAATGGTTAACACATCAGAATTTTGTTAGACTAGTTTGGTGCTTAATTGACGATCAATCTATTTGAGAATAATCAAGATTCAGAATCGTTAGTTTCTCGCAGCGTGTTTGACTGCTATGAATTTTACACAAATTTATCAACTGATAAACTCAAACGAAAGAAGAACAATAATATGTTCAGAATGGCATGAATTTAGCTAGAGGTAGCCTAAAGTTACAAATGGTAATGTGACTAGAAACAAAGGTTTAACATATCACAGTCGGTGAAGTTGATGTAGGATCCGAATATCGTAATACACATAAATGCGATACAAGATACGCCATCGAACGATTTTAAAATTGATTTTTATTTCTATGTTGAAAAAATGCGTAAACAACTAATCATGTAAAGTATGTCAAAATTTTGTTTCTAATCAAATAACTCTACCTAACTTTAGGCTGCGATGCTGATGAGTGGCATCAAAATATAATGAAATCATTTTGTACCGGAAATCCTAGCATCGTGAAATTAATGACATTATCAACAAATTCTGTTATAGGTCGAGATTTTATGATCCAGTAATGACCTTCGGAATGTTGTAATGAATAAACAAAACATCGATTGTTAGATGAGATACTCTGTACCCGAGTGTCGGCTGGTTACAAAAAAATATTAATAATTCAAATGCCTGAATAAACTGATATCAAATATAAATATTCTATCCAGAAGAATACTTTTTCTTTGGTGAAATTACGTGCTTATAAATTGTTATGACTGGATGGGTGGTTGTTGGATTACATGTACTTCACTACGATCAGAACCACCACGCTGGACAATCGTAGTGTCGCGCTGCAGATTCATTAGACGTTGATATTCATTTGCAATATCATTGAAAGTCAGCTTGGGGTTTTGGTCCAATCGACTAAGTAACCGTGTTCTGATGTCACTGAACCTCTGCGATTGAATACTGCAGATGAGCATAAAGGCTTTGAATTGATCTTCAGTCAGCGACTTCAATAGGAAGCGTTCTCATTGGCGGTTGACGATACCCACATGCGTGAGAAAATCGACGTCTTCGTTCATAGTCAGCTTCAAACAGCAAATGTGGTGACGAGGATGGGATGTTGCAAACACGGATCCCTCAAAAGTGGAATTATTGCTTGAGCAGCAGCTGAAACTTATACAGATGTTAGAAAATGCGAAACATACATCTAACACTCAACCAAGCACTTCTAATCCGACTACTACTGCACTACCAGGTGATGGTATTGCGAACAGTATCTCTTAGTTTCATTACGATCCTGAATCCAATATCACATTTCATATGTAGTTTTGGCGTTATGAATACTTATTCAAATTTGATTTCGCTAGTCAGGATAACCCGTGGAAAGTCCGCTTGCTGCTTCGGAAGCTGGGTCTTAGTGAACTAGATAAATATTGTAACTTATTTCCGCCTCTAAATTCACATGACCGCTCATACTCGGACACCGTCCAGTCATTGAGCCAGCGGTTCGGAGATAATTCCTCATTGTTCAACGCACGCTATCGATGTTTGAAGCTGACTATGAACGAAGACGTCGATTTTCTCACGCATGTGGGTATCGTCAACCGCCAATGAGAACGCTTCCGATTGAAGTCGCTGATTGAAGATCAATTCAAAGCCTTTATGCTCATCTGCAGTATTCAATCGCAGAGGTTCAGTGACATCAGAACACGGTTACTTAGTCGATTGGACCAAAACCCCAAGCTGACTTTCAATGATATTGCAAATGAATATCAACGTCTAATGAATCTGCAGCGCGACACTACGATTGTCCAGCGTGGTGGTTCTGATCGTAGTGAAGTACATGTAATCCAACAACCACTCATCGTGGTTATTAAGAAGGCTAATGGCACAAATCGAATATGTGCATATTTTTCAACAGGTCTTAAGACAGCTCTCGAATAGCATAATCACCCATTGTCAGTCCCTGCAGATTTGTTCACAATCCTAAATGGTGGAAAGTTCTTTGCAAAGCTGCATCTAGCTGATGCCTATTTACAAGTGGAAGTGGCTGAAGAATCCAGAGAGCTACTTACTATCAATACTCATCGTGGCTCGTTTCGGTGTAGTCGCCTACCGTCTGGAGTTAAGACCGCCCCATCCATTTTTCAACAACTAATGGATACCATCCTATTGGGCATCCCGGGGGTTGCAACTAATCTCGATGACATCCTTATTGTTGCCGCATCGTTAGAACAGCTACAAGAACTAACGACAGCTGTAATACAACGCAACAATGATAACGGATTCCGGTAACACCCAAAAGAATACCAGCTTTTCTTGAAGTCAGTAAAATATTTGGTATTCATCTTTGATGCTGTAGGTTGCAGACCAGACCCTAAAAACATTCGAGCCATAAAAGAGATGCCCACTCCTACAAATGTCTCCGCTCTCCGATCATTCCTGGGATTGGTCAGTTACTATTCAGCTTTCGTTCCGTCGATGCATACGTGCCCCGCTAAATTATCTGAATAAGAATACTAGCTGGATCTGGACGAAAGAGTGTGAAGCTGCCTTTTGCAAACTGAAAACAATCATTAGCTCTGAACTATTATTGACGCACTACGATCCGTCCATGCCTATCATTGTCGCTGCAGACGCTTCAGCTTTTGGACTCGGTGCTGTCATTTCACATCAGTTCCCGGACGCAACAGAGAAAGCTATCATGCATGCATACCGCACGTTAACTCCAGCAGAAAGGAAGTACAGCCAAATAGAGAAAGAGGCTCTCGCCTTTATGTTTGCAGTACGCCCTTTCCATAAATTCTTGTACGGTCGAAGATTTACTCTTCTCACTGATCACGGGCTTCTTCTCACAAGTTTCGGTTCGAAATCTGGTGTTCCAGCCCACTCTGCAGGCCGTCTCCAGCGGTGGGCTTTTATAATTTTGGGTTATGGTTTTGACATTCAGTGTCGGCGCAGCCAACAGTTTGGTCAGGCAGACGCCCTGTCATGACTTATCAGAGATGCCGTTATTGCCTCCCTTATGACAAAAGACCACGCGCATTGTTACCTGACAACTAATCTTCGTCCCTTGTCAGTCTCAGCATATGAGATACAAAATGCCTCCAGGAAAGACTCTACCATTAAAAGAACGATGAACTGCGTCACCAATGTCTGGCCCCCAATAGGACTTGATGGTAACATCAGCAGCTTTACCACCGTCGGGACTCATTATGTGTCGTGAATGAAAGCTCGATGTTTAGAGATAGAGTGGTGCCGCCAGAGTCCCTACGATCAAGGGTTCTAAAGCAGTTCCACACTGGCCATTCTGGTATAAAATGAATGAAATCCATTTCGCTATTTTGTGACATCAACCACAATTTTTTCTAACTGTTATAATACTTTGTTTGTGCGCAAGTTAATTACACCATAACCTTATTAAATTTGGATTTTATGAATTCACTAATCACTTGTATTCATATCCTAAGAACAATAAAGAGACATCTCATTATCCGTTATCATAGTCAAACAAATTCCTATCGGACTATCTAAACGATTACTGATCAACCTTGGTAGCTAACTGATGTTTGTTTTTCTCAGTTAGAAATTTTCCAGGATGAATGTATTTTTTTACATTTATTGCAAAACATGGTAAGTACTAAATGTTTTGATTGCCATTTTTAAAATGATCGGAAAAAAATACAATTTCTCTTCAAATTTTCCAAAACGACTACAATACTTATTCAATGAATCCCGATTTACTGTTTTAATTTAAAGTTTTAATCATTTTTCAATTGTTTCCGGTAATGATATTCAATTTTTAAGTCACAGAATTTCATACTAATTTAACTTTTTCAGGTTGATAATACACTAAAAGATCAATCAGTAGAAAAAAATTATACAGAACATTTTCACTCAACAGTTAGAAAACAAAATTCGCTTGATACATTTGATTCAGTGTCAAAATCAAGTCATTCAGTAAAGTATACTGGTTGGTGGTTAAGAGCTAGTGCAGAAGCCTGGGAACGTTTAGCTGATGCTACAGATATTGAGTTTCCCCATCCACCTGGTTGTGAAACAGAAAATCCTCGACATTCTATAGAAATCAGACAACCGAAACGAAGAACAGCACTAAGTTTACTTTGTGACAGTGAATTCGGTCAACGGCTGTCATTGAGATTGGCATCGGCCTCGGTTATTGATGAAAGGGCTGCATGGGAGTCTATTCACTCATGGGCATCAGTTTTAGCTGAAAATCCTTCTCCAAAAGATTATATCCGTCCAGTTTCTGCTGGAACAGCTGTATCGAAAGAGTCATCAGGTGATGCAGTAGCCGGACTCGAAGCAGCTGCTTATTTAAGGACTTTACTTCGCCTAGTCACAAATCTAATTACTGTCAAATGGTGAGTACAATGAAGCTTTTTTTAAATCAAACTGTAAATATGATATCTATTCTATTGATTCAAGCTTTTCACCTTTCACTGTACTATGCCTCACTTTTTGTTGTGTAGAAGCTCTCATTTTGTCTTTTGATCATCTCGTAAGCACGCATATAGTTTAAATACTTAAAGTTAAAACACAAAAAGATCTTATGAAACATTTTAGAGGTTTGGCTTTTAAATTACTTTTCAGTTTGTAACCATAATGATATAACCCTCCCCTAGAGACTAATCACACAGTGAATACAATTTAGGGCTCAGATTGTTGCAGATGAAACGAAGATAATGTATTTAAACAATGAAACCGTAGTCACTGAAATCAGACAACAACCTTCAGGATTTTTAATCGAAGTGTCAAGTCATTTAAGAGGGAGTTTACGGAAGCCACTTCGTTTTTCAATTCTTTCCAATAAACATATGTTCTCCGTTTATATTTACCACGTTTTCCATGGTGGTCTAGCTTCGACTGACTCATGATTTCAATCTGTGAAATTTCTAAAATCTCCACAAACCCCTTCTGATAATAATCATCTGCTCACTAGTGACTGACTTCAAAAGTTACTCCTGGAGTTCTAGTGGGAAGCCGTCAGCAGTGGAGTTCAACCAGGTCGGTTGTGAGATATCAGCTCACTGAAGACAATGGTATAAGGTGGCGCAACTTCATGGATTGGTTGAAGTTAGACATTAACACCGTGGAATGCCGGCTCAGTGGTCTAATGGTTAGGTGCTCTCGCGCGAAACCTGTAGGTCGTGGGTTCGAGTCCCGCGGGGTGCGGGATTGCTGATGCGCACTGCTGAGGAGTCCCATACTAGGACGAAACGGCCGTCCAGTGGTTCCAGGTTTTCCATGGTGGTCTAGCTTCAATTGACTCATGATTTCAATCTGTGAAGTTTCTAAAATCTCCACAAACTCTTTCTGATAATTCATCTTGCATTGACATCGAATTCCCTAATGTGAAAATATCTCATTTTGCTCTATAAAACATCATAAGAATAACTATGCTACACTAGAGGACTTTAGAAGATTTAATAGCTTCTCATGTCTAAGCTTTCACAGTAAATCTTTAGTACTTTATTATCATTGTCAAATTGTTGTTTGTAGTAAACCTAATTACCATGACTGTACGACTCACTAGTCTGACTTTGTTACTGATCTGATAAGATTTGATGATCACAGTGACCCCGAAAAATAATTCCATGATTAAAATCTCTCAATATTTTTACCTACTAATAAATTGTCTATAATCTCAGATTGTCACTTCATTATTTATAATGTCCGAAGGTATGTTTGTCAACTTTTCCACATCACCCAATAAAAAATGAATTGATGTGTAATAATGATGCAACACTTGGTGATTTTTAAGTAAATCAAAAGGATAGTTTAATAGTTGTATTATAGTGTGATAAGAAGACGAAGATTATCAGAACTATGTGATATATTAACACAATACATTTCGAACAGTCTGATTACACATATACTAGAAATGGAAGGTAAGAGGAGACTAGTCTAGTTGACCTTTTATTTTGATATATCAATGTTCTGAACAAGTATATGCGTGATCAAATTATTAGAAATGTATTGCTTGAATATATCACATAATTCTGATAATCCTTGTCTTCTTACTATATTATCGAAATTTATCAAAGGGACCAATTGCTTTAAATTATATCATAACAACACATATACCTTCAATATAACATACTTACTATTTTGTAAGCAATGATGGATAGTGGCTAGCAGTGGAATCCAGGAGGCGCGTCTCGTCCTATTTGGGACTCGTCAGCTGCATGTCCCTGCATCTCAGAGTTGATGTGCACTCTGGGACTCGAACCCAGCACCATTCGCTTCAAAGGCCATCGCGTTATCCACTCAGCTACTGAGTCCTGATAGCCACTTGCTTGTGCAATGGGGTGAATTTCAATTCACTTGGTGTTGTTCGCTTTGTATCTTCCCATTGAGGTTTAAGACTGCAATTGATCAGTCTGTTATTAGCATATGTGCATACTGTGCGTATGTCTCGATATTGCCTTAATTCACAAGCTATTTGTAAGCAATGATAGATAGGGGCTACCACTGGAATCCAGTTTGACGCGCCTTTCGTCCTATTTAAATTCATCCCATTGCACAAGCAAGTGGCTATCACGACTCAGTAGCTGAGTGGATAAGGCGATGGCGTTTGAAGCGAATGGTACTGGGTTTGAGTCCCAGAGTGAACATCAACTATCTGAGATGCAGGTGCATCCAACTGACGAGTGCCAAATAGGACGAAACGCGCGCCAAACTGGATTCTACTGCTAGCCACTATCCATCATTGCTTACAAAAAGCTTGTGAATTAAGGTAATGTCGAGGCATACACACAGTATTCACATATGCCAATAAGAGATTGATCAATTGCAGTCTTAAACCTCAATGGCAAGATACAAGCCAAACAATACCAAGTGAATACTTACTATTTAACTATTTTATATCTTTATGCTTTATTACGCATAGAATGTAAAACTTATAAAGAAACGAACTCATCACTAATAAGTTTACACATACATTTGTGTTAGTATATAGGTAGATGTATGAATAAATAAATCAGTATAATATAAAATGGTTATATCATGAGTTTAAAAATCAATGAATTTTTTTATCGATTTTTATATTCAATAAAAAATTATTAGTAATCAATATACACTAAATAAATCATTTAAAATGTAACGCAAAAATAAAACAAAAAAAATTCATTTATTCATATCATATTGAAAACTAGATTTTATTGTTTGTTTTGTTTAAAATGAGATATTTTATTTAAATAAGCTAATACATGGGTATAATGTAAATTAACTCATATGTAGTACTTTAAAAAATGAACAGTAAGTAATGAACTTAAGTAACACATTGTTTGTATCAACAATAATATATAAGTATATTCTAGTTAAGATTAAATTACGGGTAACTTCTGAGAGCTATTAATGAACTTATATTGTAAATATATTCTGATTCAGTAACTAGATTATGTATATCTCTATTTCTCTTATTATAAGCTTCATTTTGACCTATAGATTATTATTGTACAACTTACTATTCTTGAATTATACTCAGTTTATTAGTTACAGTCTCCCACGTTCACAGCCACTTTTTGGCTTGATCTTGTACAAATTTTATTTCCCTAGTTTATGGTGTGATGAGGTCTGTTTGGCTGGTATATATATAAAAAAAGTATGTTTGAAATAAATGATTCGTATAGTGGAAGCTGTTATTGGCGTACTGGACTCAACTGGAAGGGCTAGGAGGATAAAGGACCAATAAAGACGCTAAGTTGCTCATACCGGTCGAACGTCATTGGTTTAGCACAGTACCAAGATTGAATACGTCGTATTTCGATTGTCGAGTAGATCACGTGATAATTAGCCAGGCTTAAAGATACAATACATTCAACTACCAATTTCTTAATCAGACAAGGTTTTCGTTTTGAATTCCACTGCTAACTACTACTCAAAATGTAATCATAATGCAAATACGAAACATTCATTCAGGTAGTCCATATATTAATGGAGACTAGTCTTGAGTTTAAAAACTGATAACTACGAAATGTTGAAGTTAAGAATAGGGTGCAAAACCCATTTGAATAATAAACGGGAGATTATCAGTTTTATCTCGAAGTATAAATAATAGAGTATCATTATAAGATATTGACTGGTTTTTGGATAGTTGTGTTTCTTACATAATCCTTGTAAACTGGCATTTTTTAGTTATCCTATCATTCTTTCCATTCTAGCACATTATTCAAAGTTTCTTGAAAACTTTTAGCCGTCTTCATATGTATGTAGTTATTTAAAACAGGTATTTTTGTTTTTCTAATGGTAGTATGAAAATCATTTATCGTTGTATTTCCTCTTTTTACGACCTAGCTACCCCTATTGCTTAGTATTCTTAGACGCCGCTTCAATTGACAAGTCCCCATATCAGAACACAGTTGAACGTGAGCGTAATTATATTCCAAATAAAAATGTTTGATGAAAGTAGGAATCGCAATAAGAGAAACGTTAGTATATTTATAGTTTTTACATAAGTAAATTCTAAAGCCTTCTTCAAGTATCCACTAGCGCTGATTAGATGGGAAATAGCCAATCAGCGTGCCTTAACTTAATCTTAAACGGGACGTACTTTAATCCAATCTATATTCCGCTAACACTCATATTGTTCGTGTTATTTTCATAGTTTATTAATGAAGTGTTCATCAGCTGCGGTGCATAAGTTTGATGTACATGATATACATTTTTAACATTTATGCGATTTGCTATTGAATGATGAAAGTGTTTAATTTTAAATCATTCATATTTAATACTGAATAGGTTTGGTTATTGAGATGGTGGATAAGATTTTTAGTTCAGGTGGATGATTTTAATGGAGTTTTGTTCTCTGAGCTGAATGGTTTGGTCGTGCAGCTTTCATCGTCCTTCTGAACGACATCATCAGCACAAACTTCTATCTGAAGTTTAGCTTGTTATTCTCATAAGTTGTATGTTTATCAACTTGTTCATAGTATCTAATTATTTTTTTTGTAGAAAAAGAAATAATCCATCTAATCTGTTTTCTGTATCATATACCTTCTCATTTCAGCGATGTTTCGATTATTGTACGGTTTTGTGAAGTAACTGAGTTACCGGTGCAATTGATTAAATTAATGCAATCATTTCTAAATTTTACGAAATTACATGAGGTAAAACATTAATAACATATATTTTGTAGGATGAACTATGTATTACTGTTATTGTTATCATGACTATTATTATTATGAAGTGGAATTTTTATCAGGTGGTTTTGACTGAAAGAATAATTGAAGTGTAATAGACACGTGATTTGTATGAGTTGCATGCACTAAATAATATGGTGTTATGCTGGTTATTCAGTGTCCATCAGCTTGAATTTTCAGTGTGATATATTTTTTCTGTTTTAACTTGTTAGTTGAATGGGGACAGTCATTCATCAACTAGTTTCAATGTTGATTTCTCTGTGTTTTAATCACAGAGCAGTGATTACGATCCAATCAGTCACTTATGATTTAATGCATAGACCAGTCCACGTGTTTTTATATGGTTACTTAGTAGGATCATTTACGGCTCTCACCGTTAATATTATTTACTGTAAGACATAACCTAATTGGTCTAGATTATTTATTTCATCATTTTATCCTTCCTTTCATTACTGGTTTCCACTGTTCAAACACATTCTTCCCGTAACCCGAATGATTTCATGGAGTGATGCCATATCTATATGCGAATATTTTCGTACTTGTTTCTCGTCACACATCTAGTGTGTTTGTGTGAGAAGTAACTCAGACTATATAAAATCCTGCAGTTACAGTCCAGAATTTCTATCTATCTTATTCAACCATCCTTTAAATTAAAAAAAAACAGGTGGGAAAAATGACTATAACACATATTTCTTACATAGTCATCGGTTCCAGACAATACCTTATCCCGTATTCATCTGACTCGTTTAACTTTCATGTCTGTGTAGGTTAGATTCTTACCAATAAATATCTACTATGAAATAAAACTAGTTTCATATGTTGAAAAGACTGATCGCTTATTTTAAACCAGTAGTCATCCACCATCGAGCTGTAGACATTTGCATAGGAACTTTATACCCACTAATGTTAGTTAATCCATTTCGACAAATCACTGGAAGTTATTAAAAATTATGTTGTTCACTAGTAGTACTCTGCTCATTGTTAGTGGTTACTAGGATTTCAACAGTCTTGCTCGCGTCACTCAAATCTATTTAGTATGTTATTATCTATTGATAAACAAGGTTGTTTATCTGATAAGTATTTATCAAGATGAGATAGAAGTTTGGATTTTCCAATAGAACAATGTCCATCACTGGAACTGTCTTCAACCTCATATTTCTCATAATGCACTGGGATTCCATCGTTCTGACATTGATTGATTGATAATATTTTACTTTGTGAAATATTTTGTGCATATTTGTCGACCAATCGTTCACTTATTCTGTTTCTGTCGATTTTGTGAACGTGACGCATGAATATGATTCATGACAAAATAAAGGAAGCCGGGATCTATTAAATCCTGTTATTTGTCTATCCATTTCAGTTTTATAAAGTCCACACCCTAAAGTCGTATATAGGATATTATTGTTAATGTGTTAAACATTATTTTAAAGATCAGGATAAGTAGTGATGATGTTTTACATTTTTTCACTACAAAATTGTTCATCTTTCTTTTATCTCATCTTTAAAATACAGTTAGTTTAAAACAAAAGTTCCTCAGTGATTGCTGAACTAGAATTTATTTGATTTTTTTCAAGATATATTGAACTAAATTAGGCAGTATCTAGTATTAAAGAAGATTCGTAGGTCAAGTGGATGCTTTTGGTTGTATTGTTTTCTTCCAGATGTATGGTTTAGTTGCAAAATTTTCGTTTTCATTCTGGACAACATTATCAGGGCCCACTTTACATGAAGTATGACACACGACAAACGATAGATGTAACTAGTAACACATTTGTTGGATTTATAGATAACCTTATATTGTCTGGATTTTCTTGCTTTATTTTAAATTAGAAAGTGTGGTATGAACAAATTCTCCTAGATATAATTATTGCAATGAACGCCTATTTTGTGAGTGAAATTGGTCAAAGACAAAATGTTCCACATACGGTGTAAGTTGAAGTAAAAATGTGTTCTTTAAAAAAAGCTAAACTTGGTAATTTAGATATTTTATTCAAGTCATTTTTTACCAGACTTTATCATTAACTGGGAAATCAGTGCAAATCAAAGTGCAATGGATATTTATTTCATTCTAACCATAAGGATTTCTCTGTACTATACACCTATCACTCCAGAGATCGAGTCCAGAACCTTTATATTTCTGAGTCTAGCTTCAGTCTGTTTACGATGTGCCTTGATTATCCCGCCTCGCGCTATTCAAACCCAGGACTTATCGGTCTCGCGCACGAACGCTTAACCTCTAGACCACTGAGCTGGTCGGCATCAAATGGTGTTAATGTCTAACTTCAACTAATTCACGAAATTGCGCCACCATCCATCATTGTCTTTAGTGAATTACTATCTCACAACAGATTCGGTCGAACTCCTCTAGTCACGGCTTCTCACTGGAACCCCAGAAAATACCTCTTGAAGCCAGTCACTATTGAGCACATGATGATTATTATCAGAAAGGAGTTTTGTGGAGATGGCAGTGATTTAATAGTTGAATTCATGAGTCGTTTTAAGCTAGACCGACATGGAAAACCTGGGTGCGAATCCCGCATGCAGGATTGTGGATGCACATTGCAGAGGAGTCCTATACTAAGACGAAACGGTCGTCCAGTGCTTCCAGGTGTTCCATGGTGTTATAGCTTCAATTGACTCATGAATTCAACTATTAAATTACTAAAATCTCCACAATAACCTCTTCTTAATTTATTCGTTTACAGGTGTTAGTAGTTCAGATTGTTTGCATACATCGAATATAATTCTGAAATCTTTAACATTTCGTTTTGGATACAGCTTCTCTATTATATTTCTAAAATGTAAACGGCTTTAAGTCGTCTCAACAGCGGTATTTTTTTAGAAAAATCATGTGGTCCTTACATTAATCGATCCAAAACACATTGATCTAGAGTAGATAGTTAATTTTGTGAAATAAATAAGAAACTAGTCAAAAATTGTAAACAAAGTATTTTGTTCATGAAGAAGTGTATTTGATTTTGTAAATTTCTTTAAAAAAGGATACACGCACTAGTACATACACACATATGTACATTATCAGACTTTCATTATAAGTACGTTAACATAGTGTTTAAATCTTGTGACTAAAAGTTTATTGATTCGTCTTAACCGCGCTCTACATTAAGATAATCACACAATTTAACAAGGTTTATTATTGATTGGTCTATCATCCTAGTCAAAAATTTATCGCAAATCTTTATGTTGACAACATTCTCGTTATCAGTGTTATAAGAATTTATGCTGAATGACTTTTCATGATGGTTAACCCTCAAGTTAACTGCAACATAGTGATTGATCAACTAGTAGCAGCCAGTTCCATATAGCATATCTCAGTCCTGAATTATGCCATACGCGTCACGAATAATTCAACTGTATTGACGTTTACTGTGATATCAAACAACTTATGTTCAAATCTTGTCTTGTAAGGTCTCAAATGTGCCTTGATAACGATTACCAGCAAGCCTAAAGACTGGACCGAGTGTTTCCTTCCAATAGTTTTCAAAAGCGTTTTCACAAAAGATCATTTTTATAAGTACTGCCTTGCACATTGTTTCCCACAATAATAAAATTTCTCGTTACTGATTTGTATTAATTGGTCAAATACGTTGGTCTTAAGCTTTCTACTCTTAGATGTCTGTTATTAGTGCTTAAATAGATTTCAGAAAAGTGTTAAACTACCCAACTTATTAATGTCAACGCATTTTTGATCATCAGAGTGTGATTAGAGGTCAAAACCAAACATTCAAAATTTTGGTGCAACATCTTGCTACCAATCTGATTTTCAACAGATGAATGTAAGGTTAACGTTCACATTAATTTTCACATTTTTTTGTGCATAAGCACATTGAATATTCGTAAACTGTTTCAATTAACTTTAATTTATTTTAGTCTTTCCTGTTTCACTGGTTTCTATCAATGGCTTATTACCATTACTAATATTATTATTAATAATTTGTAAATTGTTTGATTGTTTATAGCTTACAAAGTTACACAGAACATGCCCTTTGTTTTATTGAGCTTGTACCGAGGTTAGTGAATCAAGATTGTGACAAAGAATTACACTTACGTGATCAAACTCTACTAGTGAGTGATTATTGTTGATTGGACGAATGATAATTTATTTTTTTGTGTAAAGAAAAGGGTGAAACTATATTTTTTATGTGTACTGTTTTGATTAGTTGTCAATCAGTTTTAATGTATGTTTTGAATGATTTAGCAATTATTTTTCTAGATAACTTCAACAGTGTAATTTGACGTTGTATATAATTTTTCTTGAACAAAACATTTTATGCATTATTTTGACGAAAGTCTTAGGAATATTGATTATTTTTAGTTAAAACTTTGTTAGTTATCAACTTTGTCTGCAAGGTGAAAATAACCCACCACAGTTAAAGCGATTCGTGCATTGTCTTATACAGGTTTATGTAATTTTCTTTGATTTGCCTACTTTTTATCTATGAGGCCATTAGATACTATATCGTCTATTGGGTTCAAGCTGGATTTAACTTAACGCTATAATTGACTTACTAATCTGTATCCTGATCCACTTATCTGAAATGATACAGAAACTAAGTAATTGACTAATTGTGAATGTTTATTTAAAATTTGTGATTCTAGACAAATTTTCATCCTGTTCATCTTATTTCGCTGTATTGATGACAAAAAAAGCTTAAGCTAAGGTACCGTTGTTATATCAAGCTCTATTTTAAATTCAGTCAGGAAAACTGGTCAGACTGTTAGACTATTCTTGGAAGCTTAATTTTATAGCTCTAAGAATAAATAGTATCGTTTCCATTACTGAAAGTTTATGATTATATTAAATTCTTGTAAACTATTTCTATTGTATCTTTTACCATTTATTTAGTGTATTCGTTATTTAATTGAACGTATGGTTGAAAGGCCATCTGCAGTTGTTGAGGAATTTTTTAGTGAATTAAAGAAACATCATCTTCAAACTATAAAAACACTAGTATTGATGCCATCCGTCAGTCGGTATAGTATAGTTGGTAAGTTTACTCATTGGTTTGTGTTCATTTCAGTCAGTCGTTCAGTCACCCAGTCACGTAAAATGTAGTACATATGTCGATCACTTCAAGTTTCCATACCAAATTAGCACATAAATATCAGAGTAGTATGAGTAATAACAGTATTAGTTGTAGTACAAAGGAATAGGTGTAAAAGATGTGATTCTAGAGAAAAAATAAATATTTATGGAATAAATTTTTCTTGAGGCAGTTAAGGAGTTCAAGAAGACAAAAAGTAAAACATCGCTCAGATTCTAACCATTTATTTCAATTATCGATTTGACCTCAACCAAGTGTTTTACGCCCAGCTATACGGCTCATCTCAGCAGTCAATAACGTCATTTACTGATATTTCGTATCCATTTACATGTAATTAAATAATTGTAAATATATTGTGAGACAGAACATATACTTTCAAATAGACAATACTATGGCAATTGAGACAATGTTCACGAAGTCCAGCGGTCAACGAAAATGATATCAAGTTTGTCTAGTACTTATTGCTGATCAAACCCTACCGATCACGTTTCATTATGGTAACTAGTCTAAGTTACTCGATATCACATGAACCATGCTTTGTTATTAGGTGTGTTAATGATTACTAATTAGTGTATATATCTGAGTTCTAAGGGAAGTCGGTTTTTGTTCGAAAAGCTAGTGATAACGTCACTGACTGTTACACCAAGTGATTGTGATCCGAATCACACAAATAATATCCATTCTTTTTAGATTGCAGATACTGCCTACTGATGAGTTCCATCTAGCACAAAACATAGATTTCCAGCCACCAAACACCACTAAGAGATTGTCATTGATTTATAACTAATCTCTATGAAACCACATAGACAAGTAATAATCTTAGGCTTTGTAATGGTAAGCTTTGAAATAGATTTCTTAGAGTTATTGAACTGATTGATGGTCACATAACTGTCGGCTCAGTGGTCTAGTTGGTTAAGCGCCTGGCGCGAGACTGATAGATCCTGGGTTCGAATCTTGTGGGGTGTGGGATCGTGGACGCGCACTGCTGAGAAGTTCCATACTAGGACGAAACGGCCGTCCAGTGCTTCCAGGTTTTCCATGGCGGTCTAGTTTCAATTGACTCAATTAATAATAAATCACTATCAATACTATCACCTTCAGTGATAAAAATGTCTTAAATGTATTTCATACAACTAGAAACATAATTATCTAAGATATTTTTATTTACAGATATGTAATATTATGTTAATTTCATGTAAATTAACAAAAAAGACAGTTTTAACGTCTTTAATGTATATCTTACATAATTGTTCTACAATTAACAAGAACCAGTTTAAATTACAAGCCTTCATTCAATGTGATCAAGTCAACAATAGATTATCAAAATTAAGTTCTAACATCGTATAAAATGAATAATTCTATATGCCTAACTGAATGATATATACATCAATCAAAACAAATTATAGTGAACATTTTATTAAACAATGAAATTAAAGCCATGACATTGTTCTGTACAATATTCGTTACTCATAAACATACATGCATTCTATCAATTACACAATCTAAATGTTTTTTTATCTAATATGTACTTGCATTTTGTATCGTTATGTTGAAATAGTATTAATCAATTCAATGAAATTTTAATAAATCACTTCATAAAATGAATAACAGTAATTTAAGTTTAACACAGTCAGTTGTATCAATACAATTTTCTTTAATCATTAAATAATTTTCTGAATATGACAACAAATATTTCGTATTTCTTAAGTTGAAGAAAAAAGCATTGACTATTAGGATCTCAGTCGTTATGAGAAAAAAAATGTTGTCGATTCAAAAGAATTGTTAACTATTGGTTTGAAATGGGTACAGCTCATTGTTGCAAATTAATAGTTGTTATTATTGATTAGTTTGTCTGAATTGTTTCCTATCCCTAGTACATTAATTGATAAACTTCTGAAAATTATGCTAATGTTAAAATAAGATTTTAGTGAGCTAGGAGTGAAGTCCAGAATGTGCGCTTTATCTTATTTATAAGATTCATCAGCTGGATGTACACACTGAGACTAAAACCTAGTACCGTTCTCCTTAAATGAAAACGCGTTATCTTAATAGGACGTAACGTATGTCCTTGTACCTACTGTTAATCACTGTCTAAATTTTATCATAATTTGTAACTAATTGAAAATACCAAGGCGACCCTATCAAGGTGTATATATACCAATATAGACTAATCGATTACAGTCCTGAGTTATAAACAAGTAAATATCAGCCTTTACAAGATAAACTTCGATGCTTTTTTCAAATTTTGATCATCTTAGATGCTGATATTAATCGCTTAGACGATATTCGTGAACACGCTATGGCAGCATTGACTGCTTCACATGTCCTCTTTCCACGGTGTTTATATCGAACAAACATTTCAAGGATAATAGTAACAATTCTGTTGGGGGGACAAAACCAGGGAACTACTCTATTCGAACACATGATGTGAGTTTCGTTTATTTTTTATTTCCTGTTTATATATTACAGCTAAGTCGGAAATGCTTCTATGCGTTCACCTATGAGATATGTAAAATATATTGTTACTTTTTATAGTCGTTAAGTAATTGGAAATAATCAATTTGCCATAAAGGTTTCATCAGAATTTCTATAAATATCTTTGCTTTTTATGCAAATGTCTTTTCATGACGTAATTTTGAGTCTTAATTAACCAGCGTTAATATATGTGAACCATTTCAACTCGAAACAGTGATTACTGAATATTAGTCTGCTCGTCATAAGACTTGGAAATCCTTGTGATAGAACCCTATATGAAGTTCAATGTGGATGATGTTAATTTATTTTAAAATAGCATATAAACTGTCTAGTGATTTATTATGCCAAGTTAGAAAAGAAAGTACTCCATTTATGATCGTAATAATTATCTATTTCCTACTCTACGGATATCGTACATTCACTGTTTCCAATGTATTTCTCTTTTCCATAAAACATAGTTATGTCACTATACAGCATTATATAGGTAGTTTAATGAATTACGGAAATAATTTTATTCAGTTTAATAATTTATTTGTTTTTATTTCCAACGACTTAGTTATTTTTTACAAATTAAAAATCATCGCATAATCAAATGAATGAAAATCTTCTAGCTATACTTAAGGACTTATAGTTTAAATTCCCAGCATTAATTACCTATCAATTGAGCTATGTTGGCTGGGAAATATGTTCCTTTAAATTCTATCATGCCAGGCAGGTTGTGTGGAGAACGGTTAAGTCAAGGCCGAAAATTAAAGTCTGAGGATGAATTCGTACTGCTGACCGTAGAGGGGTATAACAGCAGTAAGTTGTTTCCTGAAGACAACCAGCATCTGCAGAGATGCTGTCTTTTCATAACAGAGGAAAGTTGTTAGAAAAAGTCGGCCCTAAAAATTTTATATTTCACTTTACCACAGGATTTCTATCTCCGATGTACATACGTATCTGGTTCTACTTTGTGACCGAAAGTAATGTACACTGTATTTTTTATTAATCACTTTATTTTCAGTAACCGAAGTTGTAATATAAAGAACGTATTGTCAATATATAGATCGGATCTTGAGACGCCTGATTGTGTGAGGCTGATAACTGATGCACAGATGTGTAAATACAGTGATTCAGGTTTATATTGTAGCTGTAAATTTATCTGTTTGTCAACTAATGTCAATGAATATGATTGTGTGAGATTCTATCAAATTGAATGTTGTTCAATCACCTTTTCAGATTTAAAAGTATATTTTGGTTACAAAGGTTATTCTCATGAACTCCTCAAGAGATGAAGAATGCCTGTACTCTATTTAGTTAACCAAACAAATCTTCATTCTGTCTCACTTATTTCCCCCATTTTAATTTTAGTGTCTGTGATTTATAGTGAATAATGAATCAGGTGTGAGAGATCTTATTATGTTTCAGAAAATTCTAATTTACCTCTGTATGAATATAAGTACCTGCGTTCCATATTGTTAGTTATTTTCCGATTATTCAAATGATAACATTTTATGTCAAACTAACGTAACGAAATTTACCGTAACGATATTATTGCTTCTAAATAAACTGTATGCCTACTATTCTTTTATTTAGTAGTATAATTTCACGTTATGAAATTTTGTTCGTCAATATGAAATTATTTTTTTGTACTTGAAATTGCATCATTTTACATATGTTTTAATAGACAATATTTATTTAGGGAAGTTTTATGAATTCGTATATTTTTCCTATGGGTAAAGTGAAATTTATTAACCTATAGTCAGTAGATTTTAAAATAACACTGACCAATTGTTAAACATTATGTTGGGCTGATATACAACTATCGTTTGCACTGTTTTTGTGCAACTAATTACCGATCACAGTCAAATTTTGTGCTCAGGATTGTTCGCTTTAAGCTATAAATTGTTATTACTTCGGGAATTTTTAGAAAGTTAAACATCCCAGTTCGAGAGAATCGGATTACACGTATAGATAGCTATCATATTGTTTTTATGTCTTTATTGTCTCTGTAATACCATACTTTGTTGACATTGCTTACAAAAAGACAGGAAGCCAAACGTAATGCATATGAAATCGGTTCGCAAACTTTGATGCAGATAGACGTAAATAAGGTTTTAATTTCTCATCTTTCCAGTAGTTAATGGTTAAAGTTATTTTTACAATGACCATTTTCAAGTAGCACGATTTTCATTATGTTCCCAGATCAAGTACATCAAGTGATAGCATTATATTTTAACGATTTGTTTGCCTCGTTCATCCACATAAGTTGGTAGTTTGCGCATAACGTCTAAGATAATTCATTTATCAAGAATTCATCATTTCATATGTTATATTTATATACCATTTGAAATATTTCGTCCGTGTTTTGGTGTCGACGGATCTATTTTTTTCAAAACTCAGCTCGTGTTTGGAGTGCTTCATACTTTTTAATGTCGTTTAAATCAATCTTACATTTTCTGTTTTGAGGTTTAAGGATGTAAATTAGTGCATATTTTTACAGCATTCTACGTCTTGTTTGTACAATCCTCACGAACATCTAACTGGTCAACATTGATTTCTTATAATAAATGTTTCTGTAATCAGCATACCATCGGTTTAGTTAAAATCCATTTTCTATAGAATCAGTAGAGCCGTGAGTTCTTTTTATATATTATGAAATGGTAACAGAATACATACTGATTTACAACCATGATCTATTTGATATAAAAGAAGATATGATGCAAAAAAAACTTACTTAAACATGCAGGATTCATGAATTATTTTAACTGAATATTCCTGACAAACATGAAACGTAAAATACATACAAAGTACAATATTAAGGGTGACATAATTTCAAGGAACATTATTATTGACGGGATAGATGCTGTTGTAATCATTCTTGGAGAAAAACGGCCATTTATTATAAAAATTTCATAGAACACACTAAGAAGTTAATATAACTGTAAAAACCATTTACATTTTCTGATGATATATGACATATATTTTTTCCATAGAAAGGATATTAGTTTAATTGAGTCTCATTGATAGTATTACTCAATGAATTATACAAAATAATTGAATTTAATCCAATATAAATAAATAGCATAGAGTATTAATGGCATGATATAAATAATCAATATCCAATTATATATATATATATATATATATATATATATATATATAATATATAATATATATATATATATGTTGTCATGAGAATCTAGTGTTGTATAGTCTGAAATTATGTTAAAATATATGTTTATTGACTTGGTATTGTTCGGCTTGTATTTTCCTACTGAAGTTTAAGACTTCAATTGATCAGTCTGACGCGATGGCGTTTGAAGCGAATGGTACTGGTTTCAAGTCCCAGAGTGAACATCAACTCTGAGATGCAGGTACATCCAGCTGACGAGTCCCAAATAGGACGAAACGCGCGTCCTGGATTCCACTGCTATCCACCACTATCCATCATTGCTTACAAAAAATATATATATCAATTATATTAACTTTCTAATTCAATTCAATTCTTTATTAAAAGTGATTTAATCCATTGAAATAAATCATTCATATATAACTATAAATTATGTGATTCCTATCAAATGCTTAACATTATTTGATCTAAATTGAGTTTTTCTTTTCGGTAATTAACGTAATTAATTAATAGTCTTTATTTTCATAGTAATATATTGCAATATTTTATGGGTATTATTCTAATTTATGATAATAAATTACTTACATTTATATGATTTGTATTTGTGCTTATATATATATATATGTATATGTGTGTGTGTGCAGGTATGGAAATAGTGTAATTATTATGTAACACATTAAATGCAATTCGACAATAGCAAACCGAAAGCTGTAAATAACTTAACCAACTAAAATAATAATAATAATAGTAATAATAATAATGAATGTCAATGTAATTAATTCATTTATGAATTAAAAAGGTATGATACATAATTTATCCCTGGAACTCAAGTAATCAAAGTTATTTGTTTATTGAACTACAATTTGGATTATAAAAAATTTCCAATTAATAGTTCACTGTTTATGAAGAAAAAAAGGAAAGTAAAGCTCCATTTTATGTGTTAATATATACAATATATTTTTTTCAAGTGGTACTTTCTAACGTTCTATATTGTTTCATATTTGATTGTGTAGTGATAAATTTAATGTGCTGTAAAATATCTTGTAGAGGTTATTTTATATAGTTTCTTGTATAGAACTACATTTCGAACTGACTCCTGAGGGGATAACCATTGAAAACAAATGAGGTCAGGTCAATTCTTTCTTCTCAGTTTGAAATTTGTTCAATGTAAACATTCATAGTTTATGAAAAGATCGAGTTAGGGACTTTTAAGTCTTGTAGCGATTACTAATGAAACATATGTTTAAATCTATCTTGTTTACCTAGAAAATCTGTTTTCTCTTTATCCAATATTTATTTTGATTAGTGTTGTATTTTTGTTTAGACATTTTAGAATCATTGCTATTATTATCATTAGTAATGTGTTCCAGGATGACTGTAAAGAAATCTGTTGATTTCACTTGAGAACACAAATTCTACTGTTAAATATTTAGAATCGATGAAGCAAATATGAAATATGTACATAGAAGGATCAGGTTAACGGTTGAAGTTGATTTACTAGTCTTTTTTGAAAATATATTTACAATACAGTCATGAGCTTTCATAACATTTACTTTTATCAGTTTTTTAATGTGACAGATATACATGTTTTGTAAAGGGAATTGTTTTATGTTCATCTTTGGTTTACTAATGAGAACTGAAATAATCTTAATACATTCAATAATGCCTATATCCCTAAATGTTTTCTCAGATTATTATTACTATTGTGTATTGTAATCCTATCTCTTTTTTATTTAGGATTACTACAAGAATCATTTGCCTTGTAAACTTTAAATTTTTCTTCTGATCAAATCAGTTTGTTTGATAGATCAACTTGTCAGTTTACGGGATTTGTGGAGATTATAGTATTTTCAAAGTTGTATTCATCAGTTGATCTAAGCTAGATCACCATTAAAAACCTGGAAGCACTGAACTGTCGTTTCGTTCCATTATGGGACTCCCTACCAGTACGCATCCACGATATAGTACTTCCAGATCTTTAATGTTAGTCTGGCTCAGAATAACTCATGAGTTCAACTTTGAAAAGATCAATTTGTTACAACGTTTATGTGCGTGACACTGATTGCAGAATTGTCATTATCCAATTTTACTACAATAATGCCTAAATGTGATAACATTTGAGATCTGGTTTATTTTGTTATCATTTCTTTTTGTACTATTTCAATATTGTTCATTTAGACTAAGCATATATATGTAATCATGATTTATAAGATCATGCCACTAATAACTGTCAACGTTTGTAAATCGTTTAAGATAACAAACAAATACTTCTTACTTTACGTATAGACCATATTATAACTAACATTGATATTTTCAGGTATTCACAGTGATAGTCTTGATGAGTACAATTTATCTATTCAATTAAGATTTTTAGGATTTGACCAGATTGCATGGAATAATAAGAAATTTATATTACTTTACAATAACCATAATTTGTGCTTAATTCAGCTTCTTAAACGGAATTCAAAAACATGGTTAATTTTGAAGCTTGATTAATTTGTTACGTCAGTTCTTTTGTTTGTTTTATTTTTCAAGTTTCTTTCCTGTTTTTCAGATTGCTATGTACATCGCAAACCAACTTTGTCAACCGGAATTGGAAACGCATTTACGTGTGTATATTTCCTATCTATGGGTTAGTCGTCTGTGTATGCACACAGCAAAAGTGAGTTGCCATTTTATTTGAGAATTTAGTTCATAGTAGACTGTGTATTCATATTTAATCAAGATGAAAACCTAACTGTTTGTTGAATCGTAATATGTTAGTCAGTCATCATCAACGTAGAGCTTGACAAAGATGTTCAAGTTGTTAAAACACATTACTATGATGAGAGGAAATCAAGAGAGTGAATTGCAAAAGAGTTCTAAATATCATAATAGCAATGATAATTAGGACGACTAAACATTTTGAATGTAGTTTGAAACGACAGACTGGAAAGGTATGCAAGAAGGAATATTATGATTCCAAAGAAACAGGAAGATAATGTGTAATTACATCTCGGTCATAGTGAATAAATTTAAACCATTTCATTTTAAGTTATTCTGCAAATCCCAATTAGCTGTAGCCATAAAGCTGAATGCACAGAAATCTACTTTGTTTGCTGATTCGTAATCCACTTACTGTTTAGAAACGTACAACTATGTTTTCGGAAATTTTTGGTTAATTCACGATAATTAAGAAATGCAATTTACATTTTCATGTATATTAACAGAATTGAGATATGTAATGGTTTACAAAATTGAATTATTGAGGTATAGAAATTATTAAGATGAAAATATTGAATAACTTGTCGTCGTATTTGGGACTCGTCAGCTGGATGTGCCTGAATCTCAGAGTTGACGTTCACTCTGGGGCTCGAACCCAGTACCATTTGTATCAAACGCCATCACGTTATCCACTCAGCTACTGAGACCTGATAGCCACTTGCTTGTTCAATGGGGTGAATTTGAATTCACTTGGTATTGTTTGGCTTGTATCTTCGAGTCCTAGAGTGAACATCAACTCTCTGAGATCCAGGTACATCCAGCTGATGAGTCTCAAATAGGACGAAACGCGCGTCCTGGATTCCACTGCTAGCCACTATCCATCATTGCTTACAAATAGCTTGTGAATTAAGGCAATGTCGAGGCATACTCACAGTATGCACATATGCCAATAAGAGACTGATCAATTCCAGTCTTAAAAACCTCAATGGGAAGATACAAGCCAAACAATACCAAGTGTATTGAATAACTTGTCAACATTCATTCTGTAATGAATAAATGTTATGTATGACTGAAATACAAAACGTTCTCATAAATGTCTTAAAAATAACATTATAACTACCTATTGATCAAAAAATCTATTGATTATTGATTAATATGAGTAACTTATAATATACAAGTTTATCTGAAACGTTATTGAAACCTTAGTTAGATAGTAGTAGTATTTTAATTCTAAGGAGAAATAACGGTTATATTCTTGCCTTATTTTTCAGGGTTTTTTAGTCTACAAGATTCAGATTCAGGATTTCATTTTTACTGACAATTAATTCAGTTAGTGATAATTCTACATTGAATATTCATCAGATTTGACAAGTAGTATCTCTAATTTTTATTTGATATCTTTAAGTTAAGAATAATCGGGTTTTTTCTCAAATGAAAAAAAAAAAAAAAAAAGAGAAACAGAATTTTTATAACAACATATGTAAGCGAACAATATTGTTTTCGATTAGATCCTCATCAGGCTTTACTCTAATATACAGTAATATTTATATGCATATACGAAATTATTAAACCAATCAAGGTAGTTTATAAGTCAATGATAACAATGGAAAAGATTACATAATAAGTAAAATGTGAAAAGTACAAATTGATGGTGTGACAACAGGTGCATTAGTTTTTGATAAGCAATAATAATAAAGGTTCAAATCAATGTTACATAATCTTAAGTGAAAAAAAACTCTTCATTTACTAGTCCGACGTCTATTGATTTTTGTCATTTTCACCAAATTCTTATGTGGTACTTTAAACTATCTATCATTCGTTAAACGTAAATGTATTTGGGTGTTTGTTTCAAATCACAACATCTGTTATATTATGTCATTATTAATAATTCTTTTCAATCTTAACAAACTTATATGGAAGATCTTTAAGTGTTACTATTATAAATTCTAAGTTCTATCAAATTCTCTCTCTCTGTGTGTTTTTCAGTGCGTAGGCATGTTGGTTAAGGTTTTACCATAAGTTATTCAGATAATTAGTTCTATTCACTAAATGTCTTTTCTTTTTTATAATCTCGATGAATTTAACCTGTGTCATTTCCATTCACCTCTTATTGTTATTTAACTCGTAACTCTTGATGAAATAATTTTTTTTTCTTTTTTCGCCTCTTATTTTACTTTTAATACATACAGTAGTGTAGAAATATCAGACTAAAAAAATGCAGCTAAGTGAATTTTAGTTGTCATTGCAGATATTGTTAAAAAGTATTGTGTATCTTTTGAAGTGAATGAAAAATTGTAAATTTTACTCTACTAATGTCGATAGAATTCAGAATGATAGTGATGATAATGACAATGGGGATAATAATGACGTCGTTGTTAACACTAATTTTTTTTATTTCTAATTTGCTAAAATATTTTTTGGCAGTATTTACATATTAATAAATGTTAGCAAACTATTTCAAGTATATAACTTGCTTTTTTTCCTTCAGTCTAAGTTAGACATTCAAATGAATTTGTTATAGTGGTTAAACTACAGCATATATTCTATCCAGATTGTTGTGTTGTGTATTTTTATTTTTGAATAGTAATCCACTTGACTATTGATACTAATCATCAAAAGTGGAATTTCTTACTTTTGTCAATATTCATGAAGGATGGTGTAAAAGAACATAGTAAAATTGTTTATCTAATTTCTACTATGCTATATAGAAGTATGTTTTATCAGTATTGGGATTTGTGGAGATCGTAGTATTTTTTACAATTGATTTCACGAGTTGATCTAAGTTAGACCACCATTGAAAAACTGAAAGCATTGAACAGCCGTTCCATTCTAGATTGATTTGTGAATTTAGCTCTTAAAATACTATAATCTTCACAAATCCTTATATTGATGATAATCACGTGCTTACTAGTGAATAGCTTCAAGATAGCTTTCCTGGAGTTATACTGAGAAGTCATGATCAGTGAAGTTCAATCTTTGTCGCGTGGACACAGTTGTCCACCTCAAACAATGAATGAAGGGTTTTAGAAGGTCATGGGTCGGTTGATGTTAGAAATTAACACCGTTAGATGTGGTCTCTATGGTCTATATGTTAAGCCTTCGTACGTGAGACAGAGTGTCCTGGGTTCCAGTAGTGCATGCAGGATCGTGGATGCGCACCACTGGGGAGTCCCACACTAAAACGAAACGGCCGCTCAGTGCTTCTGAGTTTCAGCTGTGGTCTAGCTTGATCGGCTCGTGAATTCAACTGTGTAAGTATATTTAAATGAATTTTTAGTGTAGACCATCAGAGTAAGGCCAGTTCTTGACGTCATCTAATTAGACTGGTCACTTACCAGTATGAACGCCAAACATTTTGTTGTATAGTATTCACTACTTTTGGGAGTATAGTGAGTAGGATAATTTAATGAATTGAACTTAATTTTATCCAGTTTATTAGCAGATTCTGTTACTACATAGCTATTCACATAGTGTAATTGGGGGAAAATATGTAACAACTATTCTTATTATCTAAAACAATAATGCAGAATCCATTTCCTTCAAATTATGAGCTCACTTCTTTCATATTCTTACAATTAATTCAGTGTGTTTTAGGAACAACTAATGTGATTCCAGGTAACCGAAATCTTCATAATGATAGGATGAACAACTTTTTGTAATAAAGTATTATGTGGGGCGAGGACGAAAGTTCCTTTTTTTAACCAAAACTGAGCTTATTGGTATGAATCCTACGTCTCTTCACATTGATCACATACATACGATATTATCGACTGTTTTACAAGAAGTTAAAATATTTTTTACAACAAAATATTTAGATGAGAAACCTAACTACTGAATATATTTTAAGTAGCCATGTAAATATTTTGTAAAACGTTTTTTCATGTGACAAATTATTTTGACACTTAAATGAATAATGTTAAAATCTCTCTCTGTGTGTGTTCCGTAAAAGTAAATCAAACCAATTATATTTGTTGTGAATGGCATTTAAAATCTGGAAATCCATACAACATCAACATTAACTGAACAGTACCCATTTCAGGATTTCGGTGCATTGGGGAGCAAATTAAAAAATTCATCAACTGACACATGCTAAGAATAAAATCAAAGAATTTAAAGTTTCCGTGTAGCCATTACGTTTAAAAGTAAAGTTCAGTGGTACCACTGTTGGTGAAGTTGTATCATATTGTATATTTGGAAGCTCTAAAGCAGATGTCTTATGGAATTTAAGGGTACATCTTATTTTTCATCTGTTTCATCTTGATAGTTAGAAATAAAGCAAGATTATCTTAAATCATATCCTTCATGTACCATAGCCAGTTTGCATACATATACTTATAAAATTCATGTCAATAGTATATCATCAGTATTTCAAACTTTATAATTATGTTCTAAATATTATTTCTAAACTATTAGAAGTGGATATTTTTGTTGTATGACGCTTTTAAACAATATGTATAATCCAAAAAGTATTACACATAAACAATATATTAATTTCTGAACAGTTGTTGACAGAAATCTTGGAACGATAAAGTATATATTAATAAGTTTATGAAAGTGAAATATTTAGGAGAAATATACATCATTGTATTATGTGAAAATAGCTTAATTGAATTCTTTTTAATAGATAGTCATTAATATTGTTCATTTTCCCCAAATAAATGGTTTAGAGTGAATACATGTTTGTGTACTTAGTTTTTAGTTTTAACTGAGTTACTAGGACTAGTCTTACCACTGGTTTGTTATAAAAGTGGAAGAAGTAGGATTCGAAATTATAATCTATTCATTGAATGTTATGTCCTTTCACTAATAAACTACCTCTTCGTTGTTGATCTAAGCAAAATTTTTAAAATTATGTTCTAATACACCTTATTTGTTGTAGACACATGTTTAATTAGTTACTACAGTGGGTTTGTGAAGGTTGTTGAATTTTATGGTTTACATCATGAACTGATCTTAATTAAACAACCAAAAAGAGCACTAGACATCAAGTTCGTTGTGAATGGGTTCTTAATTAAGATCAGTCAGTTATGTAAACCATGGAATTCAGTAATCACCACAAATCATGTGTTCACTTGCGACTACTTTTGACAGGTAATTATCAGAGTTCTAATGAGAAGCTGTGACTGAGGGAGTTCGACCATGAAAATGATAAACTTAATAATCATTATACTCAATAACCAAATCTATATGATCGATTCATTGAAAGCAGGCAAATATTAGATTGTTCATTAACTTACATTGTGAAAGGGGAAGTTCCAGAACATCGAACTAGTTATTAGAAATCAAAAAGTTAACAAACATTAAATAATTATTTACTAGAGTAACTGGGATCAGATTAATAATAACAATCAAAGATATGAGTTGAAATCAATCAATTATGCATTTTTTAAAAATGACGATGATGTAATCAGTTGAAATAACTTTATTAGAATCTTCGCTATATCATGATGTACATATTCATCTTTAATCACCTCCGTATATATATATATATATATATATATATATATATATATATATATATGTCAATATCTGTAATGAAACGGTATAGGATGTAAGCAACTGATGAGAACCTAACGATATGTAATAAAATGAATTCGTATTATTCTGCATCAATTTTTGTTTGCTCTCTTTAAGACAATAATGTATGTTAAAGTAAATTCTCTCCTTGTATTTTAGGTTTTTTATGATTGCGTACAGGCTGATACTTTATTTGCTCACTATTGTATGAAAAAGTTTCCGGTATATTTGGAAGCCTTGCTAGACTTGTTACGAGGGAGTGTGAGTAATTATTAATAATTTCATTGTTCTATTCATTCATTAACCACAAAAGTAGTTGCGTTTAGTCGTGTTATATGTTTAGAGAAAATCGATCTTGTAGATGTTAGACTTAATTCTTGATCGTCATTTGAATTCCATCAACAGTTTTCCCTATTGACGGTTAAAATCAATATCGTGGATTATTTGAAGTTAGACATTAACACCTTTGGATAGCATCTCAGTGGTTTATAGTCTAGGCGTTCGCACGTGACCCGAAAGATCCTTGCTTCCATTTCCTCGTGCGACATCGTGGGTGTGCTACTGAGGGGTAGTAAACTATGACGAAACTGCAGTACCGTGCTCTCAGACGTTCAATAGTGATACAACATTGATCAGTTAATAATTTCAATGAAAACTAAACGCGTTGTACATGATAGAGCGATTTCGAAAACTTACAAGTTGTTATTGGCATATATTCTGTAACCCTGAAACTCGGTTTGTTGTTAATTGGGACTCATCAATAAAGCCTAGTTCCAGTCTTGACAGAGCTGACGCTCTATAATGAATTCAGATCACGGTAACCAACATCATTGTTATATCTGGAGATTAGATTTCTGCTGTACAGTGTACTACTTGAGCATTCGAACGCTAGAACCCTCCAAGTCACAAGTGAGAAATCAGAGACGAGTGAGAAGGAATGCTGTTCCAAACAGTGTAATATATGGTACAAAACTCTCAAATATTTATAATTATTAGTAAAAACGAAATCCTCATTACAGTCATCCAATCCACATACAGTGGTTTTGAGCATTTGTCAAATAGGGGAACTACACGTCGAGATTCTTGAATGTTCTTCAAAATGATGATTGGGTGGAATATCTTCGCTTTTTTCTGAGCTTCTTAGAGCTTCTTAGAGTTTATCTGAGGGCCGTACTCACAATCATGCTTGTTTAGACCTTAATGTTGACCGAATTTTGTCGGTCAATAGCAATACGGCTTGGATGCATAGGCCAAGTAACTGTTGGTATAACTTTCCATACCTCAAATTGCGACTTGGAAAGGGAATCAAATTGTACGTAAATGGATTAGTAAAGTTGATATCAATAATACAAGAGTTTGCAAGGAGCTTAAACTGTCTACAAGAATAAGAACAGAGTATGAAATGTATGGTAAAACTCAACTTCGTGTTTTTTATGAAGACGACAGGATAATTAATGTTTATCACTCTAATTAATTTTGAATGCTATAACTCCTCAATCTTAAACTGTTTATTACTAAAACGCACATGCCTAAATGAGAAAGCCAGCTCTTTTGCGTTTAACAAGTAATACATCTTCGTTTGAGGACTTCAAGTTTTACTTCATCATTATTCGTTTAAGTAATCATTCTAACCTGACATTCCAAAAAGAAATTTATATTTTAAGCCTTAGAGATGGATCAATAGTAAGAATGGTTTAAAAATGCCATTGAAACTCTTAATTTGCTCTCGAATTTGGAAAAAAAAGAACTATGGTAATAGCATCATTTTGTTGTGTTCTGGATTTATAGAATTCTCTGTTATCATTATATGTTTATCTTTTGGTAGTATTGAATATTTTTGTAATTTACTGTGAATTGATATAATTTTCTTTATTTCAATATTAATATCTTTAGATATGTATTGTTGAAATCCAATTTATAGGTTTCAGTATCAAAATCTGATCGTGTAACATTAGTTGAATTAGTGATGCATTCATTAACTGCATTTATTATTCAATTGGGTCATGTACCAGAAATGTAAGTTTTGTATTCATCTTTATTTTCTGTAGAGGTTTTACATATTTGGATAGTATTATTTCAATAACTGGTCAATACTAGGAGTATTGGTTTCTTTCATAATGTTCATGTTCGTTAAAATATACTTGAAATAAACTAACTACTATCATTTTCGTCAAAATAATTTCGATCATGTACTGAAATCATACTAAAGATTAGTAACACTTGATTGTCACCGATTAGATAGTTGTTCCGGCCTAGTTGGACATTATTTACTTGTGTTCATTCATAATCCCGCTTAGAAATTGAGCTCATAAACTTATGATCTTGTCAGAAGTATGATATTATGAAACTACTGAGTCAGAAATAAGTTGTTCGCATTTTATCAACATTTATTCACTTATTTATTTATGACTAGGTTAACTCTACACATTATAGTTTCTTACTCAATCTTAGACAACTCTATCTGAAAATTGATCCACTGTTGATTAGTTGGTTATAATTTCGTTAGCTAGTTTTTGACCATTCATACAATTAAAAGATAATGTTGTAGTATTATGCAAAAGCCTTCAAGGACGTATACTAAGGTTTATTGAAGCCTTGGCTACACGGAAATTGAAACCCCCATTTATGTGTTCAAAAACAATTTGTCCTTACACTTGACCTACCCCAGTAATACTGATTTGTTATCCAGAGTGGTAATCACATTTGTTTTTGTGTACTTTGATATTTTTTTTCCTTTGTTATGACTTACCCTTAACGTGTCTAGTTGACATTTTAATTTTCATATATAATATGTTCTTAACAAGTATATTATGTATGATCAGATTGTTCGAAATGTATTGCGCAAAAACATCATATAATTTTGATAAACTTCGTCTTCTCATTGCATTATCGAAATTCAAAGACAATATTTCACATAATATGATTGGTTTCGATATGTTAATATTATGATTCGCATCCATAAAATTTATAATTTTAAAAATGATTACGTTTATGAATACATAGTATGGAAGTTGCACCGGGAATTCTTTTTTATTTTAGATAGTTAAGATGATTAGTTTCCTTCTAGACAGCATATGTTCTGGGAAAACAATTGAATGTTTTTGACATTTGAATGTATTAGAGATATAGCAACGACTGTATTTTTTATCAAGTGACTTTCACATGAAATGTTACTATATTGATATATATGAGGTTTGAGATAAAATACAATTCATGAATGATATTTCTGGTCGTACAATAACATTATATATATTAGAAATATTTTTTTATAACAACAGTTTAACCTTTTCATTTAGTAAGTTGATTTTAGTAAATAGTTCAGGCACTAATAACGTTTTATTTTGCGTAGTTTTATCATTGGTTAGTCTGTTGTTCGTTTAAATGCTAATATTCTGCAAATCTTTGAGTTGATAAATGTAACGTGATCATTTCTGATGGTTTAAGAGTTAAAATATGAATGTAGTTATCTAATAATAAGATGATCCCAATAATATTTGAAGGAGAAACGTCTTGCCAAATTGTTTCATTCCATATTTCTAAGAATTCATTTGACTAATAAGGTTAAAAATAAAACGAAATATTGCAAGTATGTTCTAGAAGGCGTTGCCATTTTTGCCTATTTCATGTAAAACAGTAGCTAGACTACTTCTTTGGGGATCTCGAAATGAGATCATACTGTCTAGAAACTATGGCTCAAGGTTATATATATGTAGTGAACGGAACACGGGTGGGGACAATCGAATGTATTTGACACAAAATTACAGGACTTGTTAATAAAATCTAACAATCATAAAGTAAATGCTTAATTTTCAAAATGTCCGTCAACTGTCTCAAAATGACTCAGACTTCATTGTTCCTGCATTTTCATACAAATTGAGTTCTGTTTCGATTCTTTACTTTTCGATCCTCTTGTCTTTCTGCTGCCAGACATTCTGTTCACGACTAATATCATATACTACTTATGTCAATATAAGTAGCACGTTTCATTATTATGGAAAACAGGTCATTAATGAATTGGATTTTTTCTGAATCCTATATTGACTCTCTTATAAAAAGTCAAACATATTATTTGGAATTATGACTAGCTATTTAATAATAGAATGTATTTTCCTTTATTGAAAGCCAGTTATATAATCTTAATTCTCTTCAATTGACCTCAGTACCCATGAGTACGTTCATGCACTAAGGCCTGAATGATAACATTTGCTTCAAGTTTAGTTGTAATAATCAGCTTTCAAACCTGTTAATAACTACATGAAATTACAGTATCTCTATATTTTATTCATCAAAATATTACCTAATTCATTTAATTCAGTAGTAGTATTTGCTCTCTCCTTTAGAATATTGCAGAACAAGGCACAATTTTGTAAAATGCTTGTTGAATCACATCTTCCAAGTCATGCAGTAAGTCTACTATATAGTCAATAAAATTTATACTAACTTGTTCAGTTAGAAGTTTGTTTTATTCAAATTCTATCTTCTTGTCATATAGTATTGTATAAACTAGAAAATAGTAATTTATTGAATAGTTAAAACTGTCAACATGATAAAGTTTTGACATAAACAAATAACAGTATTAATCATAGTAACACTAACTAACAGTTCAACGCTGAATTTAATCGACCATTTAAAGAATTAACTAAAAATTAGTTTGACTTTTTCATATATGCCTAATGAAATTAAGTAGTTCGAAATAGAATATTTCTTGTTTCGGAAGAAAGAAACATTTTAAATATCCCTAATATATTATTCGAGTTATATTTTAAAGTTGATTATTGTTCTGTCTTCCTGCTCATGTTTCTTCATGATTTATTGGTTTCAATGCTGTTATATACTGGGGAGAACGTTAATAGTTGTCAGTATGGTCAATGATTAGTTTTTCGTAGTTTGTTTTTAACTTTACATCATATTTAATATTATTTCTCTTTCTTCGCTTCTCATGAAAGTCATTCATTTCCGTGTGCTAATACAAATGTTTAGAAACTTGGATGGATAGATATTTCTTGAAGGTTATAAGTCACCGCTGATAACTGACTAACTGTTATCAAGTTGTATATCAAAATAAATTATACTGTAGCAAGTGTGAATAGTATCCGATGCAAATATTTTACTAATGAATTAAAATAATGACTTACATAATACATTATTTATACTCAACTATCTTTGTTTCCAATTCTTATCTTTTTGGATAACTAATTACTGAACAATTATATATACTACTCAGTCCAATAAATATACTAACGGTGATTATCAAAACAGATTTTAGAAATTCACAAATAAGCTTCTTCAGTGTACTGTCTATTTGTCTCAATATTTTTATCATATACAATTTTTGATAGTTCAAACTATCGTCATTTTATGGAACAATGAGAAAACAGAGTTGATCTAAAAACCGTGGTATATATTAGCACTTAACATTTCGAACAATCTGATCGCACATTTTATGTGTAAATAAATCAAGGTTAATTAATTAAAAGTTCGGGTGAAAAAAGTGATTTTACATTTTTGTATTGGTTATTTGAATTTTCCAATTGATGTTTAAGTCTGTATTTGATCAGTCTCTTGTTAGTATATGAATTAAACCTCATTCCATACATAAGATAGTGGCTATTTCGAATGAGTATCTAAGCGAATAAAGCGATAGAGTTTGAAGCGAATAGTATTGGGTTCGAGTCATGGAGCATGCATAAACTCTGAGATGCAGGCACATCCGGCTGACGAGTTCCAGGTAGGAGAAAACGCGCGTCCTGATTCCAATGTTAGCCACTATCCACTATCTATCTCTGCTTACGGGGTAATAATTGTCAATAAAGGAGGGGAAATTAACATAGTATAGGAAAAATAAGTAGTTGCCACATTACCCCAGACCATAAAGTGGTTTAAAGACTACCAGGGCGAATTCAAAGATTCGACAAATTGTTTCTGCACACATAAGAAGGGTGTTTGAATTCGTTAATTGCTAAGGCTTCTATAAACCTACGAATTCATCGTTTTTAAAGCTTTACTGATGTCTGTTCTAAACGTCACTTCAATTATGTGCTTTGCATATCGACTAACATAATTCGCTACTTCCGTTGTTTATCGGAGCATTATAAAATACTATGACATTTTCAGAATGACTAAGTCTTCTCTTTATTCTATTTAAATTTATAAAAGCGACTAATTGCTTCCAATCTTTATTGAATAAAATAATTTTAGGTTTTCATCATATACATGAATTTATTCACGTCTAATTTTTTTTGAAATAGGCTGCTTCAGCTCTACTTTTATCTCAAATCTATGAACTACAAGAGTACAATATTCCAGCTAAACCAAATGATATAGTTCAAGCAATGTCATTAATTCTGGTTTCTCCAATAGCTCAAAGTCAATCTGCACGTAGTCGATTACTAGCTGCTTTAAACGAATCTACACCAAGAAGTGCAATCAATTTAAAAGAGAATATAAATGATTCACATAGTGAATTAGATCTATCAATGACTTTCGGTTTACCACAAATTTTATGGCCAGGTAATCATGGTTGGCTTGATGGTTTATTTAATTTAGCTCAAATTATCTCTACACAGGTTAGCTTATTTTCTCATATAATTTAATGAATAATTCCTATATTTCTTTCTGTTTAATGTTTGTTTTACATTTAAATGTGATAATTTGATGTTTCTATAGATTTCTTAATTAAGTAAATTAGCATAAGGAATACAGTGGTAAGTGTAAACTATACAAACGACCAAGGAATTTCCAAATGACAGCTGATATCTTTAATCCAATAGGATGATTCAAGGACATCTACATAGTTTTCTTCTACCCATAAAATTTTACAGTTCAGACTTCGATAAATGTTTTAATTAATGATTTTGATTCCTTTTTCAATTACCGCTTTTGCAAGTGAATTCTATTTATATTTTGCATATTGGTTATTGAAAATATTCAATTTCATACTATTAACCTCTTACTGTTGATTGAATTCTACTGATCGAATTGTTTGAATTAGATGAAAATCGTTTAGGTATTATTGTTCAATAATTTATAGTCAACTGCTTAAATTTAGCTTAATGACAAGTACATTGACAGCATCAATTTTCATTTGAGATGCGAATTTTTTAAAAATTATACTTAAAAAATTAATCTACTGACTGTACTATTCTAAATGACATACTCATAATATGTATTCACAACTACAATCAGAAAGTTGAATTGGACGTATTTAACTATATGCATTCATTTAAGTAAAATGCTTTTGCTTGAATATAAACATTTTAAAAATAAAAGTTGTGAGTACTTTGAAGTTATTGCATTTATGAACGATATGTATCTGTCGATTGATGGGTAATTTTAACTTTTCTCTATCAATGGGGATTACGGACTACCGTAGAAACTCAGTAAAACAGTTATTCTCATTATAGTAACATAATTATTGTTAATGACCAGTTTGACATTGAAACTTCCACCAACTCCAATTAGAATTAAGTAAATACGGAATCAAGGAATATATATATATATATATATATATATATATATATATATATATATATATGCATGTATGTTCATTTGTTAGATTATATTTTCATTGTATGAAGTCGAAGGCAATATCGTAATATTATTTTGTTCAAATTTTATATTCTAAAGTTTGACGACTACGTTAATTGGCATAGTATTAACTAAATAATAAATTTTTCCCATAACATCAGTTTCTCTTTAGGTGAAAGATACTTTCTTAACTGATGATACAGTGTCAGTTTAAAAAGAGACCGTATTAAAGCATATTTTTGCAATTCCTTAGGAATAGATTACATATAATAAACAGTAATTGACATTCATTATATGTGAAAATTATGTTTGAAATAATCTCAGCGATTGAAATTCAAATAATTCCACCGTCTCGTCTAGCTAACTTGTCTGGACTTCTTCGGGGTAATAATCAAAATCATCAAAGAAATAAATAGCTTTTAACAGTCAAAACTATACCGTGTTAAACCAATCATATTCGGATGTTGGTTTTGTAAAATAGGATAAGTCAGTCTACACGGTAATCATGTGAAAAGTTCACGACGTGGAAATAATTAACTGAAAATGAATTGTATGTATGTATTAGTAAGATTAAGTTATTAATTATTGATATTCGGTGTTAATATGTTATATATGAAGGAATAAATAAATAACTCAAAGTGAAAGTTCAAGGTTGAAAAAGTTGTTTCTGAATCATCGATGTACATGTCAATTTGAGAATCATCAAATACATGCATGTGAAATAAACAGATTGAATAAATAAAGGGTCCAAATTACTTGTCAATGAATATTTGGCAGGTAGTCACCTATTCAGGCTGTTCTTATTACCCTGAGGAAGTCCAGACAGGTTAGCTGGACGAAACGTTGGAATTATTTGAATTTCAATCGCTGAGATTATTTCAAATATAAGTTTCACATACAATGACTTCTCTATTCAACTTCTGTCAAACTATTCATTCTAATCTTGACGAATATTCGTATAGTAACTGATATTTACCTACAAAAGTAACTGTATTTAATATTTTCTGAATTTCTTGATTAATACTAATTTATATTTTTTTCGATTGAGAACATGAACTCATTGATGTTAGACCACCATTGAAAACCTGGAAGCACTGGACGGCCGTTTCGTCCTATTGTGGGACTCAGTGGTTCAGTAGGTTAAGCGTTTCGCGTGCGAGACTGAAGGCCCTGGGTTCGAATCTCGCGAGCGGGATCGTGGATGCGCACTGCTGAGGAGTCCCAAAATAGGACGAAACGGCCGTCCAGTGCTTCCAGGTTTTCAATGGTGGTCTAACATCAATCGGTCATGATCGCAATCCAAAACTTACAGTCTCCACAACCACTATACTGATGACTAATTTATATGACTAATACAATAAAATGAAAGTATTCACAATACTCCAAATCATTTAAATGTTAGATTTAGTGAAGAAAATTAAATCATTCTTCTTCAGACATGCATATATTATAAATTTTTATCCAATTGATTGTGTGTTATATTACTTATTTATGATATTTTATAGGCAGGAACACAATTTGGCAGTCATTTCTGGAATTTCGTATATCTGAAAGAATTGGCAATGTTTAGAACAAATATTTGATCTGCATAAATCAACTAATTCATCGTCGGATTCTGATCACGGTATTGATCTGGTCATGTTATCACCTAGAGGAATTTTATCAGCTTTGAATTTGGCTGCTACAATTTTCAGCAAGGTATAGTTTAACTGATTAATCTTATAAACGCTTTCTACTCAAACATAACCTGCGGAATCAAAGCTTTTAGCAAACTGTCATCAGGATTGATAACTTCTATATTTTCCAATCTTGCTAAACTGTTTCGTTCACATTCTTTTACAGATAATGATCTGGTTGTTCAAATTTACAAGAACTAACCTCCTACAAGAAAATTGCACTTGTAGACTTAGATACAAATATGGTGTAGTTATGTTTGATGAATGAGCTGATAAATGGAGAGTTCTCTGGCCATCCCCGACCGTTGTTACTACCTTGATGTGGTGGTTGTGTGTGACCGACCTCAAGCAGTTGTCCCTTGGGCACTGCGGTCACGCTCCCAGGTCACTAAGACCACCTCTAATCCAATTTCCTTTTAAGGTACCTCCTCCTCTCTGTTCATCTTGAGCAACAATGAAATTATGTTTTGATATTTTTCTTTCTCTAAGTAGAAAATGTTTCCTTAAGAATAGTACGCACCGACGCCTGAATCCGGTATAGAGAATGATGTTGAGAACATCGACCGTTTTTACTCATTTTGAAAGTTTCATTAGTCCTAGTAGATTCTTGTCTCACAAAATTACATCACGGATGCAAAAAACCCAGTAAACTTTTGTCAAATCGCGTTATTTCAATACACGATGCTTTCTGATATAAAAGTTAATCAAAACAGAAGTAGAATGATGTGATAACAGTTTATAAAGTCATTAATTTTGAACTGTACGTGTTTAAGTCGATGCGATTATCGTAATTAATGATAAGAACGTCTGGTGACGCGATCTAGTTGTACCACATGTGTTTATATAGAATAATAAACTTTACGTATTAAACCGTTTTAGCATGTTTTTTTTAAAAGATAATCCAATACCTACTGTTTATATTTATGTATATGAGCTTTATGTCCAAGCAAGAGAATTTTCCTATAATTTTCCTAAGGAAAAATGCTAAATGAATAACGTTTTACCCTTGTGGTATAAATCTATCATAAATAGATTTGTTAAATTAATTTATTCTTACTTTAGGACATTTAATCATGTATTTTCCTTCTTTTCATTGTTTTTATAAATGAAGAAAAGTGTTATATATATTCTTTTGTATCTAATGATTGATGTCATGTTCGATTATATGTATGACGTCATAGTAAAAACAACAAAAAAAAACATTTTATGAATAAATATGACTGTCGTTTTATTTTTCCTATTCATTTATTTATGTATGTCAATGAATCTTATCGGTATAATTAATAAAATGATCGGATAACGTTTTTTTAAAAATAGTTGGATACATGTATTCAAGTGTGTATATTTGTCTCTAGATGGAGATAACTTCTATGGTGTATCAAAGAAATCTATGTTCAAATACAAGTGGATACATATATACATAGAATTTTAGTAAATTGAATATCACAGCTTAGACGCTGAATTAGATGACGTCATGAGCTATTATTATTATTATTATTATTATTATTATTATTATTATTATTATTATTATTATACTTAAATCTTTTTCTATCTATTGAGAATTTAGCCCATTTTACCAAATAACCACTTCTTAATTAATATATTTTGATTCATATCATGAATCGATCAATGTTAGACCACCATTGAAAACCTAGGAGCACTGGATAGTTGTTTTGTCTTACTATGGGACTCTTCATCAGTGCGCATTCACGATCTCACTCATGGGGTTCGAATCCGATCTCCTCATCTACTGTTTTAATCCTTAGGGTGTGTTTGTTACGGGAGAGCTGATTTTGAAATTCATTAAATATTTTGTTGTTATATGCTGTTGTGAGTTTTGGCACTTTTTCAATATTTGTTTTACAAACTGAACTCATCAGTATATTTTAGTATTTACGTAGGGTCTTTATCGAAGAATACGTTGATTTCACCTTTATCCAAATTGCAATTTTACCATATCATAATTGAAAATATTGTTGTAGTTTCTATCACTATGTTTATTTTACTATCATTAATGTGAATCTCTCACACAGTTCCAACTTTTATTGTTTACTTATATTCAGAAGCCAAAATTATGCATTGAAACGTTATTATGTAATCAAAGTCAAATGTTATCTGTTCTAAAGCATTTTTTACAACAAAATGCATTGAAGAAATACGTCAAAGGTGAGTTTTTTTCAAGATTTTGGATCCAATGCAATTCATTATTATTAAAAAACGTATTGCTAACATTTTTAAGGGTCAACGAAAAAGTCATTTTATGTTCACACTATACACTAGATATGGCAAATTGTTTATGTTGGGCGGTTATCCGAATTCGGTACATACATGTATGCTCCGTATGCGCTACCCCGACCATGTCCCTGAGTCAGAAAACCAGTTATAAGTATGAAGGTTTTGTTGACTAACCATGATCAAGAAACATTCATAAACCTTTCCGGTAATATATACTTCAGACAATTAAGCCATATTTCCAGCCATAAGCGTACGGTAGTCTCAGATAATTCAGCCAAATTTTAACTAGTAGCATGCACCTGTTTGTATCTCTCACTTATCATCTGGCTTTGAGCTGAAATTTCTGACTTATCTAGCTTATAATGTTTTCAGTACAGATTCTTGTTAGAAAACATGTTTTATGATTTCAAGTCTACACGTATATGAAACCCAGATATAGAGCTTGCGTAGTACGGTAATATTAATAACTCAGGTTGTTACTGTTTATAACACAGAAGTTTGCAAAGTGGTTTTAATAGCCCATTTAACGATTTAAGATACTCAACCACAAAATCGTTTATTTTATAGTTTTTGATATCTGAAATTTAAACTGAAAAAAGTGATCGTTGATAGTGATGAAGACGTTATTTACAAATTATCACGTTGAATTCATTCATTCATTCATCGATTAATACACCGAAACAATTAAATGATTATTTCATTTACTAAACTTCATTGAAAACGTATTTATGCAGCTAAATTTTTATTTAGTTTTGTTTAAACGCTTTTTTATTATTTTCATTCATTTTCGGCTGGTTCTCTTGAATCCAGGACGTGCCGTTCGCCCTATTTGGAACTTTTCGGCTGAATTTACCTGCATCCCAGAGTTGATGTTCACTTCAGGACTCAAACGCAGTACCGTTCGCTTCAAACATCATCTTGTTATCCACTTTGCTACCTGCTTGTGCAATTGAGTGAAGTTTGATTCATTTTTAGATTGGTTGTTTGAATTTTACTGCTATTCACCATCTATCTCTGCTTATAATATTTGTGACTCAAGGCAACATCGAGGCAGTCCGCACAAAGTGCACATATGCAAATAAGAAACTGATAAATTGTAGTCTTAAACATCAATAAGAAGACTCAAACAACCAATAGAAAAATAAATTAAAACTTCACTCCATTGCACAATCTAGTAGATATCTGGACTCAGTAGCTAAGTGAATAATGAGATGGCGTTTTAAGCGAACGGTACTGAGTTTGAGTCCCGGCGTAAACATCAACTCTGGGATGCAGATATATCCAGCCGAGTTCTGTTGACAAAATATCATTTCCAAAATGTTGTGAATGGGATTGAAGTTAAACATGTAAATCATTAGTTATCAATTCAATTGTCAATTAGTTAAGTGTTCACCTTGATGAAATCTAAAATTCCTAATATCTATCTTCAATGTTATCATGGTCGCGCACTGCTGAATACTAGTTCCATGTAATGTAATCAGCATTTTCCTTTTTTTCAATTAGTTTCTTTGCTAACGATGTTGAATATTTATATAAAGTCTGTTATCTTAAACATTCTGTTTTATCGCTGTAATATAGTTCATGTGAATTCTTATCACAAACTTAGAAACTGCTATGTCAAATGACGAGACAATTTCCGATAAGTTATTCCAGCGTTATTTCTTAATATATGCTAGGTAGTCAAATTTGATACCTTAACTAAAACGTATATTTAGTTTTTCATTGATATTATTGATTGAATGACTTGTCTTGAATAATTTTTTCCTGTATTAAAACATCTACCTTCATAAAATCTTAAAAGTTTCAGTTCTTCGTGATTGTATCATTCTTTTGATTTTATGACTAAAGACTAATATCTTATGCGTAAATTAAAACACTATCTTACTACTCATAGTGTTTAACGCTCTAGATATAAATCATTTCTATGCTCAACTGTTGTTTACCTTGATTAGAGTCGCTTATTTTCTCTATTTGAATAGTTGTAGTGTAGTGTTGAAATCAACCGAAATAATGTCTATACATTTTGATTCAAATTTAATTTACTACGAATAATGGTAGGCGGTCACCTTAACTTTTAAGTTAAACTTCAATTTAATACATTGAAATATTTCATAAAATTCTTGTTATTTTTTGCTTCCATGACACTTGGATATTGTAAAAATTTCACGAGAGGCTCTGATTACATCCTTATTCATATTCATTACTAATTTTTATATATTAATCAGTCCTTATAAAAGTTAGTTAAAGCCTAAAAAAAGTTTACTACTGTTCCTATGTAAATAAATAACGTGGTTTAATTTCGAGATTACCAAATTTTTAACAATAAACATAAAACTTCATTTCAATGTTTCTTTTCTCCCAATTTCACTTCTTTAGCACCATAACGAAATTCGTTGTAATTTCTTTTTATTTCTCTTTCTCTATTCTAATCGTTATTATCTAGTTTCTTGTTAATTAACATAGTTCAAATTTATACAAGATTAGTAAATTCTGTTTGTTTCTTTGTCAAAGATGTATAGTGTGAATGAGTTCACAAGGTCAAATAGTTGAATCCTTTCTTCTAAATATAATTGAAGTTTGTAATTTACAGATTACTGATTTTTAATTTTATTCCGGATTAAGGAGAAAAAATCACTTTTGTAATATATTTCACTTCTTGTATCGTTTTCTCAAATTAAGAGATGGTTGTTTTATTATTATTATTTAAACACATAACCGTTGGTACAAGGAGGCACCCAATAGATATGCGCCACATAAATCATTCGATTTGTGTTGTTCGCCAACACTCATACGATTTACTTTCAAGATATATATATATATATATATATATATATATATATATACTGGTTGATTTGGAAGCATGATTATTGAACTATATACATATAAAATCGATGTATCATAAAATGTCAATTGTTTATAAGAACGTCATGCGTAAAAAAAGGAGATTTGAGATAAGTTTAATGAAGTAATAACAATCTAATAACTTATATTTGATATCAGAATGCGTTTTGTAGATATTATAGTAATTTCAATGGTTGACGCTAGATCACCATGGAAAGCCTGGTAGCACTCGACGTCCATTTCGTCCTTTTTTGGGACTCCTCAGCAATGTGTGTCCACGACCTCGCCTCACGAGATTCGAACCCAGAACGTATCAGTCTCGTACGCGACCGCTTAACCACTAGACCATTGATCTGGCCGACATCCCATGATGTTAATGTTTAACTTCAAACGGCCGTCCAGTGCTTCCAGTTTTTCCATTGTGGTCTAGCTTCAACCAACTTATGATCTGAACCACTGAAATTACTATAATATCCACAAAACCCCTTCTGATACTAATCAACATATACTCACTAGTGAGTGGCTTCATGAGGTATATCTTGGAGTTCTAGTGAGAAGTAGTGACCAGTGGAGTTCAACCGGGTCAGTTGTGAGGTTGTAACTCACTGATGACAATGGTTGATGAGTCGCTTAATTTCGTGTATTGGCCGAAGTTAGAAATTAACATGATTGAATGTCGGTCAGCTCAGTGGTCTAGTGGTTAAGCGCTCGCGTGCGAAACTGATAGGTCCTGGGTTGAAATTTCGCGAAGCGGAGTCGTGGGTGCGCACTCCTGAGGAGTCCCACATTAGAACGAAACGGCTGTCCAGTGCTTCCAGTTTTTCCATGTTGGTCTAGCTTCAACTGACTCATGATCTCAACCATTGATATTACTTATATTTGTTGATAAACCTAATGTTATAAATGGAATTAGAGAACATAAAATAAGTATTGAGTAAATATTTACTTGTTTTTTCTTAAAGAACATACAATATAATTTACTTATTTAGTTATTTGTATAAAACCCGATTTTTTGCTAGAATTATTTATGGACTTAATCAACGAGAAACAAATTACATATTTAATTTTACTTAATTTAAGTAATTAGTTTTATATAAATCTGATTGAATAATTTCATAAACAAACTAAAAAGATTCTCAGTGATTGATATTGCTGATGTTATTATCAATTAATGAATATTCAGGGGAATAAATTTTGTCAAAGGTTATTCATTTTATATTGACTGTTTAGTTTATGCATATAAAGATATTTCATTAGGTATATGTACCAACTGTACAATAATTTTTGTATGAGTAGACTTATGTACATATGCTACTAAAAATACTGAAATTACAAATGGAAAATAGAATAGTATAAGAGCATGAAAATCAGTTTAATATTTAAAAAGTAACTTTACACCGTTCATAGATAAGATAGGGCGTTCTTTAAATGAATTATTGTTTTTGATTGAACTATTGGAGTAAGGAAATTTGATGTTAAAGTTGAATTGGTGTTATGTTTTGTTACTTAATTTTAATTCAGTAGAACTATATATGTTATAAAGTTCATATCACTTATTCATTTTCTGGGTAGAACTATTTTGTAACTGCACTGTACTTACTTCCACCTGTTACCCTACATGGAGGAGCATAGGCTTCCCATTAGCATTCTCCATTGAACTCTGTCTTGAACAATCCTTTCCAGTTGCTATTCTTTGATTTTATTGTGTACTTCCATTCCTCGACGCATTGTATTATTTGACCTTTTTTTTCCGTTTCGCTTCAGGATTCCAAATTGATGCTCGTTTTGTGATGCAGTTTGATGATTTCCGTAATGTATTTCCTATCCACTTCCATCGTCTTTTCCTTATTAGCATTATAATTAGGAGCTGGTTTGTTCTTTTCCACAATACGCTGTAACTACACTGTACTCCAGTCATTTATTTTTTATAAACCGATACCTATTAGAGAATTGACAGTAACCATGGGATTCTGAACAGGTATTTGATCATAGTTTGTAACTTTGTAGCTATGATCAAACTGATTAAATATAAAAATGTGATCTGTCTCATTTCGTTCAATGCTTTTAAATAGTATTGTATTCGTCACGTAACATAAACGTTTTGTGCGTGGATTCGCGTGATTAGTGAACCATCACTATATACAGAATACGCAAAATAATTGAAATACATGACTTTTCACTGGTTTTTGGTTTTAACCAGTTTTATGATGTTTTGTTCTCTCAGTAGGATGATCTAAGTGTGAAATCTTCATCGTCTTTGTCGACAAAATCATTAAAATACAATAAAATAATAGATGAGTAAATGAAACTTCTTTCCAATCAATTAGTAGCTTGTTCTGTTACCATAGAATTTCATCAGTTATTGTCTACAGGTTTTTGCAAGTTGTTTGCATGTTTGTTTAAATTCTTTTTATCTCTAGTCTGATCTCTAACATTGGAGTTGCTTTTCCTCTTCACTGCTTAATAGGTTGAATTGTTTTCGACATATCTATTGATTTATGTATGATCAAAGAGATGGGAACCCAAAATGTCTTGGTTTTTTTTATGTCTTCTCCGTGCAATATTTAGAAGTTTCCTCAATCGACCTTATCTTCATGGTTGTTCGCAAAAATTGATGTAATTAAAGCTGTGCCATGTTCCTTAACCGCGAACTGTTGTTCACATAGATAGAGCTAGCATCTACCTTATCATACTTAATGCTCCTCATAATTGCTGCAATTTATCTCGTGAATGACTTTCAGTTGGATTTCATTTGTGCTTATTTCCTTTGTCTTGGACACTATTGATTGCAAAGATTTTATGAAATTATGTTCTACACATATTCTTAGCAGCTTCAATAAACTTTTTGTAATTTCAGAAATGTTTCAGAAGGCGAAACATCTTCAAAATTCTAATTTTGAACTAAAAATATTTTCCTGTCTTCTATCTGTTTAACAACGATTATTAATTTTTGATAAAATCTTACCAATTATACAAAAGCATTACAAAAATAAAAGTAGGACTTAGTAGCAAAATATTACATTTTGTTTTAATCCTGTTATTAGTTTCATTTCAACTTCTTTACAGAAAAAAAAGACGTCGATTTCCATATTTTTGATAAGTTTTACACCTAAAGTGCCTGATAGAGTAACTAAGGCGTTTTTTTCTTGAAAAAAAAGAGAAGATAGGCAAACCTCTATGTTTTCGGTACTTTGGATTGTTTATTACGTATTTCTTCTAATCTATTTTTCCTCTTTATGAAGATAATTATAGTAAATTAATCAAAGCCACTATATTATCTTACTGTGTTTTATAGAATTCAAAGTGTTCAGTTTTGTTTAGAATTTAAAAAAACAATAGGGAAGAAAGAAAAAGATGAAGACAATAAAATTTAATCATACTGGCCTACTATTCACATTCAGTGTGTTTTGTCCGAAAGAAAATCTATATTAGATATTATAACTATAATTGTCCTTTTTATTTTCATATCGGTGTAAAACTTTACTACTGGCTAAGATATTGAAAACTGTGCTAATGGGCTAATTTTTTCAACCCGTTATGTCTACTTCTTTTTTTGTTTGCATTAGGGTATATTTGGACAATAAAAAAATGGAATTTTTTTCGTTGTTGATTTATCAAGATAATTTTTAAAGAAGCTTAAAATGAATTATGCATAAATACTTTCAAGTCAATGATATAGAATGAAATTTCTCTCTTAGAATAGAGTTTAAACACAAATGATAGTAATGTGCATTCTATGATTAAAAGTAATCATACTTGAAAAGAATGCACTCTGTAGATATTCAAAGATTCATTTTCTAATGCTTCAGTTGAAAAGACTACATTTTTAGATGTTCTAACATTACTCTTAGACAGTATTCCATATGGATTAACATCATTTTCGTGTAGTTTTTAAAGCTAATGGAAATCGGGAAACTATTCTGTGTAATATGAAATTTATTAGTTTTGTCATCAATGAAACTAAATAATTGTTGCTATATGTCATACACTGATAAGAGTTAGGAATGTTAACAGTTCAATTCTGTTTCAGTGTTTCAATTTTTTGAAAAAACCACCACTAAGGCTAAATGTCTCAAGGTAAATCCGTTACAACCATCAACTTTAATATTATGGTTACTGGACTAGTTTGGATGTAAATGCAAATTGTTTTTTTAATAAAAAATTCACAATCTCATCAACGGATTATTATTATTGATATTCATGTATATATGGATACATTAATAGGAAAGAGTAATCGGAGAAATACACATAAATTGGTGGTGGAAACGAAGAAATTTTGATTATTTTGTAAAATTATATTGTAATTGCTAATTCCTCTCCATTATTAAATATATGATTCAAACGAGTGACGAAATAATTTTCATAGTATATAATATGGATATAAAGTAGATTCATACGAAAATCCGACACGTTCTTATTATTTCAATTCAGTTTCTACTTACAATAAACTGATTTTAGTAATGTTGATTGTAATTATTCTTTAGTTTTCATGTGTCCAGTATAATATTTGTATGACATAGTTACATTTTTCACTGGTAACATATTTCCAACAAATCCATTATAAAACTGATATTCACTACTCAGTGGATTTTATCTATTGGATTTTTCTTGTTTTAATCAACATTTAATTTACGATTTTGTGGTCAGTTGGTTATTTTTCAAAAATGTATTAATTCTTTGAGTACAAGTATTAGTACATGTACATTAAATGTATCAACAAAGTCAAGATGGAATATATATTTATTTTTAAGGGAACACAGGTTTTTTGTGAAATATATACATTTAGCTTTCAATCTTCCATTTGCATATATTATGTGTTCTGTAGTTCAAACTGGTTGTAGACTTTCTTCCATACCTTCTCTTCTGGTCTCACAAGTATTTTGAACTCATCATATTCTTGGCTTCCTGAAACTCCTGCTTTCAACTGTGAGCTGCAGCAACTCCTAGGTAATATTCCGCTGCATACTACTTATGAGGAATCTCGTGAGTAGTATCCACTACACTAGTACTTCAAAAGAAAATGTCAGTAGAAAACATCGTTTCATCAAAATATTGTTATCTTTTTAGGTTCACTTTGAAAATGACACTATATATGGTGTTCAAGTGAATATGTAATATTTTTATAAATCAGACTGTAAAAATATTTTTTAAATCATATTATTCTTTAACACTAATACCATTTTCAATAACTTAAATATTATTTCTAGCATACAGTTAATGTTCGATTTAACATTTTATTCATTTAAATGTCATAGTAGTATAAATCATTATTCTTTTTCATTCCGAACGTGAAAATTATAAAAACAATTGACAATTGTATTATCTTATGTTGATTCTGTTGAACATAATGAGTCAATGATATTTCTACATGAGATCGAGCACTAAACGTTCAGATGTAACTTACGTCATACAAGCCATTCAAATGAATTGATTAACTCATGTTTCAGTCTTAATTTCATTAATTTACAACTCCCATTTCATTGAAAATTTGACAATAGTATCTTAATATTCTCTAATGCTTGTTGGTTCGCATCGTTTTCCCAATAAAAGTAGTTATTTTCTTGTATTATTCTTGAAATAATCCACCATTGCTTGAGGTGGACAACTGTCTCACGCTGGGTTTTGTCGAACTTTAATCATCATAGTTTCTAACAAGAACGCAAGGAACATCATTTTGAAGCTAGTCACTCGTGAGCACATTATAAGTATCAGTATAAGGTTTAGTGAAGTTTGTAGAATTTTCATTGTCCGAACCACAGGCTGATCTTATTTAGATTAGCATTGAATAAAACCTCGGAAGCTTCTCTCTTGCACACGAACGCCAAACCTTTAAATTAGAAAGCCAAAGTTCGACATTTTAATGTCATCCATTCTCTATGGTACTGAGTTTAATTCATGGATGCTCACTGTTTGACAGTCTCATGCTAGGACTAATTCTTCCACTTTTTAAATGATAGTTTAACTAAGATCAATCTGCGACTTGAACTATGAAGATTCTACATCCTCTGCAAAACCCTATATTGATATTTCGGAACGTATTTATCATTGAAATATTATTAGCCTAATAATAAAATTACTTTTTTTCTCACTGTGATACTAGTGTAGCTGAACCTAAAGTGTATTATTATTTTGGAACATGGATTTAGGTTATTAGGAATATCTTGATATGAAAATATAGTTGCTATAATGATTAAAGGATTGATTCGGTAAAATAGGGGTTTAAATGGGATTTAAAATGCAAATTACTCAGTCAAACAACATATTATTTCTAAGTGTAAAATGAAGGGCTTAACGTTACTAATGAAGCTTTCAATCAAATTCATCGATCACCATTTCCATCAAGAATTCGCCTTTATTGTAGACAGCATTCAAAAGGTTGCTCAAGTATCTTCTAAATAATTAATGTTTTACATAATGAATAATTTTCAAATAATATCCGTCTATCCATTATTTTATTCTTTTGTTATAGTTCATGGGCGGCATTACATCCAACCGATTTAGTATTAGATATACTTAGTTCTTGTGCTCATTTATTATATTTTCCGTATAAAAATGCTGAAGAAGAGTATCAAATTTCATTGACTAAGTAAGTAGTATACTTAACCTGTTATGTTGCCTTATAAATCTGTTTATTCTATAACTAGATTTATCATTTCTTTCAATTCATTTTCGCATTGTTTGTTTGAATCTCCCTATTACTGTTTAGGACTGCAATTGACCAGCCTCTGAGTTTGAGTCCCATACTGAACGTCGGTTCTCTGATGCAGGCGTATCTAACTGACGAGTCCCGAATAGGACGAAACGCGCATCTTAGATCGTAATCCATCTGATACTATCACAGTGATCTATGATTAATTTGTGAAAATTTCTAGTTTTCCTTATTCATGTTACCAATACCATCTTTTAATGATTTCTTAACGTTTTAATGATAATCATACGAAAACTCAAAATTGTCTATTATTTAATCCATCAGTAATGTCATTGTTTAATTAAAGAAACAAAAGAAGCGATTTTTGCATAGAGTTTTGTTTTTATGTAGAACTTGAATTATCGATAGTTAGATTTCATGTAATTATCTTTCACGATTTAACCTTGACAACATACAATAAATTTGTTGAATAACATTCTCAAGCTAAAGAAATATCATACAATGCTCTTACTTTTTGTATAAAAAACCTATAAACACTAGATAGCTGTTTCGTCCTAGTTCTAAGTCTCTTCTTCTTGTGTCTTATATCGACTATGTTTCAATTCATTTGTTTAATAATTTTTTGTTTTATTTTTCTATTTATTGATTATTACATAATATAGGGTTTATATAGAAAACCATATGTTAACTCATTTTATTCATTCATTATGTCATATCTATAATTTAACAAATTCACATACCTCATATAAGAAAAACTCAAATAATACCTATTTAAATAACACTATTATCAATAATAAATGTAAAAATATAATTACATTAAAATCATTAGACAATGATCCTGTATTACTTGCACATACTCAATCTATCCTAATGATTGCATTTAAACTATGCTGTAATCCAATTAGTTTACATGGTACAGAAAATTCTGATGATATATCAAATCTATATGGTCTATATGAAACACTTAGTGAAGAAGAAGGATTAGTTTATCAAAAAACTTTGGGTAAACAATTGATTAATTACTTTTTGGATCCGATTTGGATGATTATGAACCGGAAGTAAAAGCGGTAGGTTTATGAGTTAATTATTTTGTTCTCTGTTTTATAAATTAATAGTTGATTTCCTGTCATCGAGGTGATGAAGTAACTTAGACAACTGTTCAAAGGCTAGAATATACTGGATAATCTTTTCGTCATAGCATGAGACTACTTAGCAGTACACATCCACCACCCCACAGACGATATAATTTATAGCTTTGTGTTGAAGATGATTGTGTAAATATGATTAAGGTGTTCTAGTGTGGTGTACACTACTTATGCGAACAGATATAAGTAGTGGAATGCTTATCAGTAGAAGAGTGAATGAAGAGAGCAGAAATTCAGACGGAGAGCAATCAAAATATCAACATAATTAGAAGAATGATGAGGTATATAAAGGACATCTCAAGGAAAATGTGCATAAGATGTTTTCACTGTTGGATTTTTATATTTTACAAAGTCATTATGTAATTTTGCATAAATATAATAAATTAGTCTTCTCCAACAAGTCTTAGTTCACTACACTAGGGTTAACTTATAACTCTGTATCCCTATCATGTATTCTGTGATTCCGAACTATAAGCTATAGAACTATATTTCATCATTTCTAAACGATTCAAATGAGACAGCCTTACTTATTGCTGAGTTTTATTGTTTCCATCTCTGTTTTACTGCTATGATTATTGATTTCTAATCTTCTTAGTAATTTATTCAGTGATATTATCTTCTTACTTTCATCATCGTTAGAATTAATCGACTATTGTTAATATTTGTAATTAATATTATTCAATTTAATCAGTCTGTTTCCGACGTTTGATTACGTCATGAACTCAGTTACTCTGATTTTCCATTTATTATTCTGATATTTATATGACTCGCCATTAATCATGATTTTATATAACTATAGCACTAAACTGCTTTAATGTATTTAAAATGTAGAACGTCGTTACATTTCTGTACACAGAGTTCCCTTTTTTTGTTTTTAACAAAATCAATATTTTCAGGAAAGTATGTATTGCTGTTATAATGATCAGCATTATATGAAAAAAAGTAGCTGTAAAAAACTGATATCTGTTTGATCTATCGCAACGTCCTAGTTGAGATAATAGAAATCATAGAACTTAGCAGTTTAAATGCTTATATATATATCATCGTATTTCCAATCTATATCTTGCATTTTTACCGTATCCTTGCGTACTCAGGTACAAAGTGGCAATCTCAATGTTTTCTGTTAATTAAGTTTATTAATTTTTTTCAGTCATTCAGGTCAAATTAACTTTTGAATAATAGTAGTTAACACTTGACTGATTTACAATTTGTTATATTCGTAAAATTAAAATTATTTATTTATTTGAACACATAAATATTGGTACAAGAGGGCACCAAATATATATGCGCCACATCATATTTGTGTGTGTGTGTGTGTGGGCTGCGATACTGCCCGGGTGCCGAGAACGGACCAGGTGGTTTTCTTGGGGAGCCACACTCTGAGCCCTTGACCTGAAGGTCTGATCCACAAGGCAGTGAAGCATCGTGAGGAGATGCAGTTCCATGGTAGCCGGTGACCGAAAATTGGTTCATACGCCATTCGTTCCCGCAGGATAGTGGAGCCCATGTGCACCATTGGTTTGGGATCAGGTTAAAGCGCCGGACATTCACCGTTCGTCCTCTAATTTTCGTAAACAACACCCTTACCACGAGAAGGCAGTGAGTAGGACTTCTATGGCAGAGGCCGTATATGCGTGGCCGTGTGAGAGCACTTCGAGAGGGAAGGAGGGCCCACCACACTTTCGGCCACACCAGGGAATTTGGGGGCCCACAGTTATATAATATACCCTTATAGGCCAGGGTAATTTTACATTGGTTTTCAGGAGAACCAGACATCATCCGGACTTTCACGTGACAACCCAAACAGTACGGTTCAACCCCGTTTAACAGGAGAACCAGACACTGTATAGGCTTTAACTCTACAATCCGAATAGTACAGATTAATCCTGTGGCCCAACCACACAGGTACCAAGCACCCTGGTGGACCAATATAATCATAATAATTATAATTACAATTATAATAAAAGGATAATCCAAGGATATTTTTCCATCTAAATTAAAAATTTATTACTATTGTAATTTGATTTTCATATAACGGATATTTCCCATAAGTAGTAGTTCTTGATTGTATCCTATGTGTATTCCTTCATTTTGTTTTCTAATCAAACTGACTATTCTCCTCGTTTTTTTCCCGTATATGCCTGAAATATTTAAGATAAAACAGTTGTTTCATTCATTAATTTTTCTTCTTTAATAATCATGATCATCTGAAAAATATTTCATAGTAGTTATATGGTAGACAACTTTACATACTACGCTTATTTAATAATTAATATGTAGGCTATTTCTTGGTAGACTATTAAATGGTCAAATCTTTTTAAGCTGTCAAGCTTGGAAAAGAGAGAATATGTGAAAGAAAAAAAATCGGCATCAATAATTGTTATCTTAATGTTGAATAATTGCACATTCCCTTTCGGATGCTTGATGATATAATCAGTCTGGTTTAATTATAGAAGATGCGAGCTTTTGGTTAGATTGATCAACTGTTATCCATTTGCATTTGCCAGTAGTTTGTTACTTCATTGAAAAAAAAAGAACACCATGTGACTGACATTTACATATTACATAAGTTTTCAGGTAATTTTTCTACTTGAATATATTGATAAAACGATAGTTGTTCTGATATTCGAACGACCGTTTTTTTATTGTGTCATAATAGAATTAAAGGTTGCACAAGATTGAAAGTGAAGGATTTACATTAAATGGTTTTTTGTATGTATATTTCCCAAAACACATTATCTCCTTATTATTTGTAATGCTTTGAATTTGAAATCCTTTATTCTTCATGTATTTATGGAATGTCAAAGGATTTCTGTATTACATTCACTCTATCATTTTGTTTACAGTCGTTATATTCAATAGTCTTTCTTTCAATCATACAATTTTCTAATATAAGCTATTCTAGATACTCATATAAATATATATTTACTCGCGATCTATGTAAAAAAAGGTAGGTGAATGAACCAACTAAAACACAGTTGATACATTTTCCCAAGTATCATTTGTTTATCATAGAGTTGTACCATTATAAATTATAATTAAAGGTTGAGCACAGAAAGCAGATTACATTGATTTGATAGTGTTCAAAAATATTTCCATTTATTTTTCACGGATAAAAGTTCTTTACATGTGAAAAAGAAAAATCGTTTAAAACAATAATAATAATTATTATTATTGTAATAAGACGAAAGAAATCATTATTTGACAGTTTGTAATCTATATTTCACATAAATAAATTGAATAATTTCTAAACTTTCTTCTATTCCTTCAACTTGTATTCTAATTAATCATTGAGTAATCAATGTTGGATTTTTATATTTTACAAAGTCATTTTGTAATTTTGCATAAGTATAATAAATCAGTCTTCCCCAACAAGTCTTAGTTCACTACAGTAGGGTTAACTTATAACTCTGTATCCCTATCCATGATTGCCTACAAAAAGCTTGTAAATTAAGGCAATATCGAGGCATGCGCACAGTATGCACATATGCCGACTGATCAATTGCAGTCTTAAACCTCAATGGGAAGATACAAGCTAAATAATATCCTTGAGTAATCGTTTTTAATTAAGTTTCTCCAACCTTTTTTTCTTCTTTTAAAATAAAGAGAAGTGTTTTTCTTAAGCTTAAGATAAAAACAAACATTTGTCGGTGGTATCTTACTCAAAAATATACCAATTAGAATGAAGTGCCCCTGTCTAATTTAGAAATTCATAAGTATATAAATGGATATGGAAATAATTTCTGTCTAATTGATTCTTTTGCTTTTGCACAGAAATAAGTTAAGAAATAACTATCTATCATGTGATACTTCTGTCGTTGTTAAATATTCGGTTTATCACATGGAACCGCAATATGAAAGAAAACTATATCGTTCTACCGTGTGTTTGTTCATTACTGTTCCCTAATAAGAGTCAAAGAGATGGTTTAAGTTCAGTGAATTGAAACGTAATCTGACGTAGATCATCATAGAAGCTACTGGCTATTTTACTGTAGTTTTCTTTTACATTATTTGTCATATGTCATAACTAACATTATTGGTCAAATTTATCAATTAATCATATCTAGTATAAGTGTACTTTCAGAGTTTGATCTCATTCTGAACATTCTTGATTTAGAATCTACTGGCTAAATTCCATGTTATATTTTAAATGACATTTCGCAAAAAATACCTTTCTCAACTATCGAATACACTATGCAAAATGAAATTTATCAATATTAGGTATAGTATTTCACAGAACTGAATTATATCAGAATATGGAAGAATTTTCCTTGATAATAATCTATTGGCTTAGAGTTTAAAATATTGTCACGTGTAAGATGAATGGTAGGAATCCAGAACTGATGATACTAGTCTGTAATTTTAAAGAATTCATTTATACATATAGCGAATATGAACTAGCTATCCTAGAATATGATCCTATAACCTCTAACATGTTTCTTCTATTAACAGGTGACTGACGATATTTAATGATTCGTGATAATATCATTTCGTGCTCACTAACTGACATACTAAAGTTAGCCACTTGACAACATGATGTTCAAGTTAGAAAATAATACTTAGTTTTAAAGATCTTGAATAATTTCTCAAAGTATTCAGAAAATATAGAATGAATAGTTGAAGTATAATTCAGTAAAATTTCATTTTCTATTCATTTCTAATCATCAAAAAATAACCATAACAATGATGTGATCTAAGGTGTACATAACTGTTTACCATATTAAAAATAACAAAAACATATTCCTTTTCTAATTACATTTAGATATAGTTAAATGTCAACTATCTTTTTTTACCAATATATGGAAAAGAACTTCAGAGTTAATATGAAAGTATATCAAAAAAAGTAATAGATGGTAATATTGCAAAAGTTAATTATTAACAATTATTAGCTTCACTGGTTGAAATCATGAGTCAATTGAAGCTAGTCCTGCATGGAAACCCTGGAAGCACTGAAAGGCCGTTTCGTCTTAGTATGGTACTCCTCAGCAGTTCGCATCCACGATCTCGCACCCGCGAGATTCTAACCCAGGACCTATCAGTCTCGCGCCAGGCACCTAACCAACTAAACCACTGAGCCGGCATCCAACGGTGTTAATGTCTAACTTCAACCATGGTGGTCTAGCTTCAATTGACGTATGATTTCAACCAGTGAAATTTCTAAAAATCTCAACCAACCTCTTCTGATAATTATTAACATTTGTAAAATACAAAAAGTTGTTTAACAAAATTCACATTACCCTATGTATGTACTTACATTATGTATTTTTTGTAAGATATACTCTGACACCAATATTTTAATACTATTTGATATAGTCATATATATATGAATAAATAATCTTTTGAAATTACATACTAGTATCATCAGTTCTGGATTCCTACCATTCATCTTACACGTGACAATATTTTAAACTCTAAGCCAATAGATTATTATCAAGGAAAATTCTTCCATATTCTGATATAATTCAGTTCTGTGAAATACTATACCTAATATTGATAAATTTCATTTTGCATAGTGTATTCGATAGTTGAGAAAGGTATTTTTTGCGAAATGTCATTTAAAATATAACATGGAATTTAGCCAGTAGATTCTAAATCAAGAATGTTCAGAATGAGATCAAACTCTGAAAGTACACTTATACTAGATATGATTAATTGATAAATTTGACCAATAATGCTAGTTAGGACACGTGACAGTAGAGATAATATTGTGAAAACATAACAGAAGAATGTATAGTCTTATTCTCTTACATGAAATACTCGAAGTTTATCTTAAATTTTATGTAGACCTTGCTGATGAATATAAAACGACACAAAACTATGCTTCAGTAGCTTGATAATCTTTTCGTGTTTCTTGAATGTTTATAGCTTGTAATGCAAAAGTGTTATGTATCTGTATGATCATTTTGAGCCGTCTGAGACGAAAATTTTCCTTATGTTTTTGCCTGAATTTGTTTTTCTAGTATGTCCATTATCTCTATCCATTAAAAAAATTCAACATATGGGGTCTATTAAAATCTTATGTTCAATGTTGTATAGCTTATGTTTCATACATTCAAACGATATAATATAGCAGGATAACTCTGTTGAGTTTAAATAATACTTATGCATTTCTATTATTATTATTATTATTATTATTACTATTATTATTATTATTTTGTATTTCTAATACTGTAGACACACGAATTGATTCAATGGTGTTTCAAATCGCCTATTAAAGAAATTAAATGGAATGCATGTGCTTTATTATCACAATTTCTAGCATTTCGTATATTAGAATTGTCTGATAGGAAAAGTGATAATCATTCAATTAAAATGGATCAAATGAAAATTGTAGAAGATGAACGTACAGCTGGAAATTTAGTTTGGTCACTATTAACACCTGTTGATCAACCTGGTAATAATTATTATGATTTTCATATTAAGTATTGATCATAATTAACAGTATAAGTGTTATGGAGATTGTTGGGTTTTAATTGGGATCGTTAACCGATCAATGTTAGACCACCATTAAAAACCCTGAGTCACTAGACTGTTGTTTCGTCCCAGTATGAACTTCCAATGAGAAGTCGCGACCAGCAGAATTGAGCTATGTCCAGTGTGAAGCATTTACCCACCAAAGATACTAGAAGATAGTCGCACAATTTCGTGAAGTGATTGAAGTTACATATTAAAACTGTAGGTTTGGATCAGCTGTCCTGGGTTCCAGTCCTGCGTCCTGGACTGTAGATACACACTGCTGAGGAGCTCATATTAGGACTAAATGGCCGTCCAATACTCCCAGGTTTTTAGTGATGGTCTAACATTTATCAGTTAATGATCTCAAAATCGTTTTTATTCTTGTGTGTACATCAGTTACGAAGAATTGTCATCGGAACACTTGAAAGGGAACCTTTATGTGATGTTTTCTTAAAATATTTTGATCTATTGAAGAAATATCAGTAATCAATTTGGAATGAAAGGAATACATTCACTGTTATATAATCGATTTATGGCATTATTTCCCTGATTTTTTGACGATGGTGCAAACGTTCTCATGTTAATTGACATTAAAACATCGAAGCAGACTGTAATTTGCGCGTAAAAGTAATGTTTCCAAACTGTTGTTCTTGAGAAAAAAGGTTATGTATGAGTATATAAATAGCGTAAAATCTTTTATAAACCAGTCCATTTGGAAACTTAGAACTCATTGGACGAATCTGTGTTGTGTCAGACAAACCAAAAATGGTTCTAATGTTGACAAGTCATTTTAAATATGTGCTGAGAAAATTGATACACATTTACATAAACATGTTTTCAAGAATGTTGTATGGTACATGATTCCATCACATGCGGGGAAGTATTTTACACTATTCGACTATTATCTCACAATTAGAAACATTATAAACAGATCTTCTTGAAATCATTGTCATTTCTACTGGGGGCCTCAATTTTCTAATTATCTAAAAGTCAAATTGACCATGTCGTCTTACTATATCATATATATTTTAATTAAACAATTAAATAATGTAGAAAAGCATTCTCTAGAATAATGAATGATCGATTTATTCTGAGGATTTGATTTTGAAATATAATTTACTCTCAATATTTAATATTGTACCCATCTGTTAACATTATCGATAAAAATAACTTAGATACGTGTTATAGATTTGCAACATTAATTTTTTAATAGACTGGAAAAAGATTAGGCACTGTTAGATAAAGGAAGTTGATCAAGTTATCATTTGTTAAAGTACGATAAGCAAACTCCTTAATTGGGGTCTGTAAGAATAATGTCACGGTCGAGTTGATGTGTTCAGTATGTCCCTCATTTATACTCTGAACATAACATTATAACATAATTATTCGATAAATAACTTTTTCTTACACGGTTTAACCTGCCACACTGTGGACATATGTGTTAGTTATATCAAAGTTCTTTTTTGGTTTATTCGATGTGTAGGCATTTTATTACTTGCCTATCGGTAAATACAAAGCAAACATATAATTAGTGTATCGTTCGCCCCCAAATGCCCTAGTACGGCCGAGAGTGAGGTGGGCTCGCCCTCCCTCTCGAAATGCTCTCACACGGCTACGCGTATACAGCCTCTGCCAGGGAAGTCCTACTCACTGCCTTCTCGTGGCGGGGGTGTTGTTTACAAGAATGAGAGGACGAAAAGCGAGAATCCGGCGCTTAAACCTTATCCCAAACCAATGGTGCACATGGACTCCAGTATCCTGAGGGAACAAATGGCGTATGAACCAATCGTTGGTCACCGACTACCATGGGACTGCATCTCCTCACGATGTTTCACTGCCTTGTGGATCAGACCTTTAGGTCAAAGGCTCGGGATGTTGCCTCCTAAGAAAACCACTCACTTCGGTCTGGGAACCTGGGCAGTATCACAGCTCTCACGCAAATAGAATGATTTATGTGGCGCATATCTATTTGGTGCCCTCTTGTACCAATATTTATGTGTTCAAATAATAATGATAATAGTGTATCATTCACTTGTTATGACCTCTGTCGTTGTTTTTTCGTATTTTCAAATTGCGTTTCTACATTTTTTTCTAGCTGTACAAACTCCGCAGAACTTAATCAACTTTATTGAAGATTCTCATGTTACATTAATTGTTCACGGGTTAATTTTACTTAATAATTTAATGCTATGTGTGTATAGTGAATCAAATATGTGTGAAATTCTACCACATTTTACAAATGAATTACAATGTCATCAAATTTGTCGTTTACAATTTACTTCAACTAATAGTCCAATATTAAAACGTAAATATTTATCAACAACATCGTCATCTTCATTAATATCATCATCAAGAACACGTTCAATTTTAGACGTGAAATATTTAACATGGTACTTTGATAAACCATTGAATATATGTATTAAACATTTGCAACATAATTGTTCAGTGATTCGTCAGTATGCATTATTAATTATTGGTAATGTATTATTTTTATCTAATGAATTATGTATGAACATTGTGTCTGCTTTGCCAAGAATTGTTTCACTATTAACTGAAGATAGTTCATCTCGTGTTCGAACAAATGCTGCTAGTAAGATTTGTTTTTAAAAGTTAAAATTAATGACTATTTTTAAAATATTTTTTTAGTTACATGATTAAAATTGGATACCCTGGAATATATGTAGTTTGTTTATTAATACAATATAAATGTTTCACTCTAGATGTATATCTTATATATTAGTATGTACGATTACTGTATGTATATACATACGAGGATAACTGTCTTATCAGACAGAAAATAGCTATTCATTTAGTCTATTAACGGATAATATGAAATAAGATGTTTAACACGTCAATAAATGATTCCGGATTAGTCTATCAAGCCAATTTTCAGATGAATTAATCGATTAATGTACTTAAAGTGTAGAAAGTTATTGTAATCTTATTGCTTCAGAAATCAGCTTGTATAATTTTTATTCTGTGTAACTTACATTTGGTAGCCTGCTTGCAGGCCCCTTAATGTCCTAGTGCGGCCGAGGGTGGGGAGGGTTTGCTCTTTCTCTCGAAATGCTGTCATATGGCCACGTGTATATAGCCTATGCCAGGGAAGTCCTACTCACTACCTTCTCGCGGCGGGGTTGTTGCTTACGAAATCGACAGGACGAAAAGCGAATATCTGGCTCTTTAACCGGGTTGATGGACACGGAGCGTACACCTTTGAGAGTTGGAGAACCCTGATTCAAAACCAATGGTGCACATGTACTCCAGGATCCTGAAGGAACAAATGGCGTATGAACCAATTGTTTGTCACCAACTACCATGGAACCGCATCTCCTGACGTTGCTCCACTGCCTTGTGGATCAGACGTTTAGGTCGAAGGCTTCGGGTGTTGCCTCCTAATGAAACCACCTGCTATAGTTTGGGCACCCGAGCAGTATCCCAGCCTCTACACACATCAATGGTAAATACTACTGGCCTCATTGTTATTATGTGGCGCATATGTATTTGGTTCCCCCCTTGTGCCAACATTTATGTGTTTAAATAAATAAGTAAATAAGTGGAATGCTTAAGTATTTAAGCTACCTGTTCCTACCATCTGTTTTTCGTTTGTTCTAACATATTATTATATCAAATAATTGCATAACATATTCAGGCGCGTTTATAACATGTTTAGGATCTTTTGCTTTACAAGTTACAAAAAAGACATTCAGAGACATCGTGATGACTGAAATTGTGCATTGAAAAAGAATTAACATTATTCAGGTGTGGATTCTTGGACTGCTAACATGTAACGGGTGAACACTCATTATTTATCGTCAGGATTGATCAAGAAATAAGAAAAAGAGAACGTTTTTAAACACTATTCGCTGAGAATTCTATATTCTATCAAAAAATTGTATAAAGCCATTAATAATAATAATAATAATAAAATGTGTTACATGTTCATATTTATGTATATGTAATGAGTAGAATAAACTATACAATTTTTCTACTGTGCATTTTGATTGCTTATTTATTTATTAGTAAATGGAATACATCCTTCTTATTTATTGATGTTAATTCAAAAGTTCATTACATGTCAGAGTGTAAAACGTTGTAATGTTCAATCAATAGAATTTAGTAATTTCGAAGTTTCTATGTAATTTTAGTATTTCATAATGAAATCATAAAATGTATGTTCTTCAAAGAGAAATAGAGTGGTAGTCAAAATTTCTCCCTTGGTGATTGTATTATAACAAGAGAAAAAAATTCCATATTGATCATTCAATAATTTATGAATGAGCCTATTCAAATAGTCTACAAATGAATGTCATTAGTGAGAAACAGTTTATATTTCTTAAGTGTTAAACTAAAATTCCATTGCATACTAAATCATCAGATTTTCTATTTTATTTGTCTTTTTTCCTATTCTTAACAAACTCCTATTTTTATAGTGTACAATATCGATCTGTTTATAGAAAATTATTATTAATACAAACAATTAAGTCACCGGTGAATTCAATAAGCATTTTATTTATTCTCTTTTAGCTTGTCTTGGGAATATGTGTTATTACATAGATCAATTGTACGATTCAATATGTAAACATAAAGTTCTCCACGCGTAAGTTTACAGTTTTCGTCGCGGAAACGATTTTTTCAAAGTCAAATCTTAGCTGCCTTCATACATGAGCATATATATAAACGTAGATTTCAAATGAATAGGACACGGTTTTTAACTTCGAAGAAAATTAATCTGACATCATTAATATTTGAATTTATCAAAACTAATGGTGGGTATTATAAATTATCATAGTGACTTTTTTTAACAGTTGTAAAAGAAATAGTGTCATACAGCTGTTATAAATCATTTTGAGACACTTCTTCAAAGCCTACCGAATTGAAATCTACCTTTTTGACTTCTGAATAAGAATTCACTGGTCATCAATCATTTTTCCTGAGATAATGTATCGTTTGTCAGGCAACTTTACTTGTCACTGTTTTTCATTAAAATTGATTTCAGAGCTAGTAACTTGAGTGTATTAATTTTCTAATGTCCAGTGTGTTTGTTTGAAATCATAAATCGATCGAAGTTAGACCACTACTGTAAACCTGGGAGCACTATACGGCTGTTTCGTCCTAGAATGGTACTCTTCAGCGGTACGTATCCGCGATCCCGCATACAGGATTCGAATTCATGATCTTCGGTCTCACATGCGAACGCTCAACCTCTAAACCTTTACGCTAGCATACAATGATTTTAATGTGTAATTTCAAACAATACACGAAATTTCGCGAGCATCTTCCTTTTTTTCAGTTTATTATAGTGCTTCAATGTTTTCAATGTTGGTCTAACATTGATCGATTCATAATCTCAATCAAAACTCGTCAATCTCCACAATCTCATACTGATGATTTCTCGTATTTGTTTACTCGAACTATTCAATGAAGTTAATTTAATTTATAATGTCCTTTCTTATTTTTTTAAAATTAATTCTAGCTAAACATCAATTATTTGTAGTTAATTATATAATTAAAATTCATTTAGACAAAACAGTTGTGTTTAAATAAAGAAAATTAAATGATTTACAAAGTTTTTGATCATTTTTTTTCTTTTAATAAATAAATGAATCAATAAATTGATTTTTCGATTGATCGATGTTGGTAACTCTTTAACAAGAAAAACAAAACAAAACAATAAACAAATAAGAAACATAAACAATCTTCCGATCTATATTTTTTTCTGTTCAGATGTAAAGTAATATATCTTACAATAGAACTGAAAATGTACTATGTGATCAGTTCACTAAGGTTATATATCTCACTTGCATACATACATACTCACATAGAGTAGACGAACAAAACTAATATATGGTATATAGTTCCTCTAGAAGTTTATTCATAGTTTTATGTTAATCGTAGTACTGAACTATCACCTTATGTGAAGTTTGTCTATTCAATGTTATCGTTGTTTCTTACAAGTTCAGACATTGACACCCTTGATTAACTGTAGGGCATAAGTACATATCTGTTGTTCTTTGAATTAAAAAAAAATAAAGAAAAAATAAATCGACTCACATTTAATTTAATTTTTTTTTAAAAACATATAGATCCCATTTATCCTTGTAATATGTAATATTGATAATGAAAATAGTTATCATCACGGACTGACATCAATTGGGAAACTATAGAAAACCATGCAACATTAAATAACTTTTCTATCTTAGATTAGAAGTTCTCAGTAGTGTGCTTTCATATAAACCAATACAGTATTGAGGCCCTAGTCTTACTGGTCCTATGATGAGGATAATATTTTTCTCCAACTGAGTTATGATCTAATGTTTCCAGTCTACGTTTCGATTCAATGATCACTTAACGCTCCATGTGGGGATTATGATTGAGCTATACTAATCATGATTTTATCATAACACATAGATAAACATCTGAAAATGACGAAACGTATTTTTTTCATACACAGATATTGATAATTATCAATCCATCAGGTTTAATAAGACTTACAGGATACGTACAGTAAAGAATATTCTCAGTCATGCATAAAGTAGATATTGAAGTAGATCGACCATAGATAAACATTTCGCATTTAGAGAGTATTGACTGCATCTAAAAATATCATTTCAGTACTAATTAAATCGTTCAGATAATTTTTTTTTGTTTTCTTATACCCAATTGTTCCATGTTCCCTAATATATCTATCTGGTTCTTTCCATGCTGATTTCTTCCTTCTGATTGTTTGCTATATAGAAGTGTGGCGAAGTAAACTTTTGGAATACTTCACCTAAATTGACCTGATATATTAGTCGACGTTCTTCCATTCGAGATCTGTCATAAAATATTGGATTGTCATGCAAATGTTACATTTCATAGTTTTTCTTCTTTTCGTTTTACACTTTATCTTAATAAATATCATGAGATGACTCTGTTTATCTAACCTCCCACTGTTTATCCAACAGCGTTTTTTTAAGATGTCTTAAAATTATATTATTGTCAGTTATTTTCTATTTAACTAAGCTACTACAAATGTTTGTTTTCATTTCAAACTTACAAACACACATGCTTACTGAAGTCGCATTCACCTTACAACATAAGATTTGAAATTCTTAAAAATAATATGTTTGTATTGTATCACAATGAGTAGAAAAAAAATTCTACCTTTAAATTTTCTGATGTTTGGTGACTTAATGTAAGCCTTTTTCTTCAGAGAATAGAATCCTGAAGAAGTCGCTTACATAAAGTCACGAAACGTCAGAAAATCTAAAACCTTAATATTCTTACTGTCATATTACAGATATATTATTTTGATTAATAACAGTCTATCTGATGCTCAATTTATTTGAAATCATCAAATCATATCTTGGTAATGATACTTATAAAATTAAAATGTTTTCATTATTGTTTGAAATAGTAAGATGTATTTGTTTTAAATAGTTTAGTTCGATCACAATTGATTAATCACTGGGTGGTGATCAATGTCATGCGTGTCTAGTCCTTATTAGTGCAGTTTGAATGTTATCGATCATGTTGCAATGTGGCCACCAGTCCAGGTGACTTGACACTGCGGGCACTATATATTGAGATTAGATGGTGGTTGGAGGTATTCGACAGGAAACCCTGGACCGGGGTTTCGTGCTACTTGTCACTCGTCAGCAAGGTGTACTTGTAATCTTGAGGGAACTGTTGCTCCCTGGCTGATTCGATTTCGTGTCACCCAGCCTCACAGTCAGAGACGTTACCACTTGGCTATCCGAGCCGCCAGGGAGCACCAGTTCTCTCAAGATTAAAGGTACACTTTACTGACGAGTGCCAAGTAGCACGAAACCCGAGTCCAGGGTTTCCTGTTGACTACCTACAACCACCATCTAAATCTCAGTTTAGTTCGATTTCTGATTGTCATTTCTTCAGAAAACGCAGTAGTTTAATAGTTAATTTATTGTTGTTTAAAAACCCTCATATTAAATGACATAGATATATAAACAAAGGATATTCTTTTCGGTTAATTCTCTTCAGATTCTACAATTCTATATCCAAATTAATAATCGAAAACGATGGCTATGTTTAGAGCAAAGTACATCGTTTAAAGTTATAGTATTTGAATTTACGATTACAAAATACAATAAAATGGTTAACATTGGGATAAATAATATAAAATGCTAACTTGAATAAGTTTACATGTTGAATGAAATCATCAGATTGATGATTAGAATAAATATAGTTCCGATAGAGTGAGAGAAATAACAGTACAATTGCAAATTCTACGAAATGTTTAGTGGATGACGATAATGTGTAAAACATATATATGGAATTTGTAAGAAATAATAAATTGGGATAAATGCTAAGTAAATGAATAATGTATTTGAGAGAATAATAATGATGTTAAACCAATAATAATAATAAATTGTTTTTGTGTTTATTCAACAATTTTTATCTGATAAACTCTTTCTTCCAGGCTTCTTGAGACTGGATGTCTAGATGGCGATCGAAGAGTACAAGAAGCAGCATTAGCTGCATTACGAGCTCTTTGTATTTCAAATCATCGTATACGTAAAGTAAGTTCTTTTCATTATTATTACGTATGTTCATCATGATATCACAACTCTTTTTTTTTCTAATGCAACCTTAGCTCTTGATACCGTAAAATAAAAGATATATTCCACTTTAGAAACAATTCTTGAATTAATTAATTATAAGATAATAACTAGTTTCTCAATATTTGGCCCCAGATATTATCCAACATACACTGGTTAACCTTGAAATTCAGACACTAAACTACAAGAATTAACATATAACGATCCACTATATGTAATGTTTCAGTGTGATTAAGGACTTAACACAAAGCCTAAACATTGATTTCATGTTAAAATATTTATACAGATTGTAATTTTAGTTACTCAATCTTGTCACATATTACTCACTGCTCAAACTATTCATATCCCTGAGTGATATGGGTTCGAATCTATCTTAGAAAGCACCCACGTTTTGAAGACTATTGATGAAAGTCTAGATGTATATTGGATTCTTAGCACTCAGCCATTTAATACTTGATATTTGCGTATATTCAAAAATAACAGAAGTCCCTTGGTTTTTAATAACAAATTTTTTAACTCATATTGCTAGTTATGTTACGAAGAGCTCCTTCGGGCTTTATTTTGTTAGATAACTAATATATATATCGTTTTGTAGAAGAAACTTTACAAATTTGATGTCTTATTACTTAAAAACCATTTACATCATTTTATCAATGGTTTGTTGTAACTGATTGCTTTAAATCACTTATTAAACACACGTAATTACTAGGTACATTGTTTGTGTTACAAGCTTATCGGTAGTTCATAAACTGAAGTTCAAATTTACAAGCCAGATAGTTCAACAACAATAAACTACCACCTACTATAACTTTGTTTCATGTTGAATAATCACATGTTATGAAACTATATCTTTCTTTTTTATAGTCGTTAGTTCAATGAAAATCCCTAATTTGCAGACTTAATTTTAATAAATAACTTATTTTGTGAATGATTAAAATGATCATAGATTCAAGACGTTTATTTAATCTACATCAATTAACTGTTGTCTCATTCTTGACGTGTTGACATAATAAAAGTATTAAACTTTTAGGAAATATCCAAGTGTATGTTTCTTTTTTAGATTTTCAATAGAATTCCTATGAATTCACGAGGTACCAAATTTAACTGTTTATACTTTATATCTAGTTTCTTTCATTATTATATTTATAGGATTTATCCATTATGAATACAGTGAAAAAGTTGAATGATATGCAAATCACCTTAAAACGTATCAGTACAAATCGTTCAGGACGTAAATCAAGCGCTAGAAGTCGTATGTCAATCATTCAACTTGGTTTAATTGATTATGATGTAATTTCTCAGCATGTAACAGCTATATGTGATTTATTGTGTATAAAACAAGAAAACAAATGATTTGAAAAAAAAACTGAGAACAAATAAAAATAAATAATAATAGTATTATGTTGTACAGTTATAATCAGTTAATTACAAATCAGTTTTCTTTGGATCGATTAATGAATTATACAATTTAATTGATATGAACAATAGGATTGTTTGATTTATACATCTCTGTCACATACTTCCTCTCCCTAACCTAACCCTCTACAGAAGTTCTGTGATGTTTTCACTATCTACTATAATCACTAATAATTGTAATATAATATTAACAATTGTATTCTCAACATGTACAGTTTTCGCTTCTATTAATTGTTTCTTTTTAATCGTTCTATTTATTTAAATATTTTGGGAAGAAAGCATCATATTTTGTATGCGGCGATATTTTGTTTTGTTTTTAAAAAAACAAACAATATTCAGGTATTTATTCTTTTCATATATTTTTTAATATACGATACCTATCTTTGTGTATGTGACATTCGACAAATATACATGCATACAAACAGCAATTTCGGATATATACCTGAAGTGGTTGCATTCGAAATGTTTATCCGTTTGTGAGTGTTGGTGACACATGTTATTTTATTTGTTCTGTTTATCCGATGCAATTGTTGACCAAAATTATAAATGATGATGGTGATGATGAATCATTCATTTATTCAATGATTTACTTTTAAAAACATGTTTCTCATTTATTTTGGCTTTATCTCTTTTTTGTTACTGTGGTTTTTGTTTCGAAGCCAATATTTAAAAGAAATCATAATTTGTTTGTAGTTGAAGCCTCATGTCCTTAATACAGTGTTTGACTTTTACAATCATTAAATAGTCACTGTGATGTCTCAATATCATCGAGAAGACCGTAAATGTGGTTTTGTTTCAATGTGCTGTTGAAACAGTTGTTTGGTTCATCAGTATCTTAATGAATTTTTGGGGGGTCTGTAGTAATGGTGTTAAACAACATAATGTCGAATAAACACGAACTTGATGCTTCCAATTGTGTTCCTCAATGTTCTTACTAGAACTTACGATGATGAACTATGACTATGTTATTAAGTAACCGTCTAAGTGTATCGTAAATTGATTGAAATTGAAAAGCTAAAGCATTGATTTCGAATAATATCTGAAAGTACTGGTTTTGGTCTCGTATTGAATTGTGATCACGCATCACCAGGAAGAACGGATCCAGTAATTTTCCCTTAGTTTCGAATGTTTCTGGAGGCAGAAATCAGCTTAAAACTTTGCGAATCATCATACAGAGCACTTTAGCAATGTAATCAGATGGTAGATAATAGATTTTGAATACAAAAAGAGTAGTCTGCGGGTAAAGAAAACTGAAAAGCGAAGCAACCAGACTATTCAATTCATGTCTTTTACACATAGTATCTGGTCAGTAGTGGTTTCTGTTGTAAATATAAATGGTCAAGTAAAATAAGATGAAATTACATTTGACCGAAAAAGACATTTTCTAATTGCATAGTAAGAAATTGCCATAGAATTTAAGTAGAAACTCTGAATGTACTTTTTCGTGTGGATGATATGAAAGACAAATTGTGTCCGATAATCAAAATTAAATTCATTCGTAGATTACTAGCATACTCGTACTTTCCTCAGATGATTATTTATGTAAAATTGCTAACTTGTGATATCAACTTCACTTTCCAAAATATTTTCCTGTTTACGAAATGTAAAATAAAGTCCTGTTATCCAACTCATCTTTTATCTTACATCTATTTATTATAAGATACGACCCTACAATCAATCCATCTCATAATATTTACTTCTCTTACACATCTGACTTCTTCTAAAGTGGATTTCTGAAATCTTCGACAATAAAGTAAGATCTCTCATATCAGTTTTGTCTTGTGTATGAACTGATTGCCATTTATGATGTCGCTTTTTATTACAATCACCACTTGACCTAGAGATTGTATATACGTTAATAGGTAAATAACAATATGGAAATAAGATGACTTGTGAATTTTTTATAACGCTCAACAACTTAGTAAACATTTACGTCAACTTAATCCATTACGTTTGATACAAAAATACCTACCAAAGCAACCATTGAATCGATCATCATCATATGTCATTGTTAACTTTTGTTAACAGTAGAAATACCGAAGTCAATAAGATCAGAAAGCAATCATAAGAATTTAAAAAACAATTAGACGGCCTAAATGAAATAAAAATAAACCAAGTGAAATCTATCATTGATCAACAACATTTTGATATCGTCGAAATTGATTCACTAGCGAATAAATGACATTGTCTAAATGTAAATCATGGCAGCGGTAGATTTATATTCATCAGCTGAATGAAAATCGTATAGTTTTTGATTGAAATCATGAATCGGTTGACATCAGACCATGTCTATAGTTGAAGATAATATAATTTTGAAAAAATGATAGGTGTTAGCTTGAAAATAGTGGTATCGACGGTTAGTTGCATAGTTTTTTATCTATCAGATAACATTCCCACTTGCTGCGTATATATATATATATATATATTTATACCTTTTCACCACAGAACGTTATCTCTGGTAAGCGAGTAGTTATGTTAACAAAATCAATATATACTAAGGTTGAATGAGAAATAATTTATCTTAAGATCTTTAATGGTTTCTATCGGCAACCGAAGTCATTTATTAATCAACATTCATTTCAAGGTCGTATTGAAAATCACTGAGCATTATTTACGCTTCATGTAAATTGCTTTGAATTTTCGATAATAGACAATGTGACTTAAATCATTCACAAATTTTTAAGAAAGTAAAAACTAATTATCAATTCCTTCGTTGTTGATTATAACTAAACTAGATTGAAACTACTTTCATATTATTATATAACTATGTTGATTAAGATGGAATCTCATAGTTCACACGAAATATAGTTTATTTAAAGTATCGAGAAGAATAAACAGATGTTTTATAGAAATTAAAATAGTATCGCAAAAGTTTACATTATTATTATACTGATTGATATTTCACAAAATGGTTAGATTTTTTAATGTGTATTCCTATGACTTCCGCTCTATGTAAAAGTCATATTCTGTAACCATAGGGCAAATTTTGTGGGATTTTATCGATAACTATAGATGCTTACGTTTTATTTATGTGATGATCAGTATTAATTACATGCGCCTAGTTAGTGATTCTTATTACTTTTCTCTGTCGTTTGGCCAACCATAAAGGGTGAGGTTCCGAATTTCAAGGATGCATTTGTCCAGTTATGCGCCCAATATCACTAACTCCTTAAGAGCAGTTGAAATGTTCAATACACATAGAGGCTAAGGTACTAGGCAATTTGTCCTTAATTCGTTGAATAACTATTGGCTAGTTGAAGAAAGTACGATGTAATCTTGTTACAGTGAATGTACATTCTAAGGCTTTTTTTATACGACAAGTTACTGTTTTGTTGAATATATTACATTGAAACAGTATTTTTATAAAGACTGGTTTTTTATTCCCGTCGATGATTATACATTATGTTTATTTGCAGATATATGTTTCATTAGGAACTTCTATGGGCATCTCCGCTACGTAATAAATGATAAGAAAGTTTCAGTTCATCTTAGAGACAATCCTCATAGCAAATAAGTTTGGCTCTGTAGGCCAGACATTTTACTAAGTTCCTCCTATATTGTAATGAGAAAGCTAGAAAAGTGTAAATATTAGCTTTGTACAGTCGGTTTGTGATAATCACTTCTCATTGACCCGTCAGTTCTCGTCAATAAGACGTTTAGCAAGGAGATGGTGTAGCACTTTTATTCTTAAATTGTGAAAGCGTTTGCCTTGTGGACTTTATCATATGTTTCTAGTAGACTGCAAGCTTCGCTATTAAATAATGTGACTATAAAAGTATCATCCATATAAAGATAATAAAATCCAAGTTTACCTATCACTTTTCTTAGAGGATCATTTTCCAACTCTTCCAGAAATAAATCAGTTAGGATTGGACCTTATGGTTATCTCATAGCGGGATTGTCACATTGTCTATATAGTTTTTTTTATCAAACATAAAATGTACATTCATAATACATATGAGTATTGATTATTTTAGAGAGAAAACAAGGATACTAGCTTTCAATTCTAGATTTAATAACTCACTACACATTTATTTGTTCATTTGTAATTGCAGATAGTCGTAATATGTCAATATTATTTCGATTCTGAGTCCAATAATAAACAATTTCAAAGACAACGACATGAACTATTATTCATGATAAGATGTGCTAAAAGTCCACAGGTTGTACTATCATTTTAAATTAATTCAGTAAAGTACGTTAAAATACTTTGTGTTGTAAAAGCAACAAAATGAAGATGGATTTAATCATCTACAAACAGACTTGTTAATTTTCATATTCTTTATTTCTCCCTAAGATTACTGAACTAAAAATGTTCCATTTTAAACGACCAACCATTCAACATTCCAAGTCTTTACACAATTCCAGTGGCTTTATAAAAACCTTTACATATCTGGGCAGCATCTTTGATGAACAGGGTGGATCTGATGCAGATGTAAAGGTGCGGATCGGCAAAGCAAGAGCAGCATATTGACAACTGTAGAACATCTGGAACTCAAAACAACTGTCAACCAACACCAAGGTCAGAATTTTCAATACAAATGTCAAAACAGTTCTACTGTATGAGGCGGAAACCTGGAGAACTACGAAGTGTTTATTAACAGCTGTATACACAAAATACTTCAGATCCGTTGGCCAGACACTATCAGCAACAACCTACTGTGGGAGAACAAACCAGATCTCAGCGGAGGAAGAAATCAAGAAGAAGCGCTGGAAGTGGATAGATCACACATTAAGGAAAGTACCCAACTGCATCACAAGGCATGCCCTCAAATGGAATTCTCAAGGTCAAAGGAGAAGAGGAGGACCAAAGCACACATTATGCCGAGAGATGGAGGCAGACATGAGAAGAATGAATAAAAATAGGATAAAACTGTAAATGAAGGCCGAGGACAGAGTAGGCTGGAGAATGCTGTTCAGTGGCTTATGTTCCATTG